ATTACCGGTAAACACAGAATGTGTGAGTCCTTGTGACATGTTGAACTGAGCTGTACAATGATAAACTGAGAACAGTGAATATTTAAGAGGATATTTGAGGCCATATTGGAAGTGAGAGAGAGTGTATGTTTGGAACCACACTCTTGTGATAAGTAACCTTGCCTGAGACCTGAAGACTTACATTGGCTCCCTAAGCTAATACCTAGGCTTTAGCTCAGTGGGCTAACATAGTCTTGTTCTCGGAGACCTGAGTTTGAACCACCCAGTCTGACTGTCACATGTACTGTATATGTGCATCTCAAGTGTACCTTTAATAGCAGGCAGCGTCAGCAGCTTCCTATTGGTGCTGATGGGGAAGACAGAAGCACTCAGCCTCCGCTCCCTCTTGACAGCAGGTTTCACCCTCAGCAGCTGGGTGGTGGGCGGCTGCGCGCTCTTCTTATTGGAACCCTGTGGAAACAAGAGTCGCAAAGCGAGGGTTCCCGTTACTGGCCAGCAGTTTCCTGCCCAAGGAAGCCAGGGATCACAATTACCCAAATTGTTTCCACAGGGAGGAGTCAGTGATGATGTGGAGTTGTGGTTAAGGGTCATGTTCCTCTTCCAAATCAGATCAGATGTTTCCCTGGGAGGGAACCTGATCAGAGGCGCTGTATGTGTGTGTGTGTGTGTGTGTGTGTGTGTGTGTGTGTGTACTGTCTCTGTTGACACAGGGTGTGTAATGGAGTCCCACAGAGACAGATAACTGATAGAGCAGTACAGGCAGTGATAGTGGCATCATGCAGTCAGTCTGTCTTCTGTCTGTCTGTCTGTCTGTGTTTTCTGCCTGTCTGTCTTCTGTCTCGTTAACATTGACAGGGTAATCTGGAAACCCTACCTCATATTGCTCCTTTGTTAAATGAGAGCATCTGTTTCCAAATAATCTCCATTGAAAATGTGATTAGGTGAATGTTGAACGCAGCTTTAAAGCCTGGTGGGGTGGCGATGGCCCTACTCCTGAAGTATAACACATCAGCCATCATGACTGAAGAGATGTTTTCAAGAAATGTAAAGGAGCAACATATAACACTAGTTGGGTTTCTTCAGGGTTTTTTGACAGACACTGCTTAAACATTTTAAAAGGCACTGGCACATCTGAGCTATCTTTGTTGCAGGTGCCATGGTAACAGTTGAATAATATGATAAAAAATAAGAAACCTGCACACTGCTCCTGATAGTATCACTGCTCTTTATTAAGCTTTACGTATCGGCCTCAAGGCCTTCGTCAGAGCTTAGAAACACCTAAAATGGCTTAGTACTGCTTCTTACCTTATCATAATCCAAAAAACATCAACTTAAAGTTGATTATCTCAAGGTTTAACAGATATGTCTGGAAGTGTAAATTATGAAGGTGGACAGAGTTGTTCTCATCTCACCCTCTGCAATATCCTGGGCGTATTTTTGCAGGTAGTGATAACCACAAAACACACCTCAGATACAAATCAGTATTACTATGCAATAAATGCTATATGATGCACAATAATATTTGTTTAACAGTGACAACTGTGTGTCATCAATATCTTATCACTTAATTGTGACTACAGATAAAACAAGTAACTGGTGTGGTAATTCTACAGCACAAGTGCCTCTTGGTAAAGGGACTTCCCTGTTTCAGCAGATATAAGTGTAAATAAATGCTACAGTAGCGTAATGTAGGATCACAGCGGATAGACTGTAGACAGACAGACATGACTGTCTAGTTCTAGTCAATATCCAACAGTCGATCATTGCACACTGACAGTGTATTAAAAAACACTTACAATGCATAACCCTAATATTGATTAGTAGGTTTTCTAGGAACTCTGCATGCCTGGGTCAGTCAGAAGAACCCTGAGGCTTCGTCCCAAATGGCACCTTTTCCCTATTTAGTGCACTACTTTTGGTCAGAGCCTTATGGGCTCTAGTGCACTAAATATGGAATAGGGTGCCATTTGGGGAAACAACCTGACAGTGTTTTTATAGAGCCAGAAGTCTGAAGCTAGAAAAAGGCTCTAAAAGGTGAAAGAGAATTCCTGACATCTCTCATTAGGCTTGTTTGTTCTTTCCACTAACCCCAATTAACCCCAGATAAAGTAATATATTCCTTGGCTCATTGAGTACTTGTACAGCTTCCAAGAAGACACCCTCCGCTGCCTATTTCAGAAGAATCCATTCAGTTTCTTTCACACGAGTGAAAAAGTGAATTGAATTTCACCTTGCTCGATACGTACTAGAGGGGTGTGGATAGAATAGAACAGAACAGAATAGATCAAAACAAAGATGGGTCCAAATCTGTTTTCAAATCAAAAGGTTAATTAGTATCAGTGTTCATCAGTATTCATCAGTACTTTCCAACTTTTTTAGATTGCTTTGAAGTATGGTGGCAAAACTAAGAAAATACAGCTTGGATCGCTTCCTACCTCATGGTCAGAGTTGGAATGACCATTTTTGCATCCAGATTTGCTTGATTTCACAGACTTGGAAGATTCCTACATAAGACAGAAAAAGTGTGTGAGTGACAGTAGGCCCAGATAGATTAGATAGATTAGATAGGATAGATAGATAGATAGATAGATAGATAGATAGATAGATAGATAGATAGATAGATAGATAGATAGATAGATAGATAGATAGATAGATAGATAGATAGATAGATAGATAGATAGATAGATAGATAGATAGATAGATAGATAGATAGATAGATAGGACCGGAGCAGACAGACAGACAGAGAGAGAGAGAGAGAGAGAGAGAGAGAGAGAGAGAGGGGAGGTGAACGATCTGAGAGACAAGGCAAGAAGGGCCTTCTACGCCATCAAAAAGAACATAGAATTCAACATCCCAATTAGGATCTGGCTAAAAATACTTGAATCAGTTATAGAACACATTGCCCTTTATGGTTGTGAGGTCTGGGGTCTGCTCACCAACCAAGAATTCCCAAAATGGGACAAACACCAAATTGAGACTCTGCATGCAGAATTCTGCAAAAAACATCCCCAGTGTACAACGTAAAACACCAAATAATGCAAGCAGAGCAGAATTAGGCAGATACCCGCTAATTATCAAAATCCAGAAAATAGCCATTAAATTCTACAACCACCTAAAAGGAAGCGATTCCCAAACTTTCCATAACAAAGCCATCACCTACAGAGAGATTAACCTGGAGAAGAGTCCCCTAAGCAAGCTGGTCGCCGGGCTCTGTTCACAAAATGAGGTGGAAACTGAGCTGCACTTTCTAACCTCCTGCCAAATGTATGACCATATTAGAGACACATATTTCCTTCAGATTACACAGACCCACAAAGAATTCAAAGACAAATCCAATTTTGATAAACTCCCATATCTATTGGGTGAAATACCACAGTGTGCCATCACAGTAGCAAGATTTGTGACATGTTGCCACAAGATAAGGGCAACCAGTGAAGAACAAACACCATTGTAAATACAACCCATATTTATGTTGATTTATTTTCCCTTTTGTACTTTAACTATTTGCACATCGTTACAACATTGTATATAGCCATAACATGACATTTGAAATGTCTCTACAGTTAATTTTTGATTGTTTATTTCACTTTTGTTTATTATCTATTTAACTTGCTTTGGCAATGTAAACATATGCTTCCCATGCCAATAAAGCCCTTTGAATAGAATTGAATTGAATTGAGAGAAAGAGCGAGAGAAAGAGAGACTCATTCAATAACTAATTAGGCTATTTCACGTGTGAATCCTAACAGTTTTGTTATTCAATAATATCTGTACATCTAGCTTACTCACCTTATCTTTTTTCCCTTTATTCGGCATTTTTCGCCGAGGAGTCGGAGCCCCCGTCCTTCTGAAAACTCTGTTCGCTCCCTCAATGCCTCTGCTCGCTCTGTGTGACAAAAGTAGCCCACACCTCTCTGTTTTCGTCCATAGAAGTTTGATTCGTTGACGTTGGTCATGTGACTTTAAAATCCATCCGCACACCTCTCCACTTCATTGACCGTCAATGCCTATGGTTACTGCACTGTCATAATCCTCACTGAACTGGTGTCAGCTAGACAAAAGGTTAATTAGTTGACTCCTGAGTGGCGCAGTGGTCTAAGGCAGTGCTAACTGTGCCACTAGCGATCCTGGTTCGAATCCAGGCTCTGTCGCAGCCGGCCGCGACCGGGAGACTCATGGGCGGCGCACAAGTCGTCCAGGGTAGGGGAGGGAATGGCCAGCAGGGATGTAGCTCAGTTGATAGAGCATGGCGTTTGCAACGCCAGGGTTGTGGGTTCGATTCCCACGGGGGGCCAGTATAAAAAAAATTGTATTCACTAACTGTAAGTCGCTCTGGATAAGAGCGTCTGCTAAATGACTAAAATGTAGACATACTGTGATCGGCTATAATATCAAGCTGGTCCGTTCTAAATTTGTAATATGTCATAAAACGACATGGATTTCAGTTTTTTCACATCAGAATATATTAATAGACGGTAAGAGAAAGGACATTTGATTTAGTAGGTGCCTAGATAAATATAAACCTGTCTAAAAGAGTTGAAGTGTTTTCCGTGCCAGACACTTCCTTGAATAGCAATACCGCCCCCTCATGGTACAATTGGCTAGTAAACGCTCTTTCTGAACCCGCATTTGTTGAAAGATTGTTTTATCACAGAGACAAATGCATTATCGCGAAATTGATTTGCTTCTTGTTCCAAATATACTGTAGCCACTGTATGTCTATAGAAGCCACATATTTGAGTCAAAAACAATACTGTAGTTTAGACTACTATTAGTTTTCAGGCAGTAAAACAATATGTGCGTTTATCAGCCAACTCCCATTTCCCCCTTTCAGACAAAAGTTGAGACCGGTCTAAATTGCATTGTGGGTAGCGTAGTAGTTTTCTGGGACATAGCTATAGACTTAACGCGTCAAATTCGTCCTCTGGTACTACAAATACCAACATGCACTGCATGAATACGTCTGAAGGGGTTGCGAATCTACCGCAGCATTGACACATTACCCGTTGATGTGCTTGGACGAGACATCTCTTTGTTCACTGTTTAGTCTACGACTGACTGTTGGTCGTTATTTCGGAAAATGTCCGACGGCGGCGGGGGCGACGATAGCTCCGGCACCATGGAGGTGTCTACAGCCGTGCAAACGGTTGCTGATGCCGCCGTGCTGCAGAAGCATATTCGTAAACTTGTCCCTTTGCTCCTGGAAGATGGCGGCGATGCTCCGGCCTCCTTGGAAACCGCCCTAGAAGAGAAAAGCTCCATAGAGCAGATGAGGAAGTTTCTCTCAGACCCCCAAATTCACACCATTCTGGTCGAGAGAAGCACTCTCAAAGGTCAGTCTGATTCAAGTACTGTAACTAGTTAACTAACTAGCTAGTAAGTTTTCAAGAAATTGCTAGCTAATTGCTTTTTTAAATGTTTTTTTTTATTGCTAGCTAGCAGACTGCATCTTCGTAGGCTACATCTAGCTAGCCAGCTAACCGTTAGTTTGTCTGTCAAATGAAATGTACCTATGCTGCTGCAGCATCCGTCAGAGGATTCCTCTCTCCCAAACGTTTACGTAACTAAGTTAAAGTTTGTCATAAGAGGTACAATCTTATAGAAAATACAAGGCAGTCTTGACTGCCAAATCAGATAACGTTTACAGTGGATGTGGTTCCATGAATGGTTCTAGTGTTTTGCCCTCAACAATAGGATCATGTGAATATCAGGCTCCTGTCTACCGGAACAGTTAGTCCTAGACCACTGTGCCAAATAGAAATATCCCCTCGGTCACACTTGCACGGCCATATTTATTTTAACTGCTAGGCGTGGCACACTTACTTAAGGAAATTAGGTAGTTATTTGTGCTGATCATATGGTTAGCTGGCTACAGTGATAAGTAGAAATGTCCCCATTCGAGTGATGGACTTTTGATTTATTTCTGTAGGCTTGATTGGAATGCACAGACAAAGTGCACATTATATGAATGCTGCAATGCAGATGTTTATCTCTAGCAGCAGTGACCTCATCTTTCAGGGAGGGGAGCACAAAATATTTGAGTCATCTCTGAATGCACTGTCATGCCCTCAGTAGGGTTGGGCGATTTTACTGTTGCGTCATCTATCGACGATGTTTGACAGCCATCGTCGATGGTGACGACATCGTGATGTCATAAACGATGTTTTATCATATTTGAAATTGACTGCACCTCTGAAGTCTGGCAGACCACAACATATGTGGTAGTTAGACTATTAACATAATGCAAGAGAACAATGTAGATTATAAAAAGAGTGGAGAGCACCAAAGCACAAATGTCAGATAGGGCCTAACGTTTTTTACCGCTTCTCTCCAATGTCGGATGATCGTGGGCCTTTTGCAGCGGACACTGGCATATTGTTTTTAAATATTAATTTCCCTTTTTCTCCTTAATCGCCATTCGATTTGAATGTGACTTGTTGGCCTAGGCATAGCCCACTCTTTCATGATCAACCATCAAATGAATCTACAGGCCCGTGTAGCTCAGTTGGTAGAGCATGGCGCTTGCAACGCCAGGGTTGTGGGTACGTTTCCCACTGGGGGGGCCAGTATAAAAAAAATGTATGCACTCACTAACTGTAAGTCGCTCTGGATAAGAGCGTCTGCTAAATGACTAAAAATAATAAAATAAAATAAATAGGCCTAATGGAGTTCCATCTCAGATGTTTGCGAATAGCCTAAATAAAAACATGGTAATAATGAGAGAGAACAAACAGTTGCAAGATGGACTAATCTAATTGGAAGTTTAAACAAACCTTACACGTTTCTGCTTTACTTTACCAAAGTGTATGCAAAATAAATTGTGCCGTTGGAAAATCCCTCCTTGCAAACCAAACGGCAAATAATAGGCTATAGGCCTACACATACTCCAAGTCGATGTCACATCATCAGAAGGAATTCCCCTCAACCACGACGACATTATTTCCCATTGACCCCAATTGTCAAATGTTTGTTGATTTTTTTTGTTATACAGAAATAACAAAGCATGCCGAAAAGCTGCTGTGTTCAATGTACATGTAACCACGTCAAAAAATATATAAACCTATGGTTCACAATACTCCCACGTAAGGATTATAAAAAGGGCGGCGCACAATTGGCCCAGCGTCGTCCAGGGTAGGGGAGGGAATGGCCGGCAGGGATGTAGCTCAGTTGATAGAGCATGGCGTTTGCAACGCCAGGGTTGTGGGTTCGATTCCCACGGGGGGCCAGTATAAAAAAAATATGTATTCACTAACTGTAAGTCGCTCTGGATAAGAGCGTCTGCTAAATGACTAAAATGTAAATGTAAGGAAAAAGAGCTTGCAAGAAGAGCCCTGTGCTGTGGCTTCAGGCTATTAGGTGTGTTAGAGTAGGAGCTGTGGTCACCCGGTGTCCAAGTAGGCCACATGTAGCTATGTGTGTGGAAAACATTTCACCACAGGTAAGACATTTAACTTGTTTAGTATAGTCTGTTTGTAACGCCATTCACTACTTGTAGCTGTATAGTCCGTTTGTGTTGTTCTTGGCTAGCTTTAATGTTCCGGTCGGTAGCTAGCACTCACTCACGTGGCTGCTAGCACTGTCATGAAAATAGATTTTCATTACTTTTCAACGCTGTCTGCTCCCGAGCATTCTCACTACTTAGAAAAAACTAATCTTTAGACATGCTGTACTTTTCTTAAATGTAGTTTTGTTAACTGAAACAAAGCAGACAAGAACATTTTGTTAGAAAAATGTTGTTTTTGCTGTGAGCCAATGGGGTAACCTAGATAACCACAGGTTGTTTTCCCCACAGGTGGGCGGGGCCGCGACGTTCTATCTAAAACCGACTAGGACTATAGGCTACTGTCAATAAAAGTTGCGGTAGGCTAAACGTTACTTTGACAAGTTAAACTTATAAACTACACTGAACACAAATATACGCAAATGTAACAATGTCATAGCTTTTACTGAGTTACAGTTCATATAAGGAAATCAGTCAATTTAAATAAATTCATTAGGCTCTAATCTATGGATGTCACATGACTGTGAATACATACAGTGCATTCGGAAAGTATTCAGACCCCTTCCCTTTTTCCAAATTTTGTTACGTTAAAATGAAAATAAATAAACAATTTGCTCATTTTAAAACATACTTTATTTACATAAGTATTCAGGCCCTTTTGCTATGAGACTCGAAATTGAGCGACACATCTCCTTCACATAGGGTTGATCAGGCTGTTGATTGTAGCCTGTGGAATGTTGTCCCACTCCTCTTCAGTGGCTGTTCGAAGTTGCTGGAGATTGGTGGGAACTGGAACACTGTCGTACACGTCGATCCAGAGCATCCCAAACATGCTCAATGGTTGACGTGTCTGGTGAGTATGCAGGCCATGGAAGAATTGGGACGTTTTCAGCTTCCAGGAATTGTGTACAGATTAGGGTTGACCCCAACAATCGACTGGTCGATTGTTTGGTGGATAGGCTGGTGGTCGACCGAGATTTCTTTAGTCAATCAGTCACACATTCTTTTGTTCATGCTGCACAAGACACCTGTCTGATTCGCGCCTGTTTGGCACACATAATGCTCACGCAGCACTTACTCCTATACCCTCCTTTTCTCCAGTAGTTTACACAATTTCACATTACCATGTAATGCTGCGTTTACATGGCACGAGGTAGACAATAAACGGCAAACCGGATATCATTGTTTTCAGTGAGAGCACGACGGTAGATGCCGTTGAGGCTGGTGGTGAATGCCGTCAGCTGCCACGGTAGACGTGATTTGCCGCCAGAGTTCAAATATTTTAACTTTTGCCGTCTGCCGTAGCGTTGTTTTCTACCGGATGTTGATTTGCACTGTTTGTTTACTAAAATCCCCATCGCAACGCATACCGTCGTGCTGGTGTGCGTTTGCCGTCTTTCTTTAGCTATCTTGTCCTGGTATGACGGTTTTTGCGTCCCTCGTCTAAACGCAGCATAAGTCAAATGTCTTCCACACATCTGACTTCCCCTTAACCTCCTGAGCAACCCCCGTTTTCGAGTTTCTTTTTCATGTCCTCCGCATCCATTTTGCTGTCGTGTTCAGAGTTTGTTATAACCAAGTTATTGAAGTGATTTATGATAGGACCTAGAGCCTATTTGGTCACGTGCATGCGATGCATACGTTTCACAAAAGAAGAGAGCAAGGGTTGAGGGAATAGGGAATGTTTTTCCTAAACAAATTAGGGATTTTGGTAACAGAACTTTTCAGTCAGAGAAAGTAAGACACTAAATGGCTGTAATTACGTTACAGCTTCAGCATGGACAGCGGGATAAACACTTTGCTGTGATGCCTGTTTGCTGCAGCATAGAGGAGAGCGAGACAATATCACACAGGCAGTCGCTGTCATTTTAATTTGATTTTACACAGCGTGGCCGTCGGGCTCCCTCTTGAATCATTTGTCTTACTTATTTAATCAAACAGTGTGTTTTAAAGCATCAGACAAGCTCAGTGCGTATAGCTGATTTTATTCAAACACCATAGGGTTTGTCTATACATGGAAAAATACACATTTTGACCAATCGATTGGTCGAAAGAGCAGACGACTCTCACTTGTCGGACAGCCCTAGTATGCCGGTTGCTTAGTAATCAAACAGCCCAATTCATATTCTTAGAGGAGGCGCTCCCACAATGTTATTTGTACCTCCTACAAGGTAAAGTATTGGATTCTTGACACACCACACTAATCCCATTTCACTACCGTTTGAAGCTTTTTTTATTTATTATATGAAAGAAAGCTTTGCTTTTATACTTACAAGACTATCACGCTTAATTGAGCGAGCTGTTTTGTCTTGTAGTAATGTGGTGCCTGCCTGTATTTCCATAAACCTTTAGCATACATGTCATTGAGAATTGTTTTTATTTCATAACATTATATATTTTTGGTCAGTAGGTGCCCAAAATAACAACAGGTGTTGGACACAGTCAGGCTCTATAGACCTCTAAGTGTCTTCATTTCCGATTTCTGTAATTTCTGTACCTGTGTAATATTGACATAAGCTCAGAAACACTTGTTTTGCAAACATGGTCCTATTTTATCAATAGCTGTGCTGATCAATCGGCAGTTCATTGTCAAATGAAAATGTAGCTTAGTGTGTATTTTTTGTATTTCTTTTTGCAATTAAGATGGTGACGCTACAATAATACACGTTTACAATAGGCCTATATAAAAAAAATACATACAGCATAATGATGTATACATTATTTTAATAGCAGGGCACTGTAAAGTCCACTATTCATCTAAAGAGTATTAATTAGGCTGTTTTGAGGTTTGAATCCTAAGCAACCTGCATACACATGGCTTGAAGAACAATAGACCAACAGCTACTGCAGTAGGTCAAAGCTGTGTGCTGGAAAACCTTGGTAGAGCATGGGTGGAGTAGGCATTGTGGTGCTCATGGGAATTTCCTTTTTAGGCTTCAGACCAATTCCTACTTCTCACTTGAAACAGTTTTTCCCCACATGTTTTTTTCGCCGGAAGGGTATTATACAACATTTCCACATGCAAAATGCCTTTCAAAAATGTAATTTGCGCTTCAATTTTGTCCAGGGCCCAGTTTCCTAAAAGCATCTTAAGGCTAAGTTAATTGTTAGAACCTTCGTAGGCGCATCTTTAAATATCAGCGCTGTTTCCCAAAACCATTGTTACTAAAGTTGCACTTGAAAACACTTGCTATTTACCGACTGCCTCAGACCACTCGTTAGATGCTTTTATTCCCTTCCACGTCACTTTGTACACAGATCTCCACTAAACCTAGAATCAAGATGTTCATCTGTTTCTCTGGACCGCTGATAACTTCAGAAAGAAGTTGACTACAATCCAAAGTTGCCAATGTCTTTGCAATGGTTATAAACAAGCAAAGGGTCAAAAGATGCTTCAAATGAAAACCAAGATGACTGCATTAAAAGATAAATACAGTAGGCTACGTAGGCTTATATTGAAATCATATTGACATCAATGTAATTATATTTTGCAAATTGTAGGCTGTCTGTCATTTTTGCCTCAATTTCATGATGTGTAGGCATAACAACGTGCACAATGATGTGCCAAATATTCGATTTAGTGCATAGCCTTAGCATTAGAATAAGCCTCCTCAATATTTGCAGCCATAGGTGATAATTACCTTTTTAGGGACTGATCCGTCGTCAGTATCTAATGCTAAGGTAAGATTTGATTGGAGAACGCTGATCCGAGAGTAGCGCTGCCTCTCTTTCGATCCCATCAGTATCGACAGTGCTCTAATGACGCGCTCATTGAACGTTCTCTCTCAGGGGGAGTCCCCCCCACACTCTCCTCCAGTTTCTTACTTGTTGATGGCTACTTCCCACTAAGGTGACCTATGCCGACATCTTAAAAAAAAAAAAAAAAAAATACGTAAAAATGTATGCACACATGACTGTAAGTCGCTTTGGATAAAAGCGTCTGCTAAATGGCATATTATTATAAATAAATAAAAAGTGGGTGCGGTCAGTACCGTCCTTGATTTCAACGTCCACAGAAGGGACTCCCTAAAAACACGCCAATTTGATACAAGTTACTTTTCGTGGCAGGTTAGGAGAGCATTTTTGCTAACCCTAACCCTTTTTCTAACCTTAACCTAATTATCTTAACCTGCACCGTTAATTCTCTAAACCTGCAGCGTTAATTCTCTAAACCTGCAGCGTTAATTCTCTAAACCTGCAGCGTTAATTCTCTAAACCTGCAACGTTGATTCTCTAAACCTGCAGCGTTGATTCTCTAAACCTGCAGCGTTGATTCTCTAAACCTGCAGCGTTAATTCTCTAAACCTGCAGCGTTAATTCTCTAAACCTGCAGCGTTAATTCTCTAAACCTGCAGCGTTAATTCTCTTAACCTGCAGCGTTAATTCTCTTAACCTGCAGCGTTAATTCTCTTAACCTGCAGCGTTAATTCTCTGAACCTGCTGCGTTAATTCTCTGAACCTGCTGCGTTAATTCTCTGAACCTGCTGCGTTAGTTCTCTTAACCTGCTGCGTATGTTCTCTTGACCTGCTGCGTATGTTCTCTTGACCTGCTGCGTTACTTCTCTAGACCTGCAGCGTTAATTCTCTAGACCTGCAGCGTTAATTCTCTAGACCTGCAGCGTTAATTCTCTAGACCTGCAGCGTTAATTCTCTAAACCTGCAGCGTTAATTCTCTAAACCTGCAGCGTTAATTCTCTTAACCTGCAGCGTTAATTCTCTTAACCTGCTGCGTATGTTCTCCAACCTGTTGCGTATGTTCTCCAACCTGTTGCGTATGTTCTCCAACATGTTGCTATGTCGAAGCGGCGTGTTTTTAGGGATACTATCCTACGGACGTTGAATTTTTGTTCTGGTCCGGACCAAATCTGAACCAATCATAGACGTCTGTTTAGTTCAGATTTGGTCCGGACAGACCATGTTTGGACCAAATCTGAACCAATCATAGACATCTGTTTCACAAGTTTGGACAGCACAGTAGTGTAGTAGTTCTCCAACCTCTCCATGGGGACCCCAAGTAAATTGACACTGTTGGTCAGCGCAAATGTAGATTAAATGGGATGAAGAACACTGCATTGACGGGGTGTACTGAATTAATGCATCATGAGGTGTAAGGACTGGAATTTGTTCTGGATACTCACACAGCGACGTGTCTTCGGTCTCGTGTTTTCATCTAGCTAGCTAGCTAGCTAGCATGTGTACACTCACTGCAATGCACAGCCGATGCGTTACTTGAATTGGCCGGGTTTAGATTCAACATAGCTAACTTTCTTAGCGAGACAATTTTGTTTATCAGCTACAGTTTGTGTTGTGATAGGCTGCGGCTAGCTAGCAGTGTTTGTGCTGAAACTCACATTTGGCTGCACACGTAGCTATCTAGCCAGTTTGACTGTATCACGCCAGAGTAGCTAGCTAGATTAGCAATGCCCATTCCATGCATTAAGTTAGCAGTGTGGCAGTTTCCCAATGTCGGGCGTTGACTATGAACTTTACTTAGCTAGCTAGCTCTTCGTGTCGCCAAATCTTGTGCTTTAGGTAATGTAGCTTCCATCCATACACCCTTTTTTCCTTTGCTAATGTGCTTTCACTGACTGGCATTCTTCTTTTTTCTTTCCTCAGAGGATGTTGGGGATGAAGGAGAGGAAGAGAAGGAGTGCATCGCTTACAACATCAACATTGACATCCACTATGGGCTCAAGTCCAACAGGCAAGAACTTTTATGATACAGGAAGCAAATGGAAGTATCAGGCAGACTTCCGCAACAACAAAGAGCGTGAAGTGAGAAGCTCGTCCTCCCCTCCAGAAGCGTGCGCTCTGTGCGCGTCGTCTTGCAATCTGCGATATATTTGGTTCACCCTGCCACTCGTGGTCATGTCGCTGAGTCTGTTTTAAGCCCTGAGTCATCCTTGACCGCAAGATCATCACGTGATATCCATTTTGAGATTGTGATGGCATATGATTTCCATTTTAAGACAGTCCTAGGGATAGTTAGACTGATTATTTCCCCAGTTAGATAGGCCTGCCCTTCTTGTTACCTTTCTGTGTATCAAACTGGGGTGGAACAGTTCCCAACATTTAATAATACTACATCAACTATCCTAAATCCCTATTTATTCATATGAGGATTATGACATTTTCCAACTTTGTTTTTCAGTCTGGCTTTCATCAAGAGGACTGCGGTGATTGACGCTGACAAGCCCATATCGACCCAGGTGCGCGTGTTGACTCTGAGCGAGGATTCTCCCTACGAGACCCTGCACTCTTTCATCAGCAATGCCGTTGCTCCTTTCTTCAAGTCCTACATCCGTGAGTCTGGCAAGGCAGACAGGTAAACCAGGAACTAAGTTGACTATCATGATAGTTTTGTAAAACTGTTATTTGTTTTCATATATATATTTTGCTCATCTCGTTTATACCCAGTGGGTTAATAATGCCTCCATTTTGTCCTGGTCCAGGGATGGTGACAAGATGGCTCCCTCTGTGGAGAAGAAGATTGCCGAGTTGGAGATGGGCCTGCTACACCTGCAGCAGAACATCGAGATCCCCGAGATCAGCCTTATCATCCACCCCATCATCCTCAACATCGCCAAGGCGTGCTACGAGCGCGGTGAGAAGCCCAAGGTCACCGACTTCGGCGACAAGGTGGAGGACCCCACCTTCCTCAACCAGCTGCAGTCGGGGGTCAACCGTTGGATCCGGGAAATCCAGAAGGTGTGGGTCGAAATAATGACTTGCCTGAGAAATTGGGTGACAGGTAGTGTTAGGTAGTAGGCCATACCCAAGCAAAACGTTTTGCAAAAAATAAAATAAAATAAAGGTGTTAATATTTAACACGTTAAGTTAGTACCTCCCCCGCTTCACTCCATTTTGAAACGTTTCCCACCGACTGAACATGACCTTGGCTTGTTGGTTGCATTTGGCATCTCTTACTGTGTTTTTTTGTGTGTCCTCTGGCTAGTTTGAGTGGTTGTTTTGAATACTCTCCTCTTCCTGTCAGGTGACCAAGCTGGACCGTGACCCGGCCTCTGGGACGGCCCTGCAGGAGATCAGTTTCTGGCTGAACCTGGAGCGCGCCCTGAACCGCATCCAGGAGAAGAGGGAGAGCCCCGAGGTGCTGCTCACCCTGGACATCCTGAAGCACGGCAAGCGCTTCCACGCCACCGTCAGCTTTGACACTGACACCGGTGAGTTGTGTTCGATGGAACAAGCGCCAAACGTTTGTACCGGATCTAATACCTCTTTATGGATTGGATATTACAAGGAACCATTTTTTATTTGTTTTATTTTTAGGACCCGTCACTCAAACCTCCGGTCAATATACATTATCCACTTTATGGATGACATCACCACTTTAGAACCATGTCGATCCTATTGTATTCTAATTCCTAATTCTATGTTTAGAACGTGCAATAGTTTTATTAGACTTAATGACTTGAATATGTTTCCCCCCCATCTATTTCCCAGGTCTGAAGCAGGCAGTGGAGACGGTCAACGACTACAACCCCCTGATGAAGGACTTCCCCCTGAACGACCTGCTGTCGGCCACTGAGCTGGATAAGATCCGCCAGGCGCTAGTGGCCATCTTCACCCACCTGAGGAAGATCCGTAACACCAAGTACCCCATCCAGCGGGCCCTGCGGCTGGTGGAGGCCATCTCCCGAGACCTCAGCTCCCAGCTCCTCAAAGTGCTGGGCACCAGGAAGCTCATGCACGTGGCCTATGAGGAGTTTGAGAAGGTGGGTCTACAGCGGCAGCTGCTACAAATACTCCATAGACGAGTTGGTTGTTTAGCAACAAAACCGAGGCGTGCGAAACTATGGGGCAACACAGACGTGGTTGGCTTAGATTGTTGACAACATGTAAGCTATATTTTGTCTCCAATTTTTATTGAAAACATAAATACATTCGCACAATGACCACTTGTTGGCTCTCATATACATCGTTACAGTTGTTGGTTAGTTAGCTAGCGAATTTTAGCCATATTAGCATTGACCTGAAATTAGTCCAAACATTTCAAAACAAGACATGGTATCAATAACAAGATGAAACGAGCCACTTACGATTCCCCACATGGCAATTTCTTGTCATTCTGTCTAGCAATCTGGCCATCCAGAATCACAACAACACGCTGAGTTCTGCCCCATGGATGCGTACACATCGTTTTTTGTGACGTTGTCAGCTAACCCATTTCTATACATTCCTATACTCTTCTTGTTTTATTGACACATGACTTAATAACGTGTAGTTGATAGTAACATTTTAGCGATACACATTTCTATCCCATTGCAGGTGATGGTGGCGTGCTTCGAGGTCTTCCAGACCTGGGAGGACGAGTACGAGAAGCTGCAGGTCCTGCTGAGAGACATCGTGAAGAGGAAGAGGGAGGAAAACCTGAAGATGGTGTGGCGCCTGAGCCCAGCCCACCGCAAGCTTCAGGCCCGCCTGGACCACATGAGGCGCTTCCGCAGGCAGCACGAGCAGCTTAGGGCCGTCATCGTTCGTGTACTCAGGCCTCAGGTAAGACCGATGGCTAGAGCCCCCGAGGGTTGGTGTTATGGGTCCAGATTAAGTTTATAGCATACTTTTAAGTCCCCCCCCCCCAATGACTTGCAGTTTTGGTCAAGAGATTCCCTTGCTCATTTCTAGGTCATTGCTGAAAGGCTTTTCTTTCTCTCCCTATGCCTTGTCAAGGTGTCTGCGGTGCCCCAGCACGCCCCAGGCGAGGCAGTGGAGCCCGCCGAGATGAAGGTGGCGGAGGTGCTGTTCGACGCTGCAGACGCCAACGCCATCGAGGAGGTGAACCTGGCCTACGAGAACGTGAAGGAGGTGGACGGCCTGGATGTGTCCAAGGAGGGCATGGAGGCCTGGGAGGCAGCCATGAAGCGCTACGACGAGCGCATCGACCGCGTGGAGACCCGCATCACGGCCCGCCTCCGCGACCAGCTGGGCACGGCCAAGAACGCCAACGAGATGTTCCGCATCTTCTCGCGCTTCAACGCCCTGTTCGTGCGCCCCCACATCCGCGGCGCCATCCGCGAGTACCAGACGCAGCTCATCCAGCGCGTCAAGGACGACATCGAGTCGCTGCACGACAAGTTCAAGGTGCAGTACCCGCAGAGCCAGTCGTGCAAGATGAGCCACGTGCGCGACCTGCCGCCTGTGTCGGGCTCCATCATCTGGGCCAAGCAGATCGACCGGCAGCTGACCGCCTACATGAAGCGCGTGGAAGACGTGCTGGGCAAAGGCTGGGAGAACCACGTGGAGGGCCTCAAGCTGAAGCAGGACGGCGACAGCTTCCGCGCCAAGCTCAACACCCAGGAGATCTTCGACGATTGGGCGCGCAAGGTGCAGCAGCGCAACCTGGGCGTGTCGGGCCGCATCTTCACCATCGAGACCAGCCGGGCCCGCGGTCGCACAGGAAACATGCTGAAGCTCAAGGTCAACTTCCTGCCCGAGATCATCACGCTGTCTAAGGAGGTGCGCAACCTCAAGTGGCTGAGCTTCCGTGTGCCGCTTGCCATCGTCAACAAGGCGCACCAGGCTAACCAGCTCTATCCATTCGCCATCTCCCTGATCGAGAGCGTGCGCACATACGAGCGCACCTGCGAGAAGGTGGAGGAGCGCATCTCCATCTCACTGCTGGTGGCCGGCCTGAAGAAGGAGGTGCAGGCCCTGGTCACCGAGGGCATTGCCCTGGTCTGGGAGTCCTACAAACTGGACCCTTACGTCCAGCGCCTGGCCGAGACCGTCTTCAACTTCCAGGAGAAGGTCAGTGTTTTGTAGAACCATAATGTTGGACCTCACCTCGCAATTTTAATTTTAAGCACGCAGTTGACAGTTGACTTGCATTACGCACTTGAAGATCTTATGTTCACATTCCGCCCTGGATGTATAAGATTTGTGTGTGAGTGTCTCAATCCCTTTGTTTTCCAGGTGGACGACCTCCTGCTCATCGAGGAGAAGATCGACCTTGAGGTGCGCTCTCTCGAGACCTGCATGTACGAACACAAGACCTTCACAGAGATCCTCAACCGCGTGCAGAAGGCCGTGGACGACCTCAACCTGCACTCCTACTCCAACCTGCCCATCTGGGTCAACAAGCTGGACATTGAGGTCTGTACAAAACCCTTACAACCCTCTCCTGTATACCTTCTCTGTTGTGTCTCGAGGCTCTTACCCTGTGGCCAGCTGGTGACATTCCTGAGCCAATTGTTCCTATTTAAACCGGCACTTCCCTCTGAGTCCACCAATTACAAGTTGGCACTCTTTTTCATGGTCCTTCGAGACGGATAATTGTCCTGGAACAGAACCAGTAGGGGCCAAAAATACCAGCACCTTTACTGGTCCTTTTTTTTTTTAAAAGTGGTTTATTGAATCAATTTTGTATTAATTAATATTTGTAATTTCCCTGTGTGTAGATTGAGAGGATCCTCGGGGTGCGTCTGCAGGCTGGGCTCAGGGCCTGGACCCAGGTCCTCCGGGGACAGATGGAGGACAAGGCTGACGTGGACATGGACACAGAGGCTCCTCAAGTCAGCCACAAGCCTGGCGGGGAGCCCAAGATCAAGGTAAGGGTCCAAGACTGCAGTAGGAGGATTGATTGATAAGAATATAACTAATAAAATGTCTTCCCCAAAGGCACAAATTGCAGTTTATGAAACTTATTTTGCTTTTTGTACTTGTGAAAGAACGTTGTGCACGAGCTGAGGATCACCAACCAAGTGATCTACCTGAACCCGCCCATCGAAGACTGCCGCTACAAGCTCTACCAGGAGATGTTTGCCTGGAAGATGGTCATCCTCTCTCTGCCCAGGATCCAGAGCCAGAGATACCAGGTCTGGAGGCCCTGCAGGGCACTTTTCTATGTTTTCATTACTACCACCAAGCTAGCTTCTTTAGCAAGTTCGTATTGAATTCAGTGATATCACCAAGCTAGCCTCTCTAGCATGCTGGGTACAAGTACACGGGTGTTTTGGTGAGGTTGCTATAGTTGTTGTATTGATATTGCTGTCCTGGCCACTAGGTGGGCGTCCACTATGAGCTGTCTGAGGAGGAGAAGTTCTACAGGAACGCCCTGACAAGAATGCCAGACGGCCCGGCCGCCCTGGAGGAGGCTTACAACTCGGTCAAGGACAACGTCAACGAGGTGGAGCAGTACGTCAAGGTACGCTGGACCCCAATCAATCTGATTTATTTGACAGGGACAATGCACATCAATTAACATTTCTGTAAATGTGCCAGATTTAGCCAGCTAGCTATTTGAAGAACCAATAAATGATACTGGATCTCTTTCTCAATTGCCTTTCCTTGGTTCCTTGTGTCCTTGGTTCCTCCCCTTGTACCTTGTCCTCCAATGTCTTTTGAACTCGAGTAAGCAAGTAACGATTATTGAGATTCACTTCAGCTATGGGTTCTATCACTTACCCATGTGTCTCTGTCTGTTGTATAGGTGTGGCTGCAGTACCAGTGCCTGTGGGACATGCAGGCGGAGAACATCTACAACCGCCTGGGGGAGGATTTGACCAAGTGGCAGGCCCTGTTGGTCCAGATCCGCAAAGCCAGGGGGACCTTCGACAACGCCGAGACCAAGAAGGAGTTTGGGCCCGTGGTCATCGACTATGGCAAGGTAAAGAGAATGACGATTCAGCAGTAGAATAGAGCAGCTTCTGCTGTTCTGTTCAGTTGTGCGCTCATGAGATGTATTGATGCCTAGAAATGTGGTGATGCAGATTGGTTATCTACTTTGTTTAACTCCAGGTCCAGTCCAAGGTGAACCTGAAGTATGACTCCTGGCACAAAGAGGTTCTCAGCAGATTCGGCCAGATGCTGGGCAACAACATGCAGGACTTCCACTCCCAGATCTCCAAGGTAAGCCCTCTCTCTGTCTGCCAAGAGAAACTGCTTTCATTGTAGTCTCTGGCAATATGTTCCAATGTCATAACTAGCATAAAACTTAGAATGCACGCCCGATACATTGCTTCATTCTAAGTGGCATGTTAGTGTGGACGTTGGAGCAGAGCATTGGTCTCTATCTGATCTCAACTCCACTGTCTTCATCAGTCCCGCCAAGAGCTGGAGCAGCACTCCGTGGACACCGCCAGCACTTCGGACGCTGTGACCTTCATCACCTACGTCCAGACGCTCAAACGCAAGATCAAGCAGTTTGAGAAGAACGTGGATGTAAGTAATGTCAAAACCGCTTTCATAGGATTCCTCACAGCTGTGACCTCAAATCGTTGTCATGGGTGAGAACTCGCACGCGCACGCAGTCAACGCTTCTGTTCTATGATGTACTATTGATTCCACTACCCACTTTCTATTTTTAAATACAGTCCATTATTACTGTGCATACTACCTCTTCTATTACTTCTACTACATGTTATTTTTTACTTGACTCTTTTTTTCATTGTTATTATTGATTAATGTACTGCATTGTTGAGGGAGCTAGCACATAAGTATTTCGCTGCCCGTTTTACCCTGCTGTAAACTGTATGTGATGAGTGCATTTGATTTGAAAAGATGGATGGATTTTAAATCCTGACTTCTTTCTTCACAGCTTTTCCGCAACGGTCAGCGGCTTCTCGAGAAGCAGCGCTTCCAGTTCCCGCCATCATGGCTGTACATCGACAACATCGAGGGCGAGTGGGGCGCCTTCAGTGACATCATGAAGCGCAAGGACACGGCCATTCAGCAGCAGGTGGCCAACCTGCAGATGAAGATCGTCCAGGAAGACAAAGCCGTGGAGGGTCGCACCATCGATCTCCTCGCCGACTGGGAGAAGACCAAACCAGTGGCTGTAAGAGAAAATAATTTAAAGATATTTTTTTTTGTTGAAAAGATTGTGATGTATAGGATGATTATGTTTAATTTGATCTTTGCATAAATCTTTCGTATGAGTTTTGCGCTTGGGATTTTGGGGGAGGGTATAGGCTGATCCTAGGTCTGTTTTTCCATAGGGGGGCCTGCGTCCAGAGGAGGCCCTCCAGTCTCTCACCATCTATGAGGGGAAGTTTGGCCGGCTGAAGGACGACAGGGATAAGTGTTCCCGCGCCAAAGAGGCCCTGGAGCTGACCGACACCGGCCTGCTGAGCGGCAGTGAAGAAAGAGTTCAGGTATGGTTATCTGTTGTCTTTTTAAACTAAGAGGCGTTCACTTTTCAGCACTGTATGGTATCTGCAGCCAGCCGCTACTGCATTTGGACTGTTCATTTAGTCAGTGCAAGAGCAACTCGGCATATGGCGCGTCGTTGAAATCCTTGCCACTTTGTGCCTGGAGTCTTGGCATATCTGTCGATACGAACATGTCACTTCCCAGCAAGATGTTCTCAGATGCTCCTCTGTGGTGCTAAAGTTTCTTTCTATGTGCTGTAGGTGGCTCTGGAAGAGCTGCAGGACCTGAAGGGTGTATGGTCAGAGCTGTCCAAGGTGTGGGAGCAGATCAACCAGGCCAAGGAGCAGCCCTGGGTCTCTGTTCAACCACGCAAGGTAAGATTTAACTCATGAATTTGTCTTTGTGTTCAAAGACACTATGTGGACCATGTCTTTTTAGGAATGTGCATGGACCATGTCTGTTTTGGCCCGTCTATTGGACCAAGTCTGTTTAGTCTAATGTGTATCTGTATTTCCGATTGTAGCTGCGTCAGAGTTTAGACGGCCTGCTGAACGAGCTGAAGAACTTCCCGGCTCGACTGAGGCAGTATGCATCCTACGAGCACGTCCAGAGGCTTCTCAAGAGTTACATGAAGGTAAGACCCCATATCTCCCTCGGTACTAGTCGAAACTAGACATTGGATTATTGCAACTGAAAAGTAGTTACTTGAGACAAAGGATTGAACCATGTCTGGTTGACATTCCTCTTGGATGGGAAAAGCTAGGGCAAGGACTGTACATGTCAATGTTGAATAACATCCTGATCACGTCAACAATATGCCCAAACCAAGTTTCCTGTCCTAACAGTAAACTGTCCTTGTCTCGTCTCTCAGATCAACATGCTGGTGATCGAGCTGAAGTCGGAGGCCCTGAAGGACCGCCACTGGAAGCAGCTGATGAAGCGTCTACACGTGAACTGGGTGCTGTCGGAGTTGACCCTGGGTCAGATCTGGGACGTGGACCTGCAGAAGAACGAGATGGTGGTGAGAGACGTGCTGCTGGTGGCCCAGGGAGAGATGGCCCTGGAGGAGTTCCTCAAACAGGTAACCACAACATTCAACTTCACAAATCTTTGTTCCCTGCAGCGCAATTACAAAAGGAAAAAGGCTTTAATATCTGGGTAGTCATTCATGTCCTTAGAGAAAGTGCAATATTAGTGCACTTTTTGACCATTGGCGATCAAGTCTTTTCATTCGTGTGTGACAGTAAGTGGCCATACTGATGATTTCTTATTTTTTCCATTGTTCCGCGACAGATCCGTGAGGTCTGGAATGCCTATGAGCTGGACCTGATCAACTACCAGAACAAGTGCCGTCTGATCCGCGGCTGGGACGACCTCTTCAACAAGGTCAAGGAGCACATCAACAGCGTGTCGGCCATGAAGCTGTCGCCTTACTACAAGGTAGGTGGATGTTTAAATTAAAATGGGTTCTTACCAGAGATGTACTCTTGATCTTGTGGTCTTTACATCACATAAATGCAGTCTTGATCTCGTGACGGGATCTGGTTTCTTAAGAGGTTAAGCCTGGATCTCAAGGGGTCTGGACTGGTCTTGTTCTGGATCTCGAGTTCCCGTCTTGACTCAGTCTCTGGTTCTTGCAGGATAGTATAAGAGCACATAGTATACACGGTATAGTCCTAGTCTCCGTGAGGCATATTAATGGTTCCTGCTGTGCCATCAGGTGTTTGAGGAGGATGCTATGAGCTGGGAGGACAAGCTGAACCGGATCATGGCCCTGTTTGACGTGTGGATCGACGTCCAGCGCCGCTGGGTCTACCTGGAGGGCATCTTCACTGGCAGTGCTGACATCAAACACCTGCTGCCTGTGGAGACCCAGAGGTTCTCGAGGTAAGATCCGTAGTTCCCCCCTTGTCACCTAAGATTGGGAATAGGTCAAAGAACCTTGTCTATGGTAAAGAGGACTTGGTAAAGCTCTTGGCAACCTTTTTACAATTGGTAAGATAACATTACTCAACCTTTTCTTTCTCTCTCCCATATAGCATCAGCACAGAGTTCCTGGCTCTGATGAAGAAGGTGACCAAGTCTCCTCTGGTGATGGACGTGCTGAACATCCAGGGGGTGCAGAGGTCTCTGGAGAGGCTGGCCGACCTGCTGGGCAAGATCCAGAAGGCCCTGGGAGAGTACCTGGAGAGGGAGAGGTCCTCGTTCCCCAGGTAAGACATTATCCATGTCTCTAATAGTGGCATCTGCCATAGGCCTGTCTCTCATTTCCTGGGGTGGGACATCCGTTTTTGGGAAAATCCGGGACATCCTATATCCGGTCTAAGGTGTATGGGCTTTTCTCAATAGAAATGGTGCAAACCAAGAGCAAGTCCTGTTGTAGCGTACCTCCTTTGTTTGAATTCGAAAAAAAGACTGCCGTATCTAAAGCCTCGCACTTTGAGGTTAACCTTGGGTGGTCTGGCCTTGGTGGGCTAGCTCGAATTGCGTTTCCACTGCCTCGAGAATATAGAAATGATGTGATGTTGCTAGCTAGCCAATGTGACTGTGCAGCTAGCAAGATGTTGAAGAAATAATTTTATTCACCCACCACGCTGTAGCTGAAGTTACCCTATACTCCCGATGCTAGCTAGCCAAATGTTTAGCTTGCTAGCTAGCTAAACGGCTATCGTCGTAGCTTAATTCCTAACCTTGCTTGCCATGGCCAGCTAGCCAAAGGTTTAGTTTGCTAGCTAGTTAAACAGTTAGCGTCATCGCTAGCATAACAAGCTAGCTAGCTTAATTCATAACCTTGCTTGCCATGGCATTGGCTACTAGCTAGCAGGCTAACCAAACACACCAGACAACAGGTTTGATAGGATGTAGCTAGCTAGCTAAAATCCCTGATAGCTCACTTTAGCTAGCAAGCTTGTTTCAACTCTGATTTGCAAGCTAACAGTAGCTAGCTAGCATTTGAGGGCTGACTGTTTCATAAACGTTTGTGTAATGCAAAAATAAATGAAGGATCCACCTATGTTGGTAATTCGTGTCATGTCTCTGACTACTGCTTGTCCTTGTGCTAGCTAACAACAACAAACCCAGACAAACTAAACGTGAAAGCATCCAGCAGAGATCAGCTTCTCATTAACTGGCTAACGTTAGCCCCCATTGATGAAATTAGTAATTGCTGATGACTGATTCTACTCTGTATGGTAACTTAGTCCTGTAGAGACATTTTAGAGTGACTGATGGTCAACACATTCAGGATACACATATTTATTTATGTTTGCCAGGTTCTACTTCGTTGGTGATGAAGACTTACTGGAGATCATCGGGAACAGCAAGAACGTAGCCAAGCTGCAGAAGCACTTCAAGAAGATGTTCGCCGGCGTCTCCAGCATCCTGCTGAACGAGGAAAACACGGTGGTGCTGGGCATCTCATCCCGTGAGGGCGAGGAGATCTTCTACAAGACCCCCGTGGACCTCCTCGAGCACCCCAAGATCAACGACTGGCTGACCCTGGTGGAGAAGGAGATGCGGGTCACGCTGGCCAAGCTGCTGGCCGAGTCGGTCACTGAGGTGGGCGCGTTCAACAAGGGCAACTCCATCGAACTCGATAAATACATCGACTGGATCGACCGATACCAGGTACGGAACGTCGCAGTGGGCTATTGTTCATCCAGTGGTTCTCATTTTGTTTGTTTGGTCACCTACCAAATGCCATTTTTAATTATCAGGTTAAGTCGGCAATGATCATGTTGTAGAGTCAGAAATGGAGTCGGCAATGGCACAACAGAAATTGGCCACGACCCACTCCATCAACCAATCACATTTTATTTACATAGCCCTTTTCTCAAAAATATTTGTCACAAAGTGGTAGTAATCCGGCTGGTAGCGCCAAATAATATACATGAAAAATTGTAGTCTGACCAGTAATGCCCACAAAGATCTTCGGACCACTTGAACGTGTTGAAACCCCCCCTCTCTCTCTCTCTCTCTCTCTCTCTCTCTCTCTCCCTCTACTAACTCCAGGCTCAGCTGGTAGTGCTGTCGGCTCAGATCGACTGGTCTGAGAAAGTGGATGCCGCTCTGACCACCATCGCGGGTGGCGGGGACATGTCGCCCATGTCGATCGTGCTGACCAATGTGGAGGCCACCCTGAACGTGCTGGCCGACACCGTGCTTATGGAGCAGCCTCCACTCCGCAGGAGGAAGCTGGAACATCTGGTGAGTGGAAGATGACACATCTGCAGACATTCTGACAAGTTGGTTTGGAGGAGTTAGTTTGGAAAAATTGGGGTAGCTTTTTAGAAGAGCACTCTCCTAGTAGGATTTCAAATATTATTATTATTATTATTATTATTATTGTAAAAGGAAAAGACTATGGCATCAAGCGTTTCTCTGTCAGTCCAGTCTAATTCTAAGCACTTAGAAATATAGTCCACTATCCAAACAGATGAAAAGGTAAACGTTGTGCTCCTTCCCTATAGATCACTGAGCTGGTCCACCAGAGGGACGTCACCAGGCAACTGATCAAGAACAAGGTCGACAACCCCAAGTCGTTTGAGTGGCTCAGCCAGATGCGCTTCTACTTTGACCCCAAGCAGACGGACGTGCTGCAGCAGCTGTCCATCCAGATGGCTAACGCCAAGTTCAACTATGGCTTTGAGTACCTAGGAGTCCAGGACAAGCTGGTCCAGACCCCCCTGACCGACCGCTGCTACCTGACCATGACCCAGGCCCTGGAGGCCAGGTTCGGTGGAGCCCCCTTTGGTACGCTCGAAGAACTGCATGCCACTCTCTAGACTCTACATAGCCAACAAAGTAGACAGTTTAAATTCTGAAAGGCAAACTGAGTTGCAACTTTATAGCATATCCTCTGGTGATTTTTATTTCCAGGGCCCGCCGGAACCGGAAAGACAGAGTCTGTGAAGGCTCTGGGTCACCAGCTGGGACGCTTCGTCCTGGTCTTCAACTGTGACGAGACCTTCGACTTCCAGGTACGCTAATACTGACTGATACTTTACGCTAAAAGAGGCTGATCTTTGGTTTAATGTTATTTTCAGAATGAGAGAAGCCTCTTTGAGGAGACCTGTTTCTCTGTTGTCTGCAGGCGATGGGTCGTATCTTCGTGGGCTTGTGCCAGGTAGGTGCCTGGGGCTGCTTCGACGAGTTCAATCGTCTGGAGGAGAGGATGCTGTCGGCCGTCTCACAGCAGGTCCAGTTCATCCAGGTGGCCCTGAGGGAGCACAGCAACCCCAACCGAGACCGCAGTACGTATCTCCACAAACTCATTGAAAGCTTCTTAGAATTGCATTTGAAAGTGCTTTTTAGTCCATGAAAATGTATTGTCCGGGAGGGCCATGTTATAAAAAAACATGAAATGTTGAATGACTGCTGACAATAATGCATCGTTCATTTCAAACCAAGCATGTCTTCATATGGCGTTGCACTTAAGAATGGAAGTTAAACAATGTCACCGTTTCCCCTTTCCCCAGGCGCTCCCGTCACCTGCGAGCTGCTCAACAAGCAGGTGAAGGTGAGCCCCGACATGGCCATCTTCATCACCATGAACCCCGGCTACGCCGGCCGCTCCAACCTGCCCGACAATCTGAAGAAGCTGTTCCGCTCCCTGGCCATGACTAAGCCCGACCGCCAGCTCATCGCCCAGGTCATGCTCTACTCCCAGGGCTTCCGCACCGCAGAGATCCTGGCCAAGAAGATCGTGCCCTTCTTCAAGTACGTACTGTACTCAACCAGGCCAGGGCTTGAGGCTCGGGTGTTGGGGGGGGTTAATATAGCTTCTGCTGCATATTTCCAACAACATTTGAGAGATCAAATAATGGGGAATCATTCATGCATGCCAGCACCACAACCCCCCCAAAGCTTCACTCTATTGGTCTAGTGTTCCTTCTCATTGACTAAAAATCTATTTCTCTCTGCACCTGCAGGCTGTGCGACGAACAGCTGTCCTCCCAGAGTCACTACGACTTTGGCCTGCGAGCCCTCAAGAGCGTGCTGGTCAGCGCCGGCAACGTGAAGCGGGAGCGCATCCAGAGGATCAAGAAGGATAAGCGTGAGCGCGGCGAGAACGTGGACGAGAACGAGATCGCGGAGAACCTCCCGGAACAGGAGGTAAAGGAACTGAAGTATCTGTGGCGGCATTAGTTTCTCTCTCTTCAGTTTTCTGAATTATTAAAAAACATGCTAATCCTATTGTCACAATACTCTTCCTGCAGTATGACCACCAACTAATCCCATGAGCCATATTTTTTACACTGGTTTAGGAGACCATGCCACCCAAAGTATAAAGATTAAAAGGACTGCCAATATTGCATGTATGGCATTGATTTTCTGTTATCTAGAAGGGATGTCGCCTAACCTCTGTGTCCCTGTCTGTTCAGATCCTGATCCAGAGTGTGTGTGAGACCATGGTGCCCAAGCTGGTGGCGGAAGACATCCCCCTGCTGTTCAGCTTGCTGTCGGACGTCTTCCCCGGCGTGCAGTACATGCGCGGCGAGATGACTGCACTGCGTGAAGAGCTCCGCAAGGTCTGCGCCGAGATGTTCCTCACCTATGGAGACGGAGACGACGTGGGCAGCATGTGGGTTGAGAAGGTACATAATGAAGCCCCCTTTTATTCATTCTGTATGGTTTCACCCAGAAATATAGATACAGAGTTTGGCAAAACCATTCTTTATCTTGATGACAATTAAAGTGTTACATCTGTGACAGTATCGCTGCTACTTTGAACTCTCACTGGAATGTAATTCCCTTGGAACCTTCGGTGGCGACCATTTTTTTTAAATGTCTGAATTTGAAACCAAGTTTTGTCTGCGCTCCCAAGACGTCAGCTAAGTGTCAAGTCTGTAATATGAAATCATATCATTCCAGGTGCTCCAACTGTACCAGATCACCCAGATCAACCACGGCCTGATGATGGTGGGGCCCTCTGGCAGTGGCAAGACCATGGCCTGGAGGGTGCTGCTCAAGGCCCTGGAGCGCCTGGAGGGAATGGAGGGCGTGGCCCACATCATCGACCCCAAGGCCATCAGCAAGGACCACCTGTACGGAACCCTGGACCCCAACACCCGCGAGTGGACCGATGGGCTCTTCACGCACGTGCTCAGGAAGTACGTATTAGTAGGCTTCAATGTACTGTGTTGTTTGTTCAAGATATTCTATGTAGTGTTATAGTGTCTCGCGACACGACTGGTGTCCCACAGGGCTTTGTACTAAGCCCTCTTGTTCTCTCTGTGCACCAAGACACTTCAGTTCTGTCATATCCTCACATGGTGTCTCTTGTCATTGTCAGGCTGATGACACTCAATGTTTTCTCTTTTTGTATATACAAATCCAGTCAATTAATTAATCGATTGTTTTGGGGGTTTTTTCATCCCAGGATCATTGACAACGTGAGAGGCGAGTTGCAGAAACGGCAGTGGATCATCTTCGATGGTGACGTGGACCCCGAGTGGGTAGAGAATCTCAACTCTGTGCTGGACGACAACAAGTTGCTCACCCTGCCCAACGGGGAGCGTCTCAGCCTGCCACCAAACGTATGTTGTGTCCCTCGAGCCACATCCTTTTTAATGACAAAATCCAGTACCATGACATGCACATCTGTAATACCGTTGGTCAACCTAAAAAATCTACATTCGAAATACACTTGCCCATACTGATTCAGTTTTAGTCCAGTTGGAGGCTTAATTTGGGTCATTATCTTTAAGTCCAAAGAAGGCAGTGATGCCGAAACGTTGGTGTTTTACTCAATCAATTACTGGGAGTTTATATACACTACCGTTCAAAAGTTTGGGGACACTTAGAAATTGAGGACCTCTGAGGCGGTTTTTTTCTAACTAGACACTAATGTATTTGTCCTCTTGCTCAGTTGTGCACCGGGGCCTCCCACTCCTCTTTCTATTCTGGTTAGAGCCAGTTTGCGCTGTTCTGTGAAGGGAGTAGCACACTGCGTTGTACGTGATCTTCAGTTTATTGGCAATTTCTCGCATGGAATAGCCTTCCTTTCTCAGAACAAGAATAGACTGACGAGTTTCAGAAGAAAGTTCTTTGTTTCTGGCCATTTTGAGCCTGTAATCGAACCCACAATTGCTGATGCTCCAGATACTCAACTAGTCTCAAGAAGGCCAGTTTTATTGCTTCTTTAATCAGCACAACCGTTTTCAGCTGTGCTAACATAATTGCAAAAGGGTTTTCTAATGATCAATCAGCCTTTTAAAATGATAAACTTGGATTAGCAAACACAACATGCCATTGGAACACAGGACTGATGGTTGCTGATAATGGGCCTCTGTACACCTATGTAGATATTCCATTAAAAATCAGCCTTTTCCAGCTACAATAGCCATTTACAACATGAACAATGTCTACACTGTATTTCTGATCAATTTGATGTTATTTTAATGGACAAAAAAATTGCTTTTCTTTCGAAAACAAGGACATTTCTAAGTGACCCCAAACTTTTGAACGGTAGTGTATATACAGTTGAAGTCGGAAGTTTACATACACTTAGGTTGGACTCATTAAAACTCGTTTTTCAACCACTCCACACATTTCTTGTTAACAAACTATAGTTTTGGGAAGTCGGTTAGGACATCTACTTTGTGCATGACACAAGTAATTTTTCCAACAATTGTTTACAGACAGATTATTTCACTTATAATTCACTGTATCACAATTCAAGTGGGTCAGAAGTTTACATACACTAAGTTGACTGTGCCTTTAAACAGCTTGGAAAAGTCCAGAAAATGATGTCATGGTTTTAGAAGCTTCTGATAGGCTAATTGACATCATTTGAGTCAATTGGAGGTGTACCTGTGGATGTATTTCAAGGCCTACCTCCAAACTCAGTGCCTCTTTGCTTGACATCATGGGAAAATCAAAATAAATCAGCCAAGACCTCAGGAAAAAGATTGTAGACCTCCACAAGTCTGGTTCATCCTTGGGAGCAATTTCCAAACGCCTGAATGTACCACGTTCATCTGTACAAACAATAGTACGCAAGTATAAACACCATGGGACCACGCAGCCGTCATACCGCTCTGGAAGGAGACGCGCTCTGTCTCCTAGATATGAATGTACTTTGGTGCGAAAAGTGCAAATCAATCCCAGAACAACAGCAAAGGACCTTGTGAAGATGCTGGAGGAAACAGGTACAGTATCTATATCCACAGTAAAACAAGTCCTATATCGACATAACCTGAAAGGCCGCTCAGCAAGGAAGAAGCCACTGCTCCAAAACCGCCATAAAAAAGCCAGACTACGGTTTGCAACTGCACATGGGGACAAAGATCATACTTTTTGGAGAAATGTCCTCTGGTCTGATGAAGCAAAAATAGAACTGTTTGGCCATAATGACCATCGTTATGTTTGGAGGAAAAAGGGAGATGCTTGTAAGCCGAAGAACACCATCCCAACCGTGAAGCACGGGGATGGCAGCATCATGCTGTGGGGGTGCTTTGCTGCAGGAGGGACTGGTGCACTTCACAAAATAGATGGCATCATGAGGAAGGAATATTATTTGGATATATTGAAGCAACGTCTCGACATCAGTCAGGATGTTAAAGCTTTATCGCAAATGGGTCTTCCAAATGGACATTGACCCCAAACATTCTTCCAAAGTTGTGGCAAAATGACTTAAGGACAACAAAGTCAAGTTATTGGAGTGGCCATCACAAAGCCCTGACCTCAATCCTATAGAATATTTGTGGGCAGAACTGAAAAAGCGTGTGCGAGCAAGGAGGCAGTTAAACAATTTAAAGGCAATGCTACCAAATACTAATTGAGTGTATGTAAACTTCTGACCCACTGGGAATGTGATGAAATAAATAAAAGCTGAAATAAATCATTCTCTCTACTATTATTCTGACATTTCACATTCTTAAAATAAAGTGGTGATCCTAACTGACCTAAGACAGGGATTTATTACTAGGATTAAATGTCAGGAATTGTGAAAAACTGAGTTTAAATGTATTTGGCTAAGGTGTATGTAAACTTCCGACTTCAACTGTGTGTATATATATATATAATAGAGCGTGCAACTCTCTTTTATTTATTTTTATAGCTTAAAGTTTATTCGCCGTTAGTAAGCGCATGCTTTTTATTAGTCCAAAGGGGGCTACCATTAAAACAATTTACATTTGGACCTGTGACATCAGCATTACTCTTCTTACTCCATTTGTAATTATTAAGGATCCCCGTTAGTTCATGCGAAGGCAGCAGCTACTCTTCCTGAGGTCCAGCAGCATAAGACAGTTACATACAGTTTAAAATACTACATGACATTACATTTCATAACACATTCAGTGTGTTCCACCACCACATATCTACAATACAACATCCATGTGCACGTGTGTGTAGAGTGCGTGTCTTATCGTGTGTATGTGTGTCTCTCCATAATGTGGTCTCTGTAGGTGCGCATCATGTTCGAGGTGCAGGATCTGAAGTATGCCACCCTGGCCACTGTGTCACGTTGCGGCATGGTCTGGTTCAGCGAAGACGTGCTCAGCACTGACATGATCTTCAACCACTTCCTGGCGCGCCTGCGCAGCATCCCATTGGACGAGGGCGAGGATGAGGCTTTCCGCATGCACAAGGGCACCGAGGACGAGGGCGAGGAGACCGCCTCCCCCATGCTGCAGGTTGGTACTGTAGTTACCCGGGGTCTTGTTCAGTAGGGCGCACCATAACAAAACGTTTCACTCTTGTTGGAAAATGTTTTCTCCCGACTGAACACAAACCTGCTCTCAGTTACGTTAGCAACACTCCACATTGTCCTCTACAGATCCAGAGGGACACGGCAGCCATCTTGCAGCCCTACTTCACTTCCACTGGGCTGGTGATCAAGACCCTGGAGCACGCCTCCAAGATGGAGCACATCATGGATTTCACGCGGCTGCGCTGCATGGGTTCCCTGTTCTCCATGCTTCACCAGGCCTGCCGCAACGTGGCGCTCTACAACAACAACCACTCCGACTTCCCCATGCCCAACGACCAGCTGGAGCGCTACATGCAGGTCAGTCAGCTGTGCCACAGCGCCTCCTGCTTGTGGGGAGACTAAATGGATACCCCCACGGGCTTGGTGCCAATTCCATTTCAATTCACTTCAGTTTAGGAGATGAATTGAAATTGCAGTTCAAGAATCGAGTAGGTGGGAAAAAAGATTCAAATGTTTTTTTCAATTCACTTGGTGGATTGATTTGAGTTGAAACTATCCTGTCAGACTGGAGATTTACCCCAGAGCATGAAGATCTGATGAATCCAGAGTACATTGCACTGAGCAGCCAAGCTCCGGTCACACTAAGCGTAATTACTATTGAGTGGTTTTCAAGAATCCGAACAATAACACTACATGGGTTTGTAACAATGCTGCAATAATTGTACACTTGATTTTTTGAAAAAATAATACATGGGTTTTCTAAATGTTAACCATGTTTCTGCATGGTGGTTCCACAGAGGTACCTGATCTACGCCGTGCTGTGGTCCTTCTCAGGCGATGGCCGGCTGAAGATACGTGGCGAGCTGGGTGAATATATCCGTCGCATCACCACTGTGCCCCTGCCCTCGGCGCCCAACGTGCCCATCATTGACTACGAGGTAGGAATGTGGATCACCCATTTTACTGTTTAAATTAAACACTTTATTTTATGTATTTGGTCTAATCCTGTGGTAGAACTGGAGCCAGGGCAGAACATTAACTTTTTGGGCACATCTCAATATCTGGTCCAGGTGTGAAAAATTTGAATAAATGTTTTCCTTTGGGTAAGTTGAGCCAATGGCCATGGGGTAAATTGGCCCAATGGTTGAGCCAATGGCAAATTGAGCCAGTGTTTTTTCTTCTTAGGCGTAATGCAAGGCATTTGAAACTGAAGCTGTGCTGTGCGAGTGAATTATTTCAGCGAGTGAGTGAAAAGCAGGGCATAAAATTAACTTTTTGGTCCACCAGGCACTGTGGCAGGTAGATTTATAAATCTACAAGCCACTCAGATTTTTTACCAGACACTACAATTACACCAACAAAACACAAACGGATGAGCATGCTTTGTAATGTTTCTAAAACAAATGTATTACTAGTAAGAAGTAATGTGGTATGTTGTTTAATTTCATTTTTTGTGACCTTAGTCTTTTAACCAAAATATCACAGATGAGACAAAAATGTTCACCTGCCCCTTTAAGGGCGGGAGGTTACCGTGGTAACGCAACTCATGTTTGTGCCTGTGAGATTGAGACTGACTAGTAGAAGTGTTGTCTTCTCTTCCCTAGCAGTTGAAACTTAAACACAGGAAAAACAACCTAGCTTATGAACAAAACAATGTAAATATCCAAGAAACACAAGGACAAAGTCTCACTTCAGTAGACTTTATTTTCAAGTAAATTAGCCCAACTTTTATGCCTGTACGCAGCGCTTCTAAAAATGAATCTTTAACTCGGCTCTTCACGTGCGCACAGCCTCAAGCGAGGCAGTGTTGCAGCATGAGGATTCATAGTTCTTTGACTTTGTGTGATTTTTAATTTACAAGCTATGAAACAAAACGGCAGAAATACTTTGAAGACTGCTACTGCAGCATTTATATTACTATAAATGTGATACATACTTTACTATTTTATTGTACAAATGCGAGTGAAATACTTGCACTGTGGAGCCCTGACCTCCCGCCAATGTGGCTGGTGAAATATAATTTTTACCCGCCAATGCCAAAATCTACCCGCAGGTGGCGGGTGTTAATTTTAGGTCCTGACGGGAGCCCTGAGTTTTTCCTGTTTTCCTGACCATACGAGCTAACTAGGAAAACCTCTTGTCCCAGAATTATACTCCAACCCTCCTTGTTTTTCTTTCTTGCCCTCAGGTCACCATTTCCGGAGAGTGGCAGTCGTGGCAGGGCAAGGTGCCCCAGATCGAGGTGGAGACCCACAAGGTGGCTAGCCCGGACGTGGTGGTGCCCACCCTGGACACGGTGCGCCACGAGGCCCTTCTCTACACCTGGCTGGCTGAGCACAAGCCCCTGGTCCTCTGCGGCCCGCCCGGCTCGGGTAAAACCATGACCCTGTTCAGCGCCCTCCGAGCTCTGCCTGACATGGAGGTAAGTGTGGTCAGAAGGGATGAGACTAGACCTGTAGTCTAAACTGACCATGGTCTGAGTCATGGGGTGTTTCTCAAAATGCATACTACCTTGCTCGGAGCACGCAAATTAGAGCACGGGCGGGTCGGAGTACGAGTCCAAATCAAAGTATGCGAAAGAGAGCACGGAGTGCACTTATCAAATGCACACTCCGTTTGTACATATTTTGAAGCATGCATCGTTGCAAGCTTCAACGGAAGGTATGCAAAGAAATATGACGCAACCACGTTTAAAAAAAATGACGCAACATTTCTTGAAATCAATGTAATGTTTTATGCGTTCTCCACACAAGAACATACTCAAGAGAACGTCCTCGGAGCATGAGAGTGTGGAGCACGGTAGTATGCATATTGAGAAACAATTTTTTTGTGCTGTATTGGAACAAAAGACGGCACACCCTGCAGTTGTCCACCCTAGAGCTAGACTAAGACTTCCAATGTCCACTTAGAATGAATACCCAATATATTGCTAATACCACAATAAGTATGCTAGTGTGGACATTTGACCAGAGGCTAAATCTTCAAGTGTGCCATTGAGTCCCATGTAGCTCAGTTGGTAGGTAGAGCATGGCGCTTGCAACGCCAGGGTTGTGGGTTTGATTCCCACGGGGGGCCAGTATGAAAATGTATGCACTCACTAACTGTAAGTCGCTCTGGATAAGAGCGTCTGCTAAATGACTAAAATGTAAATGTGAAATTTCATTCAAATTAATAATAGGTCTGCCTGCCTAAGTTCACCCTTTCACCTCTGCTCCCAGGTTGTGGGTCTGAACTTCTCCAGCGCCACCACCCCGGAGCTGCTGCTGAAGACCTTTGACCACTACTGCGAGTACCGCCGCACGCCCAACGGTGTGGTCCTGGCCCCCGTGCAGCTTGGCAAGTGGCTGGTGCTCTTCTGTGATGAGATCAACTTGCCCGACATGGACAAGTATGGCACCCAGAGAGTCATCTCCTTCCTCAGACAGGTGAGGGGGGGGGGGGGGGGGGGGGGTCTCGGCGTGTAAACACACACACACACACACTGGCTGGCTGTGTCTCAATAGGTTTAACATGCTTCCTTCCTTGGTGCCCTTTCCTCCATGATCACCTATCAGTGGTACTGAAGCAAAGGAGACAAGGAGACCAGGAAGGATGCCATTGAGAATAGGCCAGTGTGTTCTGAAGTTAAACACGAAGGCAGGGGTAGACAACCCTGGTACTGGATGGCCGCAGGCACTTCCATGTTTTTTTTTATTTAACCGACCTGGAAGACCAAGGTGTGTTGAATTTAGGAAATCACTGAACTGATCAATTATCTCAGTTGGTCATGTGTGGTGCCTAGTTGGAACAAAATCCAACAGTACCACTCCAGGAACAGGGTTTCCTACCCCTGCACTAAGGCCTATGTTAGGCACAGTACCACTCCAGGAACAGGGTTTCCTACCCCTGCACTAAGGCCTATGTTAGGCACAGTACCACTCCAGGAACAGGGTTTCCTACCCCTGCACTAAGGCCTATGTTAGGCTGAGGTCCCGCTGGAGCGTTAGCTCATCCTCCCCTGGTGTTTCCTCCTGCAGATGGTGGAGCACGGTGGCTTCTACCGCACCTCAGACCAGACCTGGGTCAAGCTGGAGAGGATCCAGTTTGTGGGAGCCTGTAACCCCCCCACCGACCCCGGCAGGAAGCCCCTCACCCACAGGTACACTGTCAACATGACCTGTGACCTTTCTGAGACGATGTAGCTTTATCCTGGGTCTTGTTCAGTAGTAGCGACTCGCATGGTACACAGCGAAGGAGCGATATGACACACTGTAGAAAAATGCTTTGAAACTGAAAAAAGGAAAGGAGCATTTCGTATTGGAAAAGGCCAAGTAGTCCCCTCCCCTTTTCAATCACTTTTCTACCGCTTGGTGTCTAATGAACTCGACCCCGGACTAGACTCACTGTGGTCGGTTTTGAATGATGAGGAAGTGTTGTGTGATTTTGAATTGTAGGTTCCTGCGCCACGTGCCAGTGGTGTACGTGGACTACCCTGGCCCCGCCTCCCTCACTCAGATCTACGGGACCTTCAACCGGGCCATGCTGCGTCTCATCCCTTCGCTGCGTACCTTCGCCGAGCCCCTCACCGCCGCCATGGTGGAGTTCTACACCATGTCTCAGGTAAGGGCCTACGTACCAAACATAGATGGATACAGGAGTAGAAGTATTTACAGTTATCTACAGTAGTGGTATTTACAGTATTATCAACAGTAGTAGCAGTTGGTGTTATCTACAGTAGTAGTATTTACAGTAGTAGTAGTATTTACAGTAGTATCTGTAGTAGTAGTAGTAGTTGGTGTTATTTACAGTAGTAGTAGTATTTACAGTAGTAGTAGTAGTAGTGGTGGTAGTAGTAGTGGTGGTAGTAGTAGTAGTATTTGCAGTAGTATTTAATAATAATAATAATAATATGCCATTTAGCAGACGCTTTTATCCAAAGCGACTTACAGTCATGCGTGCATACATTTTTGTGTATGGGTGGTCCCGGGGATCGAACCCACTACCTTGGCGTTATAAGCGCCGTGCTCTACCAGCTGAGCTACAGAGGACCACATTTAGAGTATTATCACATTTTGCCATGTTATTTTGATATCTGAGTGACTAACAAAATCAATGGAGGCCACCGGAGGTCAGGGGCCTATGCCGCGTGCCCAGTCGGTATTCCACCACGATAGCTGGCTAGACTAACATACTCATTTAAAAATGGTTAACTGTCAGTGACTGGTGTAACGAGAGAAACTGCTGATGCAAAACCAAATTTGCGTATTCTACTATTCTGACTCTAAACAGTAAGTTGAGACCCTGACTGAGTTCCTAAATTTTTTTATTTATATATCTTTTTTTTTACTCTGACGTGTCGCGACACACCATTAACATGTCCGCAACCCACTTTGGGTCGTGACCCATACTTTAAGGCTGATCACTACAGTAGTAGTAGTATTTACAGTATTATCTACAGTAGTATTATCTAATGTAGTATCTACAGTTATCTACAGTAGTAGTAGTAGTATTTAGTGGTATTTATGTCTATGGTACCACATCCTCACAAATATGCGTTGTATAGGAGCCATTCTCAATGTCCGATTTATAGTGCTGAACACAATGGTAGGGTAGGATGTCGCCTGGTCCCAGATCAGTTTATGCCATCTTGTCAAAACCTACGGTTGTCGGCAAAACGGCACAAACGGATCTCGGACCAGGGTAGATTGGATGTGCTGTAAGCGAACTGACCTTTGACCTCATGGAGCATGTCCTTTTATCCACTACAGGAACGCTTCACCCAAGACACCCAGCCCCACTACATCTACTCTCCCCGTGAGATGTCCCGCTGGGTGAGGGGCATCTTCGAGGCCCTGCGGCCCCTGGAGACACTCCCTGTGGAGGGTCTCATCCGCATCTGGGCCCACGAGGCCCTGCGCCTCTTCCAGGACAGGTATGTGTGTTCAGTACTTAGGGAAGTAGCCAGACTACCCCCCCCCTCCAAAGTAGCCTAGTAGAATCTTTGGGGAAAAGATTGTTTAGCATTATTAATAGGGCTTGGAGTTTTCCCTTACCAGGTAAAACAGCAGATGCTTGTTCCAGGCTATAACCAAGGCCCTGAGTTTTCCTGATTTTTGTGACCTGATCGATAAAAGTTAGATGCAAAGAGATCAATGTTGTTCTCTAAGTCCTGACTGAGCTGCTAAACTATTCTCTCCCAAACACAGGTTGGTGGAGGATGAGGAGAGGCGCTGGACAGACGAAAACATTGACATGGTGGCCCTCAAGCACTTCCCCAACATTGACCGTGAAAAGGCCCTTAACAGACCTATCCTCTACAGCAACTGGCTCTCTAAGGTGAGATTCCTGCCCATAGACGCAATATAATACTGTTCTGTTTATACAGACGCAATATAATACTGTTCTGTTTATACAGACGCAATATAATACTGTTCTGTTTATACAGACGCAATATAATACTGTTCTGTTTATACAGACGCAATATAATACTGTTCTGTTTATACAGACGCAATATAATACTGTTCTGTTTATACAGACGCAATATAATACTGTTCTGTTTATACAGACGCAATATAATACAGTTATGTTTTATATAGATTCAATATAATACGTTTCTGTTTATACAGACGCAATATAAAACAGTTATGTTTTATATAGATTCAATATAATACGTTTCTGTTTATACAGACGCAATATAATACAGTTATTTTTTATATAGATTCAATATAATACTGTTCTGTTTATATAGATGCAATATAATACTGTTCTGTTTATACAGATGCAATATAATACGGTTATTTTTAATGATATGTATCTGCATATGTTGCGGCGTCTCATAACTACCATATAGACATACCTACTATGAATGTAGCCAAGAAATTGACAATCATGGCTTGTGTATGTTGAATGAAGCTGCTTTTTAGTTGGTGTGTTAATGGTTGCCTGTCACCCTCCTCAGGATTACATCCCAGTGGAACAGGAGGAGCTGAGGGACTACGTCAAGGCCCGTCTGAGGGTCTTCTACGAGGAGGAGCTGGACGTGCCACTGGTGCTCTTCAACGAGGTTCTGGACCATGTCCTCCGAATCGACCGGTAAATAAATAATACTTCTCTGCTTCACATTGTGGGATTTAGCACGTGGATACACTTGAGGTTTTTGATATGACTCCTTACTTGACACTGTTAAAACGGACAATTCATGTCCTTTCCAGAATCTTCCGACAACCCCAGGGTCATCTCCTCCTGATTGGAGTCAGTGGAGCAGGAAAGACTACCCTGTCACGCTTCGTGGCCTGGATGAACGGTCTGAGTGTCTATCAGATCAAGGTTAGTAAAGAAAAGTCCACCGGTAATGGCTAACTGTAAATCTAACACTGTTCCTTTTGAATTACCATTTTAAAGCTATCTTGAATTGTCATCCCGAGACAATACAACAAATATTATGAGTGGGAAAAGTAGTGTTTCCGAGTTTGCAGAAGTGTCTGTGTGGAATCCATCGGATGTAAATTGGAATAAGTCAATATGTATGTTGTAATGAGTTCAGTGGTTGAATGAGGTGCTGAATGCATTGTGATGTCTCTGTTCAGGTCCATAGGAGGTACACGGGCGACGACTTTGACGAGGACCTGCGGACGGTGCTGCGTCGCTCCGGCTGCAAGAACGAGAAGATCGCCTTCATCATGGACGAGTCCAACGTGCTGGACTCTGGCTTCCTGGAGCGCATGAACACCCTGCTGGCCAACGGAGAGGTAGAGACTGAGACCAACAACCCGGGCTGCACTTTAATACTCAAAAGTAGAACCGTCTCCTTTCCTCCGTCTGCACTGACATTGAAGAGACAGGATGGGTTGAAGGCAAAATCCGAGATCCATATTGCTTTCACCTATCCTGTGTCAGGTCAGAGCAGATGGAGACGTGACAAGGAAAGGTAGTCACTTTAAACTATTGATATATCCCCTGTTGCCTCTTCCATAGGTCCCTACCTAGATACTGCTATTGAGAAACTTGTTGGATAATGATATTGAGATGCTTGTTGGTAGGAAACACCACACCCTCAAGTTCCTATATACACTACATTACCAAAAGTATGTGGACACCTGCTCGTCGAACATCTCATTCCAAGGGCATTAATATGGAGTTGGTCCCCCCTTTGCTGCTATAACAGCCTCCACTCTTCTGGGAAGGCTTTCCACTAGACGTTGGAACATTGCTGCGGGGACTTGATTCCATTCAGCCATAAGAGCATTAGTGAGGTTGGGCACTGATGTTGGACGATTAGGCTTGGCTCGCAGTCGGCGTTCCAATTCATCCCAAAGGTGTTCGATGGGGTTGAGGTCAGGGCTCTGTGCAGGCCAGTCAAGTTCTTCCACACCGATCTCGACAAACCATTTCTGTATGGACCTCGCTTTGTGCACGGGGGCATTGTCATGCTGAAACAGGAAAGGGCCTTCCCCAAACTGTTGCCAGAAAGTTGGAAGCACAGAATCGTCTAGAATGTCATTGAATGCTGTAGTGTAAAGATTTCCCTTTGAGTGCATGTAAACTTCTGACCCACTGGGAATGTGATGAAATAAATAAATCATTCTCTCTACTATCACTCTAACATTTCACATTCTTAAAATAAAGTGGTGATCCTAACTGACCTAAGACAGGGATTTTTTACTAGGATTAAATGTCAGGAATTGTGAAAAACTGAGTTTAAATGTATTTGGCTAAGGTGTATGTAAACTTCCGACTTCAACTGTGTGTGTCCCTGCCCAGGTGCCAGGTCTGTTTGAGGGTGATGAGTACGCTGCCCTGATGACCCAGTGTAAGGAGGGCGCCCAGAAGGAAGGCATGATGCTGGACACCCACGAGGAGCTCTACAAGTGGTTTACTAGCCAGGTCATCAGGAACCTGCACGTGGTCTTCACCATGAACCCCTCGTCTGAGGGCCTGAAGGACCGCGCTGCCACCTCACCTGCCCTCTTCAACAGGTGGGGCCTCCTATAGCCACACCTACAGTCAAGGCCTAAAATTAACTTTTTGGTCCGCTAGCCACAGTGGCAGGTAGATGGGGGGAAAATCTACCAGCCACTCAGATTTTTTACCAGACATAATATTTTTGCGCCATAATTACATCAACAAACACAAAAAAAAAACTGATGATCATGCTTAATGATTCTAAAACCCAAAATGTATTAGTAAGAAGTAATGTGATATATTGCTCAATTTCATTCGATTTTTTTTGTGACCCGATTTTATTTTATTAACCAAAATATCAGATGAGACAAAATATTCAGCTGCCCCTTTTAAGAGCTGGGGGTTACCGTGGTAACGGGGCCACTCGAGTCATGTCTGTGTGTGAGATTTGTGATCTGACTAGGGCGTGGGTCTCTTCGCTATCAGTTGAAGCAGCAGACTCAAACTAACGTTGAAAAACAACCGAGCTTGTGAACAAAACAATGTAAATAGCCAAGAAACACGAAGACAAAGTCTCACTTCAGTAGACTTTTCGTTTTAAGTAAATTAGACCAACCTTTATGTCTGTGCACAGCGCCTCCAGAAATGAATCTATCAGGGACAGTGCACAAAACTCCCCAGCCAGGCATTGTTGCTGTGCGAGGTGGGATATAGATTTTTATTTATTTGTGCGATTAGCAGCTATGAAACAAAAAAAGCAGAAGTACTTTGAAAACGGCGACTGCAGCATTTTTCCTGTTATAAATCACAGCTCACAGGTGCTCCTACTTGACTTTGTACTCTATTTTATCTGTAAATGCCAATGTTCTCCCTGTAGAGACCTGCAAATTGACCACCCACCTACGTGGTTGGTGAAATAGACATTCTTACCCGCCTACACCTAAATCTACCCGTGTGTGGCGGGTGTTAATTTTATTCCCTGCCTACAGTACAGTGGTGCTGGTCTTACCCTAGTAGCTGACTCTAAACGCACAAAAATATTTCCATTGAACACATTTACTCACTGTCGCTGGTCACTCAGTAGTGGCTGATTCGGAACTCTTACAAAATCATTTTTGGTTGAAATTGATTATTTTGGACCCATTTTTGAATAGACGACACACTGCACTCGATCTCTGTCTTCTTCAGATCTGCCATGGTTGTAGCCTTTCGGCGCGGTATCTGTGTTGCCCTCTCCGTAACGCTTTCTCTCTTCCCTTCCACAGGTGTGTGTTGAATTGGTTTGGAGACTGGTCAACTGAGGCCCTCTACCAAGTGGGCAAAGAGTTCACCATCAAACTGGACCTGGAGAAACCCAACTACAAGGTGCCTGACTACATGCCCGTGGTGTACGACAAGCTGCCCCAGCCACCATCTCACCGCGAGGCCATCGTCAACGGCTGTGTGTTTGTCCACCAGACACTGCACCAGGTCAGACTCACGCTTTGGTCATCAGACCTGGGTTCAAATTGTATTTGTTGTTTTTTTCCAAAACCTTAGCTGTACTTGATTGAGCTCGCCTAGTGCAATGGAACCAATGGAATAGTCCCATAAGTGCAAAGACTGCCCCCCTGGCACTCCAGGCAGGCTCAATCAAACGCTTAAAGTATTTGAAAGAATATAAATACCGGGCCTATGCACTTGTGGAGATCTGAGAGGATTTGATTGGTATAAGCAATATGGTGAAACTTCCACCTATCCTATCAGAGGGCAAGGTGGAGCTTTTACCAGATTGATTGCACCTGTCAATTCCTCTCAGATCTCCACAAGTGTGCTTAGAGGACGATTTGGGATTGGGACAACATTTTTAAACCAGGTCTGTCGATCATACGACGGTAAAATGGTACTCGCGTTTGCTTGCGATGGCGTTCTTCCTCCTCAGGCTAACAGCCGGCTGTCCAAGCGCGGTGGACGCACCATGGCCATCACCCCGCGCCACTACCTGGACTTCATCAACCACTACGCCGACCTGTTCAACGAGAAGCGCAGTGAGCTGGAGGAGCAGCAGATGCATCTCAACGTGGGCCTGAGGAAAATCAAGGAGACCGTGGACCAGGTGACGCTTCCTTCCACAGTAGTCTTTCCTGACAAACAAAAAACTTAAGACGTGGATAGAGCTAGCTAGCTAGCTTGCTTGCAGATACACAATTTGGTTCAGTGTTTCAAGATGATGGTAGATTATTGTCCGTTCCAGGTGTTTGATACCACAGTCTGGATCTTTATCTTCACCCATAGGTGGAGGAACTGCGTCACGACCTGAGGATCAAGAGCCAGGAGCTGGAAGGTGAAGAACGCCGACGCCAACGACAAGCTGAAGAAGATGGTCAAAGACCAGCAGGAGGCTGAGAAGAAGAAGGTGAGATAGAGGACCTACTTCACTGTATACCAGTGGTCTGAAAATTCCGTCCCACTGGGCCAAGAAATAAGCAGCTCGGGTCCTGATGTGGCTCCCGGGGCCGGCACTTTCAGATCTCTGCTGTGTACTAAAGTCTGTGGAAGTGGATGGTGGTTGTACTAGACCTGTGTGTGTTTTTCAATGGGGATTTCTAGGTGATGAGTCAGGAGATCCAGGAGTCTGTGTACAAGCAACAGGAGAAGATCAAGGACAAACAGCTGAGTGTCAAGGTCGACCTGGATCAGGTGGAGCCGGCTGTTATAGAGGCCCAGAATGGTATGTCTCCCTTCTATGGGTTCTGGATTATAATTTTTTTATTTTTTTTGCCTTCCACTTCTGATGGGGGCTTTAGTTTAGTCATTGTTGCAAAATCAGCTTTAGAACCAGACTGATCGAATATAACAAGCAGTGTTATTTGGGAGCGTTCATATTTGCGATGTCACTGCTGCTGTTGAATGATTGCATCCCCAAGTTTACATTATGAGATGCCCAACTGATAGGAACAACACGTTTACTTTATGAGATGCCCAACTGATAGGAACAACACGTTTACATTATGAGATGCCCAACTGATAGGAACAACACGTTTACATTATGAGATGCCCAACTGATAGGAACAACACGTTTACATTATGAGATGCCCAACTGATAGGAACAACACGTTTACATTATGAGATGCCCAACTGATAGGAACAACACGTTTACATTGAGATGCCCAACTGATAGGAACAACACGTTTACATTATGAGATGCCCAACTGATAGGAACAACACGTTTACATTATGAGATGCCCAACTGATAGGAACAACACGTTTACATTATGAGATGCCCAACTGATAGGAACAACACGTTTACATTATGAGATGCCCAACTGATAGGACCAACACGTTTACATTATGAGATGCCCAACTGATAGGAACAACACGTTTACATTATGAGATGCCCAACTGATAGGAACAACACGTTTACATTATGAGATGCCCAACTGATAGGAACAACACGTTTACATTATGAGATGCCCAACTGATAGGAACAACACGTTTACATTATGAGATGCCCAACTGATAGGAACAACACGTTTACATTATGAGATGCCCAACTGATAGGAACAACACGTTTACATTATGAGATGCCCAACTGATAGGAACAACACGTTTACATTATGAGATGCCCAACTGATAGGAACAACACGTTTACATTATGAGATGCCCAACTGATAGGAACAACACGTTTACATTATGAGATGCCCAACTGATAGGAACAGCACGTTTACATTATGAGATGCCCAACTGATAGGAACAACACGTTTACATTATGAGATGCCCAACTGATAGGAACAACACGTTTACATTATGAGATGCCCAACTGATAGGAACAACACGTTTACATTATGAGATGCCCAACTGATAGAAACAAGAATGCTCTTGCTCTTTTTGAGCAGATTTCTTTGTTTCTTTCCAAGTTTTCAACATAGGTTCTTTATTGTCCTCTCTCCCACGGTCTCCCGGTACGAGATGGATATCTCTCTTCTCATTCTAACTTCTCTGCTTTTCTTCTCACTTTCCCTCTTTGCTGTTGCTTCTCCTCCCCGTCCTCTTGTGCCCCCCTCTGGCTGGGGTTAGCCGTTAAGTCCATTAAGAAGCAGCATCTGGTGGAAGTGCGTTCCATGGCCAACCCGCCGGGGGCGGTCAAGCTGGCCCTGGAGTCCATCTGCCTGCTCCTGGGAGAGAGCACCACGGACTGGAAGCAGATCCGCTCCATCATAATGAGGGAGAACTTCATCCCCACCATTGTTAACTTTTCTGCCGATGAGATCAGGTGACCATGAGTGTTTTTGTTGGAGGGGGAAGATGGCAGCGGTGGGGTTTGGGTGACCGAGGGAAGTGGTGTCTGTGATTGTTCAATGGCAGAGAGGAGTTGCGTGATTGACACTTCATTTAACCAATTACAGAGCGGTTTGGTCTGAGCTGCCGACATGTTTTGGAACGTCTGCAGTAAATATAGTTTTAAAAACCTAGAGCATGACTCATTCCTGCTAGCAAGTTTTAAGAGATCCAAAATGGCCTCTTACTTCAATGGAGTTCAAATGCCTAAACACCTCTGCCCCGAAACACAGTCCCTTCGCCCCCCCCCTCTTCCAACCCTGCTGCTGTGGATCTCCCCTCCTTCCACCCCTTCTGCATGGTTCCTAAAGAGCGGTCCACCCTCTCTTTTACCCTCCCCCCCTCCATCCCTCCCCAGCCGTCAGCTCTATTAAGCGTCACCATCTTGTTGAAGTGCGTGCCATGACCAACCCCCCACCCGCGGTAAAGCTGGCGTTAGAGTCTATCTGCTTACTGCTGGGCGAGGAGACTAATGACTGGAAAAAGATCAGACAAGTTATTGTCAGGGACAATTTCATCACCAACATAGTCAACTTTGTCTCAGAGGACATGAGGTACTGTGCATATCCATTTTATATTACTCTGATCTCAAAATCTTCCTCACGCAGTTGTGATTCAACGTATTTTTGTTAATTGACAATCGGTTGTCTTGAGAAATCAGAATCAAAAATCAGAGTAATGTACTGATTTATTGTTAGTTTACCAATCTTGGCATGATGATACTCATTGAATCAAGTAAGCATGTCCAGCAGTTGGCTAGATATGTTTTCTGGTCGTAGTCGGTAGCCATACAATTAGTCTGAAATCAGTCACTACAACCTGTACCCATTTAGATGGAACATTTCAAATTTATTCATAAGTCACAGAATACAAAATGGAATACAATTTTCCACTTGAAGGGAAATTTCACCTTAGCTCTGCCATGGTCATTACTACACTGCTCAAGAAAATTAAGGGAAACACTAAAATAACACATCCTAGATCTGAATGAATGAAATAATCTTATTAAATACTTTTTTCTTTACATAGTTGAATGTGCTGACAACAAAATCACACAAAAATTATCAATGGAAATCAGATGTATCAACCCATGGAGGTCTGGATTTGGAGTCACCCTCAAAATTAAAGTGGAAAACCACACTACAGGCTGATCCAACTTTGATGTAATGTCCTTAAAACAAGTCGAAATGAGGCTCAGTAGTGTGTGTGTGGCCTCCACGTGCCCGTATGACCTCCCTACAACGCCTGGGCATGCTCCTGATGAGGTGGCGGATGGTCTCCTGAGGGATCTCCTCCCAGACCTGGACTAAAGCATCCGCCAACTCCTGGACAGTCTGTGGTGCAACGTGGCGTTGGTGGATGGAGCGAGACATGATGTCCCAGATGTGCTCAATTGGATTCAGGTCTGGGGAACGGGCGGGCCAGTCCATAGCATCAATGCCTTCCTCTTGCAGGAACTGCTGACACACTCCAGCCACATGAGGTCTAGCATTGTCTTGCATTAGGAGGAACCCAGGACCAACCGCACCAGCATATGGTCTCACAAGGGGTCTGAGGATCTCATCTCGGTACCTAATGGCAGTCAAGCTACCTCTGGCGAGCACATGGAGGGCTGTGCGGCCCCCCAAAGAAATGCCACCCCACACCATGACTGACCCACCGCCAAACCGGTCATGCTGGAGGATGTTGCAGGCAGCAGAACGTTCTCCACGGCGTCTCCAGACTCTGTCACGTCTGTCACGTGCTCAGTGTGAACCTGCTTTCATCTGTGAAGAGCACAGGGCACCAGTGGCGAATTTGCCAATCTTGGTGTTCTCTGGCAAATTCCAAACGTCCTGCACGGTGTTGGGCTGTAAGCACAACCCCCACCTGTAGACGTCGGGCCCTCATACCACCCTCATGGAGTCTGTTTCTGACCGTTTGAGCAGACACGTGCACATTTGTGGCCTGCTGGAGGTCATTTTGCAGTGCTCTGGCAGTGCTCCTCCTTGCACAAAGGCGGAGGTAGCAGTCCTGCTGCTGGGTTGTTGCCCTCCTACGGCCTCCTCCACGTCTCCTGATGTACTGGCCTGTCTCCTGGTAGCGCCTCCATGCTCTGGACACTACGCTGACAGACACAGCAAACCTTCTTGCCACAGCTCGCATTGATGTGCCATCCTGGATGAGCTGCACTACCTGAGCCACTTGTGTGGGTTGTAGACTCCGTCTCATGCTACCACTAGAGTGAAAGCACCGCCAGCATTCAAAAGTGACCAAAACATCAGCCAGGAAGCATAGGAACTGAGAAGTGGTCGGTGGTCACCACCTGCAAAACCAGTCCTTTATTGGGGGTGTCTTGCTAATTGCCTATAATTTCCACCTGTTGTCTATTCCATTTGCACAACAGCATGTGAAATGTATTGTCAATCAGTGTTGCTTCCTAAGTGGACAGTTTGATTTCACAGAAGTGTGATTGACTTGGAGTTACATTGTGTTGTTTAAGTGTTCCCTTTATTTTTTTGAGCAGTGTATATTAACATTACGTTTTGTCATAAATATAAAAAAATCTCCTCACCACAAGCTAGAACGAGGGCATTTTAAATTCAGAAAGTTTAGACTTCCTGTGTATTCGTCTGCTCGACTTGTACCACCACTCCGGCATTCATAGCGAATGCACGATGCACAACGGGGCCAGAGCAGGAAGCACCGCCCCACGCCAAGCTGTGGTCTTTCAGAGTCTGGAAAAAATGGCGCCTTGTACATTTAGCAATGGATCCGCCAATAGGAACATCGCTGAAAGATGTCCAAGGGCTCGATCAAACAAGGACAACCATATCTACACGCACACAAATGTGTAGTGTGATCGGTATAACATGGAGGCTTCGCGAAATGCCACAAAGCAGGACTACTTTCATTTTCAGATCTCATCCACCCCATCAAAACACTAGATGTTGTCATCGCCTTTGTGGTCAAATATGTGTGAAGGACTTCAGGCACGATCAAAACAAACCCAGTCATATTTTGGTGAAATTTCCCTTTAACAACCAAAACCCTTTTATTTTTGCTTCCTTGCACGCCACCCCTTTCGTACATAATTTCATCCATGATCATTTTTCAAATACCCTGCTCACAAATTTTAATTCATTTAACATTTTATACAATTGCCTGTTGCTCTGTCCTAACCCTGTGACCGCTATCGTAATGCAGTGAGTCAATCCGTGAGAAAATGAAGAAGAATTACATGTCCAACCCCAACTTCAACTACGAGATGGTCAACAGGGCCTCCCTGGCCTGTGGCCCCATGGTCAAATGGGCCATCGCTCAGGTAAGGAAACCACCGGCCACTGACCTTATACTGGGAACGGTTTAAGGGTGAATCTAAAGTCTTTCCTCGATTCCTTGCGTCCTCTCTCCTCGTCTCCTTCTCAAAACTAATTGGAGGAGAAGGTCATAGAGGAGGAATCTTGGATCTTCTCTTCCGATGCATTTCGAGGAGATTTGGAGAGAGGAAAGATTTGAGATTCACCCAATGTCTAGTGAGTGCCAGGAGTAAATTATTTCTTACCACGTGTAAAAACTCTGCGCCCTACTTATAACCTGCAATTATTGACCCGTCTCTTCCCCCTCTTCTAGCTGAACTACGCTGACATGTTGAAGCGCGTGGAGCCGCTGAGGAACGAGCTGCAGAAGCTGGAGGACGATGCCATGGACAATAAGTCCAAGGCGGAGGAGGTGGAGCAGATGATCCACGACCTGGAGTCCAGCATCGCCCGCTACAAGGAGGAGTACGCCGTACTCATCTCTGAGGCCCAGGCCATTAAGGCCGATCTGGCCGCCGTCGAGGCAAAGGTAGGGAAGTCCATCCGCCCATAAAACAACCATTCCTAATAAACTAAACCATTTCACCATCTCCATAACTTTAGCAAGAGATACCATTTCGCCATCTCCATAACCTTAGGAATTAGCAAGAGATTTAGGAAATGCGTTTTAGAGCAAGGAGTGCTTTTTCAATGAACAAGGCTTGCATCTCGTCTATGAAAACTCTGAGTCAATGCCCTAGACTTGACAATAGTATACAGTGTAAATGTGATGTTTCTGTTTTTTTTAAATATAATTTGCTAAGAAAATCTAAAAACCTGTTTTTGCTTTGTCATTATGGGGTATTGTGTGTCAATTGATGAGGAAAACAATTGATTTAATCAATTTTAGAATAAGGCTGTACCATAACAAAATTTGGAAAAAGTGAAGGGATCTGATTTCTTTCCAAATGCACTGTATAGCCCTAGGGGATGAGTCTTTTCAGTTTAGAGCTCCATTCCAATGTAAAGCAATTGAAGACCAGGTGGAAAAGCGCTGTATCAATCCATCATTGTTAAATCTGATCGTCTTCTGTGAGTGCAGGTGAACCGCAGCACAGCCCTGCTCAAGAGCCTGTCTGCCGAGAGCGAGCGCTGGGAGAAGTCCAGCGAGACGTTCAAGAACCAGATGGCTACCATCGCCGGGGACTGCCTGCTGTCGGCAGCCTTCATTGCCTACGCAGGCTACTTCGAGCAGCAGATGAGACAGAACCTCTTCACCACCTGGTCGCACCACCTGCAGCAGGCCAACATTCAGGTACTGGGGGGGGGGGTTGTTCAGCGGCTCATGTAACGAGGGTAGTTCTCAGCACTAGGCTTTAGTTTACATGATGAGTAGGGAGGGGTCATGAGTTTTTCTAGGTCAGATCACGTGATGAGGGTTAAAAATACTGGCCCTAATGATAAATGACCTTGCCGGAGATGTGGAGAATTGTTTTGTCTCCCATGACTATTTCCTAGGCTTTAGTTCAGACGGCTAACTGTCTTGAGTCGCATGGACAACCCAAGTTCGAAACCCAGACTTTAACACCAACTCTGGCAGTCATCTGTAACTCAAGGCAGTATTTTTTTCTTTGTAATGTTCTAGACTCAATTTTGTATGGCTAAGCAGATCTGTCTCTCCTACTAGTTCCGTACGGACATCGCCAGGACTGAGTACCTGTCCAATGCGGACGAGAGGCTGCGCTGGCAGGCCAACTCCCTCCCGGCGGACGACCTCTGCACCGAGAACGCCATCATGCTCAAGAGGTTCAACAGGTGAGTGTGTCCATCCGAATCACAATATCATCCATCATCTCTTCTCCCCCATCTAGGAACTGGAGTATCCTACATGACCAACACTGAGGGGTAGAGGGTGGTAGTTCTATCATCAACCTGGAGTATCCTACATGACCAACACTGAGGGGTAGAGGGTGGTAGTTCTATCATAAACCTGGAGTATCCTACATGACCAACACTGAGAGGTAGAGGGTGGTAGTTCTATCATAAACCTGGAGTATCCTACATGACCAACACTGAGGGGTAGAGGGTGGTAGTTCTATCATAAACCTGGAGTATCCTACATGACCAACACTGAGAGGTAGAGGGTGGTAGTTCTATCATAAACCTGGAGTATCCTACATGACCAACACTGAGAGGTAGAGGGTGGTAGTTCTATCATAAACCTGGAGTATCCTACATGACCAACACTGAGGGGTAGAGGGTGGTAGTTCTATCATAAACCTGGAGTATCCTACATGACCAACACTGAGAGGTAGAGGGTGGTAGTTCTATCATAAACCTGGAGTATCCTACATGACCAACACTGAGAGGTAGAGGGTGGTAGTTCTATCATAAACCTGGAGTATCCTACATGACCAACACTGAGGGGTAGAGGGTGGTAGTTCTATCATAAACCTGGAGTATCCTACATGACCAACACTGAGGGGTAGAGGGGTGGTAGTTCTATCATAAACCTGGAGTATCCTACATGACCAACACTGAGGGGTAGAGGGTGGTAGTTATATCATAAACCTGGAGTATCCTACATGACCAACACTGAGGGGTAGAGGGTGGTAGTTCTATCATAAACCTGGAGTATCCTACATGACCAACACTGAGGGGTAGAGGGTGGTAGTTCTATCATAAACCTGGAGTATCCTACATGACCAACACTGAGGGGTAGAGGGTGGTAGTTCTATCATAAACCTGGAGTATCCTACATGACCAACACTGAGGGGTAGAGGGTGGTAGTTCTATCATAAACCTGGAGTATCCTACATGACCAACACTGAGGGGTAGAGGGTGGTAGTTCTATCATAAACCTGGAGTATCCTACATGACCAACACTGAGAGGTAGAGGGTGGTAGTTCTATCATAAACCTGGAGTATCCTACATGACCAACACTGAGGGGTAGAGGGTGGTAGTTCTATCATAAACCTGGAGTATCCTACATGACCAACACTGAGGGGTAGAGGGTGGTAGTTCTATCATAAACCTGGAGTATCCTACATGACCAACACTGAGGGGTAGAGGGGTGGTAGTTCTATCATAAACCTGGAGTATCCTACATGACCAACACTGAGGGGTAGAGGGTGGTAGTTCTATCATAAACCTGTATTGAAGGCTGAACGCCTCACTGCGGATCCTGTCGGGAGATACATAAACTTTACCATTTAAATGTTTGTATAATGAATGCCTATCCTAGTTCCACAGTGCATCCAATAGTGTGATGGATAGACTGTGTTTTTAAAGACTCCTGGAAAGCTAGCCCTTTCTTTGGGCTAAATGAGATCCTAATAAAAAACAAAACTTTGCCTTTTCCCAGGTATCCCCTGATCATCGACCCGTCCGGCCAGGCCACAGAGTTCATCATGAACGAGTACAAGGATCGCAAGATCACCAGGACCAGCTTCCTGGATGACGCATTCCGGAAGAACCTGGAGAGCGCTCTGCGTTTCGGAAACCCTCTGCTTGTGCAGGTCAGAACAGACTTCTCGGTCTATCCAGCATGTTCCAGACCATGTGTACCTCTACAATAGCATGTAACACATGCTTTTAATCTGAATACATTGTAGTGCTCAACTGCTGCTGCAGTAGACATAATCTCCCTTGAGACCGGTAACATAAATGTTACTATATTTAACAGAAGCTTTAACGTAAACGTTAGGTCCAGTAGCTAGCTAGCGAATGCAACATTTGGTTCTGGGTTCCAAGATAACTGTTGGGCTTGCCGACCTTTGTTCAATTGGAAAAACAATTTTGCTTCCATGTAACTAATGGTAATGTCTCCCCCCAGGATGTAGAGAGCTACGATCCCATCCTGAACCCGGTGCTCAACAGAGAGGTGCGCAGGACCGGCGGACGGGTGCTCATCACCCTTGGCGACCAGGACATTGACTTGTCCCCGTCCTTCGTCATCTTCCTCTCCACACGCGACCCCACGGTGGAGTTCCCTCCAGACCTGTGTTCTCGTGTGACCTTTGTCAACTTCACAGTGACTCGCAGCAGTCTGCAGAGCCAGTGTCTCAACGAGGTGCTGAAGGCAGAGAGGCCCGACGTGGACGAGAAGCGCTCCGACCTCCTCAAACTGCAGGGTGAGACGCGCGAGCACAATGACCTCGCTTACGCAAGGCTCGCTCTGTGTGCCGACAGTCTCTTGCAATAAATGATGAATCTATACCGAACCTGATTTAATGTGAATGAAACTCATATACGGATCTGACTGCTGATATGCAATGCACACAAAAGTATCTTACTCTCTTCTCTTTGTCCTATTTTTATCCTTCAAATATGGAAGCATTAACCTTCCCTCCCTCCACCAGGTGAGTTCCAGGTGCGTCTGCGCCAACTGGAGAAGTCTCTGCTGCAGGCCCTGAACGAGGTCAAGGGTCGTATCCTGGACGACGACACCATCATCACCACCCTGGAGAACCTGAAGAAGGAGGCGGCGGAGGTGACCAGGAAGGTGGAGGAGACGGACATTGTGATGGCCGAGGTGGAGGCGGTGTCGCAGCAGTACCTGTCCCTCTCCTCGGCCTGCAGCTCCATCTACTTCACCATGGAGGCCCTGAACCAGGTATACACACACTGTGGCTCTTATAAAGATTCTCCTGTGTGCCGACGGTCTCTTGCATTAAATGATGAATCTATCCCAAACCTGAGTTCATGTGAATGAAACTCCTATACGGATCTGACTGCTGCTATGCAAGTCTCTTCTGGTTCTGTTTCTATGGTGGTGACCCTCTTCAAAACCTTCTAGTACAGAACCAAGACGTAGTGTAGCGAACCCATTCCAGCCTGCTGTGTTGATGACTTCATGTCCGTCTCCAGATCCACTTCCTGTACCAGTACTCGCTGCACTTCTTCCTGGACATCTACCACACAGTCCTGTATGAGAACGCTAACCTCAAGAGTGTTAGCGACCACACCCAGCGCCTGACCCACATCACCAAGGACCTCTTCCAGGTAACCGCACATCTCAAACACCCTCTAGAACCTAGAATGTCTAAAACCTCACATCTAGAACACCTTCTAGAACATCTAGAACTGGAGATTTTCTTCATAGATCTCAAATCAATGTTGTTTTTTTTTGTGCAAAATCAACAATCCGATTGTCTCGTTTCAGGGGGCGTTCAACAGAGTGGCCAGAGGAATGTGTAACCAGGATCACATCACCTTCGCAATGCTCTTAGCCAGGATCAACCTGAAAGGCATGACCAGGTAATGAACTTTGAACTTTCTACACATTCCTGGTTATAATGTGAAGGATAAGGTCCATGGTTCGGTTCCAATATCTACACTACAAAAATGTATTGAGGATGCATTCTAAGTGGTATGCTAGTGTGGACAGTGTGCCGCAGCCCATGCATCTTGTTGATGACCAGTTCCTGTTGCCCTCAGCGAGCCGTCCTACGACGCAGAGTTCCAGCACTTCCTGCGTGGCGCGGAGATGGTGCTGAAGGGCACAGCGGTGCCTAAGGTGAAAGGCCTGACCACGGAGCAGTGTGAGGCCATGATCATCCTCAGCCGACTCCCTGCCTTCAAGGACCTGGTCTCCAAGGTGGAGGCTGATGAGGTGAGAAACTTGGCAGGGAGGGAGGGGAAGAAAATGACTTTTGCAATGTGAAGCTCTTTACTAAACCGTTTGTAAACCGACTCTTTACTAAACCGTTAAACAGAAGAGCATAACAATAATTATTTTGAAGAAAAGAGCGTAAGAAAGGAAAATTAAGTTGTCATTGAGGTTGACATGGCTTTTTTTTTCGATCATTGAAGCAATTCTTCATGTGGATTGAGAGCAACTCCCCTGAGCTATCCGTGCCCTACCTGTGGACAGAGGAGAAACAGTCAAGTGAGTATTTCAATCAGTGTTGTAATGTGTTTTACTTTGGGGAAGCGTGGGAACCCGTGAAGCTAAGTTTAGGAGGCTGCTATGCATTGTCGAGATCCCAATTATACTCTTGATAGAATTTGCATAAAAATACCAAATGAATGTACAGAAAATAGGAAGTTGGAGTGCTTGTGCTTCACAGTGGTGGCGGTAAAGTGGAAAGAGTCTTACAGTGATTCTGTGCAGTCCGACTGCAATGTAGTCGATCTCAAAAATGTATTTGTCTGTCCTCGACAGCCTCCATCGGTCAGGCAGTGCACCAGCTGCTGCTGATCCAAGCCTTCCGTCCGGACCGCATGCTGGCCATGGCCCACATCTTTGTATCCAAGGTCCTGGGAGACACCTTCATGGCCATCATCGAGCAGCCCCTGGACCTGGGCAACATCGTGGAGAGCGAGGTAACAGATAATATAAATAGAATCTACCATTGTAGTCATTTCATGTCTATGGTACCGAAGTCTGGACATCCCTGAATCGACAATCATCTCAGATATAGTGTGTTGTTATTTGTACAGTATGTTAAAGGGTTACTAGCAAAAGTGTATGTTCTGCTCATTGAACAACCTTGCCAATACTGTTCTAAGTACCGTATTTTCCGCACTATAAGGCGCACTTAAAAGCCTTTAATTTTCTCAAAAAACGACAGTGCGCCTTATAATCCGGAGCGCCTTATATATGGATCAATTGGTTAATTGGTTGATCCATACTGGTTGCACACGGCGCTCAAGGCGCTCTGTCAAAATGTTTCAGTATGAAAAACCAATAAAAACAATTTAATAATAATGAAATGTTTCAGTACGACTGGTAAACTACAAAGCCGCACCGCTTGCAGCATTACGGCTACCGTAGTCAGTAAACACCGGTACTGTGCTTACTCACAGTCCCACACCACTTGTGTGTGTATAAAGACCCCAAAATTGTTGTCAGAACGCTTAATAAAGTTTGATTTATCTGACTGTTTTGTTGACGTTCCCTTTAGCACAGCTCCATCTAGTGGATGCATAACGCAACCCCAGTCAAACGTTTGACTGCAGTATCTTCTATTCTATGCGCCTTATAATCCGGTGCGCCCTATTATATGAAAACAGTTCTAAAATAGGCCATTCATTGAAGGTGCGCCTTATAATCCAGTGCGCCTTATAGTACGGAAAATACGGTACCATTTGCGTATTCCAACTGCTCATCTCCTCCTGAAACAACGGCTTGTTATCCTACCCACCTAGGTGAAACCCAGTACCCCTGTTCTGATGTGCTCCGTGCCCGGGTACGACGCCAGCGGCCTGGTCCGGGACCTGGCAGCCGAGGAAAACAAACACATCACCTCCATCTCCATCGGTAGGTCAATTTTATTTAAATTCAGTCAGTTCAGTTTGTAAACAGCCCAGGAGGAGTAAGGATAAAACTGGCATCTTAGAAACCTGGTTCCTCTTCTCTCTCCTCAGGTTCTGCTGAGGGCTTCAACAAGGCCGACCGCGACATCAACACCGCTGTCAAGTCCGGCAGGTGGGTGATGCTGGAGAACGTGCACCTGGCTCCTGGTTGGCTGATGCAGCTGGAGAAGAAGCTCCACTCCATGCAGCCCCACGCCAGCTTCCGCCTCTTCCTCACCATGGAGATCAACCCCAAGGTCACATTCCACATTCAAGTTCCTTAGAAAAATAAAGAACATGGCGACTATGACAGTGTTTTACACTCAGTATTGAGGACCATTAACACATAACAGTAAACTTAATGAAAGAGCTACGAAGTGATTTCTGAAGAAGGTTCAAGCACGTTCAATTGTTGATTTTAAAAAAAAAACACACAAAAAACACTGATTTTGAAAAATGTCCACATTGTTACTTGAAGTGTTAGCACTGTGATTGGTTAACCCCAAGCTTTTTCCCACCATGTGGCACAGTTATGAATGTCTTGACTATTGAGAGATGGACAAATGTTTTTTTCTCTTCTCCTCTCAGGTGCCAGTGAACCTGCTGCGTGCAGGACGTATCTTTGTGTTTGAGCCTCCTCCTGGGGTTAAGGCCAACATGCTGAGGACCTTCAGCAGCATCCCTGTGGCTCGCATGTGCAAGGTGACCCACACCACTATATATATATATATACTGATTCTCTCGTTCTCTCCTATGCCTCTCTGTTCATCTCTCACACACCTTCTTCCTCCGTAAACTTGGATGAATGAATTATTTTTTACCTTGATTATTTAAAAGGGTCAATCTGCAATTGCGATATTCATTTTTTGGACTTTTAATGATATATATACCCATAGATTCTTTAAGAATATAACTTAGAAAGGCCTAATGAGCTTATTTCATGTGTCCTACCTCATCAGAACCCACAATATAGAAGCTTGTTTTTACTCCATTGTTTGTAAACAATGTCATTGTAAACTAACATTGTATAGCCTCGAAACAGCATGGTTAAAACAATCATTTTGATATTGTGAATGGTCAGTCCTTGCATGCATAGCTCTGTCTGAATTTGAGACCTCCAGCCCCATTCCTCACCTATCTACCAAAAAAGTGGTGGGGGGGGGGCACTTGATTGTTTGAACTGCAGATTGCCCCTTTTAAACAAACCTCTTCTACCCATCATCCTCTGCAGGCACCCAACGAGCGTGCCCGTCTCTACTTCCTGCTGGCCTGGTTCCACGCCGTCATCCAGGAGCGCCTGCGCTATGCACCGCTGGGCTGGTCCAAGAAGTACGAGTTCGGAGAGTCGGACTTGCGCTCGGCCTGCGACACCGTGGACACCTGGCTGGACGACACCGCTAAGGTCAGTCACACACACATAAAATACACACACACACTGTTGTCTCTTTATATAGGGTTCTTTCTGTATGCAGAATGTCTCTTGCATTAGATGATGAATCTATCCCGAACCTGATTTCATGTGAATGAAACTCATTATACGGATCTGACTTCTTTTATGCAATTCACACAAATATATACATTATTGCAATTAGGAATGAAGTTGGCGGTCACTCAATAAAAACTAAAAATGACTCCTAGAATGTCTAGTCTCTAAGCTAAGTTGGATGGGCGTGGTGAGAACAGAATCAGAACAGATATTATATGTATCTCAATGGTGGTAACCTTCCTTTCCCCTCTTCCTCCACACCCCCAGGGCCGTCAGAACATCTCCCCAGACAAGATCCCCTGGGCGGCCCTGAAGACCCTGATGGCCCAGTCCATCTACGGCGGCCGCATTGACAACGAGTTTGACCAGCGGCTGCTCAACACCTTCCTGGATCGCATCTTCACCACGGGCAGCTTCGACTCAGAGTTCAAGCTGGCCTTCAAGGTGGACGGTCACAAGGACATCAAGATGCCCGATGGCATCCGGTCAGTGGCCAGCCTTGGGGGTTGGGGGGGTGGTAGTTTTAATTTAGTGTCATTAAATGTATACTGAACAAAAATATATAAACGCAACATGTAAAGTGTTGGTCCCATTTTTCATGAGCTGAAATAAAAGATCCCAGAAATGTTCCATTCGCACAAAAAGCGTATTTCTCGCAAAGTTTGTGGACAATTGTGTTTACATCCCTGTTAGTGAGCATTTCTCCTTTACCAAGATAATCCATCCACCTGACAGGTGTGGCGCATCAAGAAACGGATTAAACAGCATGATCATTACACAGGTGCACCTTGTGCTGGGGACAGTAAAAGGCTACTCTAAAATGTGCAGTTTTGTCACACAACACAATGCCACAGATTTCTCAAGTTTTGAGGGAGCGTGCAATTGGCATGCTGACTGCAGAAATGTCCACCAGAGCTGTTGCCAGAGAATTGAATGTTCATTTCTCTACCATAAGCCGCCTCCAACATCATTTTAGAGAATTTGGCAGTACATCCAACTGGTCTCATAACCGCAGACCACGTGTAACTATGCCATCCCAGGACCGCCACATCCAGCTTCTTCACCTGCGGGATCGTTTGAGGGGTGGGGTGGGGGGAGTTCTCATGAGTATTTCTGTCATAAAGCCCTTTTGTGGGAAAAACATATTCTGACTGTGCCCCTGCCCAGTCATGTGAAATCCATAGATTATGGCCTAATTAATGTATTTCAATTGACTGATTTCCTTCTATGAACTGTAACTCAGTGAAATCTTTGAAATTGTTGCATGTTGCGTTTTATATATTTTTTGTGTATGTATGAAAACTGAGTACAGTACATACAAAAACTATGTTATATTGTGATCAATTCTCCTCAGCAAAATGTTTGTCATAAAGAAATTAAGGGGAAACCTTTGCATTCTTCTGAAATGCACACATTTAGGAATGGTTACATTTCAGGTGATTTTCTACCATTCTCTCTCCTCTCTCAGTAACACTGTTCTGTCTCTGCTCTCTCAGTAACACTGTTCTGTCTCTGCTCTCTCAGTAACACTGTTCTGTCTCTCCTCTCAGTAACACTGTTCTGTCTCTCCTCTCAGTAACACTGTTCTGTCTCTCCTCTCAGTAACACTGTTCTGTCTCCCTCAGTAACACTGTTCTGTCTCTCCTCTCAGTAACACTGTTCTGTCTCTCCTCTCAGTAACACTGTTCTGTCTCTCCTCTCAGTAACACTGTTCTGTCTCTCCTCTCAGTAACACTGTTCTGTCTCTCCTCTCTCAGTAACACTGTTCTGTCTCTGCTCTCTCAGTAACACTGTTCTGTCTCTGCTCTCTCAGTAACACTGTTCTGTCTCTCCTCTCAGTAACACTGTTCTGTCTCTGCTCTCTCAGTAACACTGTTCTGTCTCTGCTCTCTCAGTAACACTGTTCTGTCTCTCCTCTCAGTAACACTGTTCTGTCTCTGCTCTCAGTAACACTGTTCTGTCTCTGCTCTCTCAGTAACACTGTTCTGTCTCTGCCTCTCAGTAACACTGTTCTGTCTCTGCCTCTCAGTAACACTGTTCTGTCTCTGCTCTCTCAGTAACACTGTTCTGTCTCTGCTCTCTCAGTAACACTGTTCTGTCTCTGCTCTCTCAGTAACACTGTTCTGTCTCTGCTCTCTCAGTAACACTGTTCTGTCTCTCTCTCTCAGTAACACTGTTCTGTCTCTCCTCTCAGTAACACTGTTCTGTCTCTGCTCTCTCAGTAACACTGTTCTGTCTCTGCTCTCTCAGTAACACTGTTCTGTCTCTCCTCTCAGTAACACTGTTCTGTCTCTGCTCTCTCAGTAACACTGTTCTGTCTCTGCTCTCTCAGTAACACTGTTCTGTCTCCTCTCAGTAACACTGTTCTGTCTCTGCTCTCTCAGTAACACTGTTCTGTCTCTCCTCTCAGTAACACTGTTCTGTCTTTGTTTCCAGGCGTGAGGAGTTCATGCACTGGGTGGAAATGCTGCCAGACACCCAGACCCCGTCCTGGCTGGGCCTGCCCAGCAACGCTGAGAAGGTCCTGCTCACCACTCAGGGTATGCTATTGGCTGCAGTTGGTTGGCCCTGGCTGTCTGTGGGATCCTTTATGCAGCGAGGAGAGTGCAGAAACACATCACTCATCTTTGGTTTCTCCTCTCTCCATATCTGTTGTAACACAATCTTATTTCCACAGGCCTCATTCTCATCTAACTAGAGAAATGGCTACCATTGGTGCAGAGCATATTCTCTAACTAGAGAAATGGCTACCATTGGTGCAGAGCATATTCTCTAACTAGAGAAATGGCTACCATTGGTGCAGAGCATATTCTCTAACTAGAGAAATGGCTACCATTGGTGCAGAGCATATTCTCTAACTAGAGAAATGGCTACCATTGGTGCAGAGCATATTCTCTAACTACATTTACATTTACATTTTAGTCATTTAGCAGACGCTCTTATCCAGAGCGACTTACAGGAGCAATTAGGGTTAAGTGCCTTGCTCAAGGGCACATTTACGTCATTTAGCAGACGCTCTTATCCAGAGCGACTCACAAATTGGTGCATTCACCCTATAGCCAGTGGGATAACCACTTTACAATTTTTTTTTTTTGGGGGGGGGGGGGGGGGGGGGGGGGGGGGTAGAAGGATTACTTTATCCTATCCCAGGTATTCCTTAAAGAGGTGGGGTTTCAAATGTCTCCGGAAGGTGGTGAGTGACTCCGCTGTCCTGGCGTCGTGAGGGAGCTTGTTCCACCATTGGGGTGCCAGAGCAGCGAACAGTTTTGACTGGGCTGAGCGGGAACTATGCTTCCGCAGAGGAAGGGGAGCCAGCAGGCCAGAGGTGGATGAACGCAATGCCCTCGTTTGGGTGTAGGGACTGATCAGAGCCCGAAGGTACAGAGGTGCCGTTCCCCTCACTGCTCCATAGGCAAGCACCATGGTCTTGTAACGGATGCGAGCTTCAACTGGAAGCCAGTGGAGTGTGCGGAGGAGGGGGGGTGACGTGAGAGAACTTGGGAAGGTTGAACACCAGACGGGCTGCGGCGTTCTGGATGAGTTGTAGGGGTTTAATGGCACAGGCAGGGAGGCCAGCCAACAGCGAGTTGCAGTAATCCAGACGGGAGATGACAAGTGCCTGGATTAGGACCTGTGCCGCTTCCTGTGTAAGGCAGGGTCGTACTCTCCGAATGTTGTAGAGCATGAACCTGCAGGAGCGGGTCACCGCCTTGATGTTAGCGGAGAACGACAGGGTGTTGTCCAGGGTCACGCCAAGGCTCTTCGCACTCTGGGAGGAGGACACAACGGAGTTGTCAACCGTGATGGCGAGATCATGGAACGGGCAGTCCTTCCCCGGGAGGAAGAGCAGCTCCGTCTTGCCAGGGTTCAGCTTGAGGTGGTGATCCGTCATCCATACTGATATGTCTGCCAGAGATGCGATTCGCCACCTGGTTATCAGAAGGGGGAAAGGAGAAGATTAGTTGTGTATCGTCAGCGTAGCAATGATAGGAGAGGCCATGTGAGGATATGACAGAGCCAAGTGACTTGGTGTATAGGGAGAAAAGGAGAGGGCCTAGAACTGAGCCCTGGGGGACACCAGTGGTGAGAGCACGTGGTGCGGAGACAGCTTCTCGCCACGCCACTTGGTAGGAGCGACCGGTCAGGTAGGACGCAATCCAGGAGTGAGCCGCGCCGGAGATGCCCAGCTCGGAGAGGGTGGAGAGGAGGATCTGATGGTTCACAGTATCAGTATCAACTAGAGAAATGGCTACCATTGGTGCAGAGCATATTCTCTAACTAGAGAAATGGCTACCATTGTTGCAGAGCATATTCTCTAACTAGAGAAATGGCTACCATTGGTGCAGAGCATATTCTCTAACTAGAGAAATGGCTACCATTGTTGCAGAGCATATTCTCTAACTAGAGAAATGGCTACCATTGGTGCAGAGCATATTCTCTAACTAGAGAAATGGCTACCATTGTTGCAGAGCATATTCTCTAACTAGAGAAATGGCTACCATTGGTGCAGAGCATATTCTCTAACTAGAGAAATGGCTACCATTGGTGCAGAGCATATTCTCATCTAACTAGAGCAGGGGTAGGCAACCCTGGTCCTGGAGAAGCCGCAGGCACTTCATGGCACCTGGAAGACCAGGTGTGTTGAATTGAGGAAATCACTGAACTGATCAATTACCTCCGTTGGTATTGTGTGGTTCCAAGTTGGAACAAAATCCTGCGGTACCTGTGGCACTCCAGGAACAGGGTTGCCTACCCCTGAACTAGAGGAATGACTACCAGGGCATAAAATAAACTTTTTGGTCCACCAGCCACTGTGGCAGGTAGATGAATAAAATCTACCAGCCACTCAGATTTTGTACCAGGCCAAAAAACATTGTCGCCATAATTACATTAACAAATATAAAAATAAACGGATGACCATGCTTTGTAATGTTTCGAAAACAATAAATGTATTAGTAAAAAGTAATGTGGTATATTGCTAAATTTCATAAAAATTCCTGTGACCTGAGTTTTTTAAAAACCAAAATATCAGATGAGACAAAATATTCAGCTGCCCCTTTTAAGAGCTGGGGGTTACCGTGGTAACGGGGCCACTCGAGTCATGTCTGTGTGTGAGATTTGTGATCTGACTAGGGCGTGGGTCTCTTCACTATCAGTTGAAGCAGCAGACTCAAACTAACGTTGAAAAACAACCGAGCTTGTGAACAAAACAATGTAAATAGCCAAGAAACACGAAGAAAAAGTCTCACTTCAGTAGACTTTTCGTTTTAAGTAAATTAGACCAACCTTTATGCCTGTGCACAGCGCCTCCAGAAATGAATCTATCAGTACTTCACTCAGAGCACACAGTTCTGCCAGGCAGTGTTGCTGAGGCTGGATGTAGGATTCCTATTTCTTTGTGCGATTAGCAGCTATGAAACAAAACAGCAGAAACTTTTGAAAACAGCTACTGCAGTAAATCGCAACTCGCACAAGTGCTCCTACTTGTTGACCACCCGTCAACGTGGCTGGTAAAATGGGCATTCTTACCCACCAATACCTAAATCTATCTAACCGCATTTGGCGGGTGTTAATTTTATTCCCTGATGACTACCATTGATGCAGAGCATATTCTCTCACTGCTTCCACTAACTCGGTTGTAATGATGGTTTATATTTAGGCCCTAGGACCCTTTCCTCTCCTTGTGCCGTTCCTCAAATCAGTTCCAGTGTTAAAACCTCCGTGTGGTAGCCTTACCCATGTGAATGGGGGTGTTCTGTCAGGGGGGGGGGGGGGGGGGGGGGGGGGGGGGGGGGGGGGGGGGGGGGGTGTTCTCACCCTCCAGCAGCTGTATTTCACATTCATCATGTCTCGCTTGGCTGCCAGTTCCAACTCCCAGCTGTTGATGCATCCATCCTTCCATCCATCCATCCCTCAATCCATTCTCATCCCCTCCATCTATCCCTCTATCCCTCTTTGGTTACAACTGATTTTTCTCACAGAGCCCCAGAAACTTTATTCACTTCTATATGTCCTCCTTTAAGAAATATTGCATGGTCTCCCTCCATTTTATTAGTATTGGTATTGACTTACCCTTGTTTTTGTCAGATGTAATTTGTTTTATGACTTTATGTTGTAATCCCTTGTTTTTGATTGTGAAACACAACAACCCATTTTCCACCCCACTCCTCTCCCTCCTCTCCCTCCCCCACCCTCTCTCCCTCTCCCTCTATTCCCTCTCCCTATCCACATCCTCCTCTCCCTCTCCCCCTCTCCCGTCTCCCTACCCTACCCCTCTCTCACCCTCAGCCCTCTCCTCTCCCCCTCTCCCTCTCCCCACCCTCTCCCTCTCCCTCCCTCTCGCCTCACCCCGGGTCCTCTCCCCCCCCCCCTCTCCCTGCCCCACCCTCCCCTCTGCCCCGCCCTCTCCCTCTCCCACCCTCTCCCCTCCCCCCCGCCCCTCCCTCTCCTCTCCTCTCTCCCACCCTCTCCTCTCTCCCACCCTCTCCTCCCCTCTCCCACTCCCCTCCACCTCTCACCCCCACCCTCTCTCCTCCTCCCGCCCCACTCCCCCATCCTTCCTCTCCCCCCCCACTCCTTCCCCCCACCTCTCACTCCCTCCCACCCTCTCCCTCTCCCCCCCTCTCCCCCCCCACCCTCTCCCCTCCCCTCTCCCCACACTCACCCTGCTCCCTCACCACCTCTCCGCAGACACCCCATCCCTACACCCTCCCAAATCCCCACCTCCCCCTCCCTCCCCCACCCCATCCCTCCCTCTCCCCACCCATCCCTCTCCCTCCCCCCCCCTCCCCTCCCCTCCTCCCCCCCTCTCCCCCTCCCCCCTCCCCCCCTCCCTCCCCCTCGAATCACCCCCCTCACCCCTTGCTGGGCTGCTTCAGGCACTGACATGATGGGTAAGATGCTGAAAATGCAGATGCTGGAGGATGAGGATGACCTGGCCTACGAGAAGGAGACGAAGCGCGAGCGCACTGCGTCCACCTCAGCCGAGGCCCAGCCCGCCTGGATGCGCACGCTGCTCACCACCGCCACCAACTGGCTGACGCTCATCCCGCAGGTGGTCAACCACCTCAAACGCACCGTGGAGAACATCAAGGTAACGTCCCGGCAACGTCTCATCTGGTCAGTGTGATGCCTGGGATCTGATGGGCTAAGGTTGGAAGAGTGTTCTGATGACACTTTGACACTTATATTTCCAACATACACACACAATCTCTTACATAATGCTTTTTCTTTATGCAGTAAATTATGAATCTATCCCGAACCCGATTTAATGTGAATTAAACTCCTAATATGGATCTGACTTCTGATATCCAATTCACACACTGTGGGTGTCTTCAAGGACTATACAGGTGAAAATATATTGTTTAACAAACGTGTATATATATTTAATCCCCAACACACACACAGGACCCCCTGTTCCGTTTCTTTGAGCGCGAGGTGAAGATGGGCGCCCGCATGCTTCAGGAGGTGCGTCAGGACCTGACTGATGTGGTGCAGGTGTGCGAGGGCAAGAAGAAACAGACCAACGACCTGCGCACCCTCATCAACGACCTCGTCAAAGGTCCTCTCATTCTCTACACAAGATCGTCTTAGTTTTACCATTACATCTAATATGGTTACATAGTGACAATGTGTGCGAGTATGGTAGGATTACGGTAATAGTCAATGGCCCAAATCCTAATTTAAGATCCACTTTCATTTTCATACAAGTCTTCCGTTGACATCAATGGATGATTTACTTAAGGGTCAAAAGTTAAACTCGTGCAACTCGAGTTAGGATTTGGCATATTGTCTCTGCAAGGTGTCCCAGTGCTAACGGTGTGTGTCTCCAGGTATCCTGCCCCGTAGCTGGTGCCGCTACACCGTGCCCGCCTCCATGACTGTCATCCAGTGGGTGGCCGACTTCAGCGAGCGTGTCAAACAGCTGCAGGCTATCTCCCAGGGAGCCGCCAGCGGGGGCGCTAAGGAACTCAAGGTGTTCATCTGACCTCTATATTAAAGGGACGGGTTCCTGACATTGGAAGACCTAAGTGGATTTGGTGTTGCCTTAAAATGATTCCATGAACGTAGACGGCCAGTTTGCCTAATTCGTTAGGTTAGAATATTGCTAATGTTAGCATCCCATTGGATTTTATTCATTCAAGTCTGAATGAATTTAACTACTTTCAAAGAAGTCCATGAACAATTTGTCACTTTTTAGAGTTAGAAATAAAGCCACTCTGGAAGCTATCCCATTAATGGGTGATTTGCAATGAATTGATACCATAATTGACCCAGGAACTTGACATTGGACAACGGTATTGGACTCTTAAGCAGTAGTGTTACCCATAATAACTCTCCACCCACTCTGAATCAATGTTATTTTCCCCTTTCCTGTCCAGAACATCCATGTGTGCCTAGGCAGCCTGTTTGTCCCCGAGGCCTACATCACGGCCACCCGTCAATACGTGGCCCAGGCCAACAGCTGGTCCCTGGAGGAGCTGTGTCTGGAGGTCAACGTCACCACCGCCCAGGGGGCCGCGCTCGACGCCTGCAGCTTCGGCATCAAAGGTCTGCTCTCTGTCTATATTAGTGTACAGTACCAGTCAGGGCATTGGGGATTCTCACCAGAAAGCAAGAATTACAAACACCAGCTACTTTTTAATATAGTTATGGTTTGGCTGTGATCATCCAGGGCTGGTTTCCTGGACCCATATTAAGTCTAGTCCTGGATTAAAAGACATTCTCAATGGAAAATCTCCATCGACGGTGTTTAATTTATCCAATATACATGATCAACCTAAGTGACCTTCACGAACCCCTCTTTCTCCCCGACAGGTCTGAAGCTGCAGGGAGCCACCCACGGCAACAACAAGCTGTCTCTGTCCAACGACATCTCCACGGAGTTGCCGCTGACTCAGCTGCGCTGGGTGAAGCAATTGAGTGCCGAGAAGAAGCACATGGTACGTCTCAGAGCCACGCAGAATATCGTGTATGGTACATGGGAATGCACAGATGTGAAGTTTGAGCTCAATACAACACTTTATGCCCTCAGGGGTATTGCCAGATTAGAAATATCAATTTTCTCCACATATAATAGACCAGACCTCACATTCCCTTCAATACGTCCGATAGATGGTTCATAGTGTGTTGGGAGCTAGTCCTAGTCATTCTCCAAATACCTTGAACATTGTGTACTGTTCCCTGTTCCCACAGGTCACTCTGCCCGTGTATCTGAACTTCACCAGAGCCGATCTCATCTTCACCGTGGACTTTGACATCGCCACCAAGGAAGACCCTCACAACTTCTACGAGCGTGGAGTGGCAGTGCTCTGCACAGAGTAGACTCCTCTCACCAGGAGACTGGGGAATTTGTTTTATTCATCATTCCTATTAATCACTTCGTAGTGTAGTCCACTTATGAAACGTAGTCTTTAGGGTAATGTAGTCCATACAAAATGTAGTTAGTCAAGTAACTAGTGGGAGAAGTAAAATTTGAATTTAACATGTCATTGGGAAGTGAAGAAAGTCTGAGTAATGTAGTCAGTTGGATTGTGAATAGAAAGTGAAGTTGGAAGAAGGTGAAAATGATTTTTTACGAAGGAATCAGTATGTTTTTATGATGGCGTAAAGATGTTGGTTAATGACATGTAAAATAAAGTATCAATGATTTAACCGTTTGCTGGTTATTAAATGGCTAACAGTAACCGACTACCCAGTTTTATTTTTACTTATGGTCTATGATTTCACTGTTAAAGCTTGACCAAGAATAGCACACCGAGCCAGTGTGCAATTACCATATTGCTGCTTACTTACGTTCACCTGAAAATATGGGATGGATGTCTATAAACCCAAGCGTTTTACATTCATTGTTCCGCTTTTCGTAGGCTGAATTCCAAATTTCACCATAATAGGATAATTGTTCATCCTTTAATATCTACAGATGATTCCTTGTTTGGAATGCACCCAACGAATTCCTATAAAGATTGACATTCAGGAGTTTGTATGAGGGTTAGCCGTCTGGCATTGTCAGACCCGATGGAGAGATGCCTTGTAACATGAAGGACACACACAAGATGCAATAAAATCAGTGAATATGCTTTGGTAGAACAGCTTTATTTGATATTAGTCTAAAGCAAATCAGTCTACCACTAATTTTTTTCCATAACTACCATACAATAGAACTAGCAAATGCATGATTTATTCAATCCCCCAATATATTTCACCACACCAATAGACAATATAGCAATGCAAATTAATATGGATGTTATTCCTTACATGCGTGAGAATTAAGTTCAAATTACTGTGGAAAAAAATTGCATCTGTTTTTAAGTAAAGGAATAACTTTCATACTCGATACATATTCTCCAAGTAAACTTGAATAGCCACAACTTTAACATCAATGTTTTCCAATAGATTATCAACTTGTTCTGCAAGAAAGAAAAAGATTTTGCCATGTGGTCAAAAGTGCCCTTGTTTTTCCAGTTTCATGACCCTGTCCAGAAACCGCTCCTAGCCACCTGTGTAGATATGCAAGTGTTGGATAAGCAGTATTAAGCAATATGGTGTCTCTAGGCTAGGGGACTGTTTCTGGTCAGGGCCCAACTCACCTCAGGAGGAGAATCCCCAGTCTCCATTTTGGTGACACACTGCCTCTTCCTGTGGCCGCCATCTTGTGGTGTCTCTGCTCCTGGAAGACCGAATTTCCTTTTGAAGAGACCCCTGAGGGGGACAGGACTGTCAGGAGATTTCTCTGAAGTGCTCTCTGGTATCTGGACATTGTGGACAGAGGTTGCTGCCCCCACAAAAGTGAGAGACACTGGTGTGCAGGGGGAGGATTTAGTAGCAAGCACTCCTGAGTCTGCAGATGTCTCAGCAACAGGGCCCCGCCCCTTGCTGTGGCTGCATGTCCATAGCTCAGAGTCACTTGCTGACCTCATCTGGACATCAATGAGATGCGGCTCCATTGGGCCATCCCTTAGACCACCACTTTTGATCACTTCTTTGAGGATGACAGTTGGAGGGTGATTGTTCCTTCTTTGGCTCCTGCCCCAATACCTGCAGCCTCCCTGCCTCGGTCGCCTGGGACCACCCATGGACTCATCCGAATCTTCTGAGCTCCCGTCATATGGGTCCAAGGACTGAAGCGAGATGGGTATTTTATACTGTAAGTATAGTATGTCCCCAAGGAATGTATGAATGTAAGCGATTTGCTCGTCAATGCTTGCGAGTTGCAATACTACTTACCAAAGAATGATACGAAAATCGTCCCACCGGTTTGTGTGTACATGTTAGCATCCTTTGAATGGGTTGTCTGCTCTCTGGGGCACTACTTGCACATCCCTGATCAGAGTAACATTGTAGAAACTAGTTAAAAAGTGCATAATAACATTGTGGTTTGGTGACTTAAATGTTATAAAAGCAACTATTTTAAAGGATTTTTAACCTGTATCAAAAGGTGAGGGTATGCTAGTCCTTGATCATGACTCGGTTCCATTACATTACACATAAGTCATTGCACAAAGGCATCTTCTGTACAAGGGAGTTTTGTTAGGAGTCCGATGCTCAATCTGAACATTAACATGCGTCGCTTGCGGTACAGTTTTGGAAATATAAGGAACTTAACTTTAATATCTGCGAGAAATAATAATATTTTTTTTATGGTTAAATTGATACACCTTGATAGGATGTGTGTTTCCACGCGGCCATATCTCCATGTTACAGCGCTTGTTTACGGAAGACAGAGGTGACCACCATCTAGCGTGCTCCGGACACCTGTGTGTAAACGTAACTCGGGAAGTGTAATTTCGTGGATGGAGGATGAACGGCGCCTTCCCTTACAAAAAAATATTGCAGTTTTGAAACTGCAGTAAAAGCACAGTAACTGCAATCAACTGTGGTATTTTGGACGCAGTAATTGCAGAATAACTGCAGTGACACTGCAAAATTACTGCAGTGAAAAAAAACGTGTTTTGGCCGCAGTTATACGCTCTTTTTTTTCGTACGGGTAGAGTTTGAGAGCTAAGGGCATGCATGCTCATAATTATTGTAGACTATGCCTACCATAACATTTTACTGTCAGTCAAAAGGACATAGAATGAGACTAATTCACAGTGCCAGATATTACCATGGTGCTGGTATCAGACCATCTTGGACTGACATCTGACTCGGAATCAGTACTGGACTCCACTTTACACAGCTCCTACAATAAAATAGGGGGAAAAGAGCTATTACATATTACTCACTTCAAAGTTGTGGCACAATAAATGTTTACCTAGGCGACAGGCGTTGACTTTAACTGTCTAAAATATACCAAATGTACATACAAACTGCATCTTTGAATTTCCTCACCATGTATTTGAATGCAAGCTTGTCCACACTACTGGGGCCACTTTGAACAAGACTGCCATCACGAAAACCTGCGAGTAAAATAAACTTATGTATATTTTATAAGGTAAACAATCAGTAGGCCTAACTAGAGTACATTTTTTTGTCATCACAATTAATCACGTGACCTCAATTGGCCTAGTGTGATGATAAAAGGCCCACCTTTTTTTTTAAAACATTGGTTAAACTCGTCACGTTTAAAGTGTTCTATTCGGATGAAAACTTAGTATGTGCATAAGTCTGTATGTGTTCGGTTTTCATTGCCATCTGTAAACACTGACTCAATTACCCAAAATTACCTGAACGTGAGTGTTGTTGCTGCGGGTTCGTTGTCGCCATGGTACTTTTTGATTGACCACCAACTTCACAGATTTGGACAGGTGCGCGTTGTCAGCATCTCTGCTGACTGCTGTGAATTGATTGACTAGTTTCTCAGTTTATTGGTTCACTTCACACAGATGATTTCACCTTCAAACCTCGTTTACCAAGGTGAGCAACGTGAGTTGCCAGTATTAAACTTCAATTGGAACAAATCATCCTACATACATGAAACGTTTTTTAAAATGGTTTTCTTCTGTTCTACTCCTGGATATTTTAATACGTCACACTCACTGGCGCGAGTCGACTCCACTTTACCCATGAACCGCAATGCGCATGCTCCGTGCGTAAAGATCCGGGCTCTAGGAAGGATGAATGTTATTGTTAATTTCAAAGATGGCGGCGGCGGAGGGAGGAGGGAAGGAGATGAACGAAATTAAAACTCAGTTCACTACACGGGAAGGCGTCTATAAACTCCTCACTCACTCCGAATATAGCCGTCCCAACAGGGTGCCGTTTAATTCCCAGGGTTCGAACCCCGTCAAAGTCTCCTTCGTCAACGTCAATGACCAGTCTGGTAACGGCGACAGAATCTGTTTTAATGTGGGCCGGGAGCTGTACTTCTACATCTACAAAGGAGTTAGAAAGGTAGATAAACATTATGCTAACAGTCGTCTTGCTTATAATTGGTGTGTCTTAATTGATGGCCACAGGTCAGTGTTGTCCAGTTTGCCTGGTTTATGACTAACGCAGAGCACGGTGTCCTATAGCACCACAGGTCAGTTCTGACTGCACAGTCCACCTCGTCCAAAAGTGTTGTGGTATGCACCGCGAGCCAGCTAGCCAACTAGCAGACTGGCTAACTCTAATCTGACAGTCACAGTTAGGCCGTAACACCTATCAACGCACAGTGGACATGGTGGACATTTTACTAGAATCACAATATTGGCAATGAATGCATGCTCGTGAAATCACAAGTGTGACCTCTACTTCTACTTCCACTTGGGTGATGACTTGCAGTGCACGGAGGCGCTGTCTGATGTGACCTAGACAAGCTAGTCTTGACGGGTGGAAAGCTAGCTACATGACTGCTTAAACAACAGTTGTGGAGTTAAGAACAAGGTGGTGTTGTGAATTAATTTGCACAATAACTTGCAAATTCACATACATATGAAGATGTTATTTGACCTCAATCTAAATCTGCGTGCAGGATTTCCATTGAATGGTTTTTGCATCAACTTCCAATGACGTGTCAGCCTGGTGATGTAGGAAGTGCTTCCTGGACTTCAGTCAGAGAGAGGGGCATCTTAGTGAGTGAGTCGCTCTGAACTTGTGGACATGACAAGTTGATCATGCAGGGCTTCAGGTGCTTGATCCTAATTTCCTCAGTGTGGCAGATAGCAGACCAAATCTATAGTTTTTCATTTTTTCCCAAGTGTGTAAACAGATCTGAACATCTACAATATTCATGAGGACTATACAGGTGCATAAATACTAAAGCGTGTACCTTTCTGACATTCCCTAGCTGGGATATACTATATGGGCTATGGTTGGAAAAGGCCTATGCAAAAACAGCTGAGCTGACTGGAGACGTGAAGTTACACAAGAAAACGTTCCAATCTGCTGATGGCGTGAACCATTCACTGTGCTAGTAAACTCACTGTGCCCCTGAGGCATTTTGAATAAAGCACAAACCCAAGAGGCTAGAGTTGCATGCCCTGGTCTGATTCTTTATGTCAGTATTGTTCATAACAATCAGCAGCGAGCCCCCTGAGACACCACATTGTCATGTAGGCCTTATTTCAGGAATATATTTTTTTGGGTGTCTTTGATTGTACTGTAATGCACTTAAACTATTGACTTCAAAGACCGCGTCATAGACCTAGTTGCCATTTCAAAAGGCCTTTAATATTTGCTGTCATGTTCAAAGAATTCTGTGTCATCATGAGCACTCTACTCATGTCGGCTTCATTGCTTGTGCATGCCACCCTTGATAATTTGATCAAGAGCCGAAAACATGCAACACTGAAAAGGTTACTGCCATAATCGTATCTCGCTGTTTTATTTTTTTGTATGCTTTTCTTTCAGGCGGCTGACTTGAGCAAGCCTATTGACAAGAGGATATACAAGGGAACACAGCCCACATGTCATGACTTCAACCACCTCACGGCCACAGCGGACAGCGTATCCCTGCTGGTGGGCTTCTCGGCAGGCCAGGTGCAGCTCATCGACCCCATCAAGAAGGAGACCAGTAAGCTCTTCAATGAGGAAGTAAGTTGGCAGGAAAGTCTCAAAAGGAATGTAAAGCCACATAAAACTGTGATTGAATTTGTGGCAGGACTAAAACCACCATAGATTTGGGGTAGAGATGGAAATGGCGTTTTGTTACTGACTTCAAATGTTCTGTTTTTTGACGTAACTCGGTGAAAGACATTGTTGCTTACAATTGAATTTGAACATTTTTGTTCCTTCTCTCCCAGAGACTAATAGACAAATCCAGAGTGACTTGTGTAAAATGGGTGCCCGGCTCGGAGAGTTTGTTCCTAGTCACTCATTCCAGTGGAAACATGTACTTGTACAACGTGGAAAACACGTGTGGCACCACGGTTCCTCACTACCAGTTGCTCAAACAGGGCAAGAACTACTCGGTGCACACGTGTAAGAGCAAGTCCACGCGCAACCCTTTGCTCAAATGGACGGTGGGCGAGGGAGCGCTTAACGAGTTTTGTTTTTCACCCGACGGGAAGTTCCTGGCGTGTGTGAGCCAGGACGGCTTCCTTCGGGTCTTCAACTTTGATGCGGTGGAGCTGCACGGGACCATGAAAAGCTACTTTGGGGGTCTGCTGTGCGTGTGCTGGAGTCCGGACGGAAAGTACATTGTCGCGGGGGGCGAGGATGATCTGGTGACCGTGTGGTCATTTGTCGACTGCCGGGTTATCGCGCGCGGTCACGGACACAAATCATGGGTCAGCGTGGTGGCGTTTGACCACTACACGACCAGCGTGGAGGATGCGGACCCTATGGAGTTCAGTGGCAGCGACGAGGACTTCCAGGACCAGATCCACTTTGGTCGCGACCGGGCCAACAGTACGCAGTCCCGGCTCTCCAAGCGCAACTCCACGGACAGTCGGCCAGTACACACCACGTACAGGTTTGGCTCAGTGGGCCAGGACACTCAGCTGTGCTTGTGGGACCTCACAGAAGATATCCTTTTCCCTCACCTCCCGCTTTCCCGGACAAGAACGCACACCAATGTGATGAACGCTACCAGCCCCCCGGTGGGAGGGGGTTTGGGAGGCGGAGTCGCTGGTGGCGTAGTGAACAATGGGAGTAATAACCCTAGCACGAACGGCAACAACAGCGGCGCCAACACCCCCAGTAACTCCCTCCCCTCTCCCCTGCCACGCTCCAACAGCTTACCGTACTCGCCAGCTACGACTGCCAACAACAAGAGCAGCGTCATGGACAGTGCCATTGCCTCAGGTGTCAGCAAGTTTGCCACGCTCTCCCTTCACGATCGCAAAGACCAGCACCATGACAAGGACCACAAACGGAACCACAGCATGGGCCACATTAGCAGCAAGAGCAGTAACATGCTCACCAAAACCAGAACAGACCCTGCTAAGACTCTGGGGACACTGCTCTGTCCCCGCATGGAAGACCTACCCCTACTAGAGCCCCTTATCTGTAAAAAGATAGCACACGAGAGACTGACTGTCTTAATATTTCTTGAAGACTGTATAGTGACAGCTTGTCAGGAGGGATTTATTTGGACATGGGCAAGGCCTGGCAAAGTGGTAAGTTCTTTTTGAATAGAATTTAAGTTCTGCTTAATACCCATGCATTTCTCTTTGTAGTAACAAAAAAAAAAAAAGTTAGTTTGGGCACAGCAAGGATCCATTTAGAAACTTTAGTATAATTGTGGACATTTTGGACAGCATTGTGAGGTGTGGGGATCTCCTGCACATGCAGTATGTCACATCTCAAACTGTCTGTATGTGTGTGTTTTGTGTTCATCTGCCGCCCCATGCAAAGCCCACACATTTTCAAGATATGAATCATGTTTAGACATTCGTATGTTATGTACAATCAAGTCACCTGGTGGATAAGTAAGTGCACTTAGGCAGCCCTTGTAATCAGTGGAAAGAAGACATTGATCCCAACCGAGTGTGTTTGTGTGCATCGGCTTGAAAACACCCATATTGACTCATTACCATCCAACAAGGCACCGCAGTATGGAGGACTAAAAGTGCCACAATTAAATAAATAAATACACCATTAAATAATTACTTAAATGTGTCATTAATTAATTAAAATTAGAATTAAATACATAAATGTGTTATTAAATGTGTCATTAATTAATTCAAATACCGATTCATTTTATGTAAAATACATATATAATAATTTCACTATTTACATTTACATTTCATGGTCCTGCGTTGGAGTGCTTCCTGAATTACTTAAAACTGTCAAACTGACCCATCAAAAGTTGGTAGGCGGAACCTAACGCCTGATTGGTTACCCTCTGCATCAAGCCAAGACAAATCAATTCCGGCTAATGTCAGCAGGTCCTGCTTCTACATCCTCTGCTAAGTTTAAAATGTCTCTAACCAACTCCCTGGAAAGTTCACGGAGATCCTCCATTGTCTCTATCCAGGTTGGCCTACTCTACTTCAGACCAAAGCAATGGATCAGACTAGATTCGCGTTAGCCCCGCCCACTGACTTTGATGGGTCAGTTTGACAGTTTTAAGTAATTCATGAATCACTGCAATGCAGGATCATGAAATGTAAATGTAAATAGTGAAATAATTATATATGTATTTTACATAAAATGAATCGGTATTTGAATTAATTAATGATACATTTAATTACACATTTATGTATTTAATTCTAATTTGAATTAATTAATGACACATTTAAGTAATTATTTAATGGTGTATTTATTTATTTAATTGTGGCACTTTTAGTCCTCCATACCGCAGCATTACCAAGCAAGACCTCTGCACGCTCACCCTCTACACAGATTCTTTCAGCTTTCTACGTTAATGCATTACATTCACTGCATCATCCACTCACTAACATTTGAAAGTGGGAGAAGGAAGATGAGGGTGATTCATTTGATGCTTGTGAACTTTCCCCAATGCAAATCTCCTTGTTTTCCTTTCCAGGGTTTATTGTCATCCCAAAACCAAGCCGTGTCTCCCAGTGGAACTGTAGTATAGCCCACACTATTTCTGCTGCTAAGAAACCTCCATTACACCAGAGCCTGGTGATGCTCTTCACCCCACAAAGCATTGCAAGTGTTTTCCTTTCTCTTGTTACTTTTTCTATTCTCCTTTGTGTTTTTGGTTATCATTCATATGGCCTAGATGGTAGAAGTCTTCAAATACAGAAATGGAAATGGTGTGGAGCCATTTTGGACAGTGGTTCTAAAGTATTTTCTGGAATTTAAAAATGTTTTTCATTATTTCTCTCCTCTCACATCTCGCTAGACTGTTTTCTGGACTTCGTGCTTGGCTTAGTTAGATGCAAACCAGTCAAATGATGCTTGTGCTTAAAATGAGAGTTCACCCAACTTTCATCATTCCTATTTCTTACCATGCAAGTGGTCCATGGGCCAGGAGTGACTGCCACCAGCCGCCACAGGCTACCGTAAAACAATGGCGTTCCATAGTGCCCACTAAAAACTGCACACAAAAATTAAGTCATTTAGCCTTTATGATTTTGAAGATGTGCACTGTCAAAGGGTACCAAAGTCCAACTATTTTCTTGACCAAGCTACACACTATCACAGGTGTTGGTGTGCCTTGTCTTCCGTTCAGAAGGCAGTCTCGGTCATCGTAGGTTTGGTTTTTCCAGTCACTCCTGGCTCATAGGCTGCATTCAAGGTAAGAAAAATATTAAATTACATTTGGGTGAACTATCTCTTTTATAGAATCTCCCCATTGAGAACTTTGCACAGATTTTGTTAGTTTTTCTGTTTGTTTTGCAACTACTATACTGAACAAAAAGTGTAAACGCAACATGAAACAATTTCAACGATTTTACTGAGTTACAGTTCATACAAGGAAATCAGTCAATTTAAATAAATTCATAAAGGCCCTAATCTATGGATTTCACATGACTGGGAATAAAGATTTGCATCTGTTGGTCAGATACCAACAACAACAAAAAGGTAGAGGAGTGGATCAGAAAACCAGTCTGTATCTGGTGTGACCACCATTTGCCTCATGCAGTGCGACACATCTCCTTCACATAGAGTTGTTGATTGTGGCCTGTGGAATGTTGTCCCACTCCTCTTCAATTGCTGTGCGAAGTTGCTGGATATTGGCGGGAACTGGAACACGCTGTCGTACACGTCGATCCAGAGCATCCCATACATGCTCAATGGGTGACATGTCTGGTGAGTAACGCCACATTGGTCCCATTTTTCATGAGCTGAAATAAAAGATCCCAGAAATGTTACATACGCACAAAAAGCTCTCATTTTGTGCACAATTTTGTTTACATCCCTGTTAGTGAGCATTTTTCCTTTGCCAAGATAATCCATCCATCTGACAGGTGTGGCATATCAAGAAGCTGATTAAACAGCATGATTACACAGGTGCACCTTGTGCTGGGGACAATAAAAGGCCAATTTAAAATGTCCAACAAAGCTGTTGCCAGAGAATTGAATGTTCATTTCTCTACCATAAGCCACCTCCAATGTCGTTTTAGAGAATTTGGCAGTACATCCAACCGGCCTCACAACCGCAGGCCATAGACCACGTGTAACCACGCCAGCACAGGACCTCCACATCCGTCTTCTTCACCTGCGGGGTTCTCAGGAGTATTTCTGTCTATAATAAAGCCCAGTGGCTGCGCCCCTGCCCAGTCATGTGAAATCCATAGATTAGGGCCTAATTAATGTATTTCAATTGACTGATTTCCTTCTATGAACTGCAACTCCGTAAAATCTGAAAATTGTTGCATGTTGCGTTTATTTTTGTTCAGTATAGTTTATTAGAGGGAAATGGCTTTACATTTTGGGTGTGCGAGAAGAACTCTGACAGCTGTTCGGAGGAGAAATTATTTAAAACCTTTTATATCTATTAAAGGAAAACTCCACCCGAAAACTGTATTTTGGTTTTCAAGATGTGTAACTTTCAAAATACAACATACCGGCTGTATTTCTGTATTTTGAATTATATATCTTGAAAACCATGCAAAAGATTTTGGGACTATATCAACAATGGACTAATGAAACAAATACCAAAATATCGTTTTTGTGTGTAGTTTTCCTTTAAGCATTTATTTTAATTATTTCAGATTAAAATCTACCCTGTATCGTATTATATAGGAATTCAGTGAGTGATTGGGGCAGAAGCAAATTATTACTGTAGTGGAAGTTCTTATCATTTTAGGAAATTGTTATATTTCTAATGCAGAAAAATATACATATTAATGATATTAAAATTGAGTGTAGATTTCTGTTTTCTTTTCTCTTGGTCAAAATTCATCCATATGTATTTTGATATAGGATTTTCTCTTGGTCAAAATTCATCCAGATGTATTTTGATATAGGATATTAATGTATTAAATGCTCAAAAGAAACGCTTAAAATAATCACAATGTGCAGAAGTCAGACAAAGCAGCTGTCAAATGTGCAAATATTATGAAGCTCAGGAAGTCTTGTAGACTAAGAAAATATATATTTTGCTTACCATCAGCAACGCTTTTCTATGTGTCCCTAAAGACCCACCGTAGGACGTTTTTCCGTGTGACGCCTATTTAAGGAGTTAAGTGACTCCACACTAACCACAGAAGGAACAAATGGTGAAGTGAATATATTTTTTGATTGTGGTTAACATTTAACATTTCACACTTTATTCTTCATTAAAAAAAAGGTATATATTCTATTCCACTTGTATTGTTACTGATTTTGTTTGGCCATTATTGTGCAGATTGATTTTTATAAGTGCTTGTTGAAATGTTTTTACATTTGAGTTGTAAAGATAAGATACACATCATGGAACACACTTTCACTTTGCTTGTTCCCATACAATATGTGCTGGGGTACAGTGCATATGGAAAGTATTCAGACCCCTTGACTTTTTCCACATTTTGTGACGTTACAGCCTAATTCTAAAATGTATTAAATTGTTTTCCCCTCATCAATCTACACACAATACCCCATAATGACAAAGCAAAATGTATTAAAAATAAAAAACGGAAATGTCACATTTACATAAGTATTCAGACCCTTTACTCACTACTTTGTTGAAGCACCTTTGGCAGCGACTACAGCCTCGAGTCTTCTTGGGTATGACGCTACAAGCTTGGCACGCCTGTATTTGGGGAGTTTCTCCCATTCTTCTCTGCAGATCCTCTCAAGCTGTCAGGTTGGATTGGGAGCGTCGCTGCACAGCTATTTTCAGGTCTCTCCAGAGATGTTAGATCGGTTTCAAGTCCGGGCTCTGGCTGGGCCACTCAAGGACATTCAGAGACTTGTCCCGAAGCCACTCCTGCGTTGTCTTGGCTGTGTGCTTAGGGTCGATGTCCTGTTGGAAGGTGAACCTTCGCCCAGTCTGAGGTCCTGAGTGCTCTGGAGCAGGTTTTCATCAAGGATCTCTCTGTACTTTGCTCCATTAATCTTTGCCTCGATCCTGACTAGTCTCCTAGACCCTGCCGCTGAAAAACATCCCCACAGCATGATGCTGCCATCATCATGCTTCACTGTAGGGGTGGTGACAGGTTTCCTCCAGACGTGACGCTTGGCATTCAGGCCAAATAGTTAAATCTTTAGGTGCCTTTTGGCAAACTCCAAGCGGGCTGTCTTGTGCCTTTTACTGAGGAGTGGCTTCCGTCTGGCCACTCTACCATAAAGGCTTGATTGGTGTAGTGCTGCAGAGATGGTTGCCCTCTGGAAGGTTCTCCCATCTCCACAGAGGAGCTCTGTCAGAGTGACCATTGGGTTCTTGGTCACCTCCCTGACCAAGACCCTTCTCCCCTGATTGCTCAGTTTGGCCAGGTGGCCAGCTCTAGGAAGAGTCTTGGTGGTTCCAAACTTCTTCCATTTAAGAATGATGGAGGCCACTTTGTTTTTGGGGACCTTCAATGCTGCAGAAATGTTTTGGTACCCTTCCCCAGATCTGTGCCTTGACACAATCCTGTCTTAGCGCTCTACGGACAATTCCTTCGACCTCATGGCTTGGTTTTTACTCTGAAATGCACTGTCAACTTTGGGACCTTATATAGACAGGTGTGTGCCTTTCCAAATCATGTCCAATCAATTGAATTTACCACAGGTGGATCAAGTTGTATAAACATCTCAAGGATGCTTAATGGAAACAGGATGCACCTGAGCTCAATTTCGAGTCTCATATCAAAGGGTCTGAATACTTACGTAAATTAGGTATTTCTGTTTTTTTATTTTTTATAAATTTGCAAAAAATTCTAAACCTGTTTTCACGTCATCATTAAGGGTGTAGATTGCTGAAGAAATTTTTTTATTTAATCAATTTTAGAGTAAGGCTGTAACATAACAAAATGTGGAAAAAGTCAAGGGGTCTGAATACTTTCTGAAGGCACTAAGTATGGCCATCCATTGCATATGTACAATAATACCTAGGTCTCAAATGACTTAGAAACAGTCTGTCACAGTATTGGAAAATCTTATGGAATATGTCATAGAACAAAAGGAAAAATATTCACAGAACTTACAGTGGGGGAAAAAAAAGTATTTAGTCAGCCACCAATTGTGCAAGTTCTCCCACTTAAAAAGATGAGAGAGGCCTGTAATTTTCATCATAGGTACACGTCAACTATGACAGACAAATTGAGATTTTTTCTCTCCAGAAAATCACATTGTAGGATTTTTAATGAATTTATTTGCAAATTATGGTGGAAAATAAGTATTTGGTCAATAACAAAAGTTTCTCAATACTTTGTTATATACCCTTTGTTGGCAATGACACAGGTCAAACGTTTTCTGTAAGTCTTCACAAGGTTTTCACACACTGTTGCTGGTATTTTGGCCCATTCCTCCATGCAGATCTCCTCTAGAGCAGTGATGTTTTGGGGCTGTCGCTGGGCAACACGGACTTTCAACTCCCTCCAAAGATTTTCTATGGGGTTGAGATCTGGAGACTGGCTAGGCCACTCCAGGACCTTGAAATGCTTCTTACGAAGCCACTCCTTCGTTGCCCGGGCGTTGTGTTTGGGATCATTGTCATGCTGAAAGACCCAGCCACGTTTCATCTTCAATGCCCTTGCTGATGGAAGGAGGTTTTCACTCAAAATCTCACGATACATGGCCCCATTCATTCTTTCCTTTACACGGATCAGTCGTCCTGGTCCCTTTGGAGAAAAACAGCCCCAAAGCATGATGTTTCCACCCCCATGCTTCACAGTAGGTATGGTGTTCTTTGGATGCAACTCAGCATTCTTTGTCCTCCAAACACGACGAGTTGAGTTTTTACCAAAAAGTTCTATTTTGGTTTCATCAGACCATATGACATTCTCCCAATCCTCTTCTGGATCATCCAAATGCACTCTAGCAAACTTCAGACGGGCCTGGACATGTACTGGCTTAAGCAGGGGGACACGTCTGGCACTGCAGGATTTGAGTCCCTGGTGGCGTAGTGTGTTACTGATGGTAGGCTTTGTTACTTTGGTCCCAGCTCTCTGCAGGTCATACACTAGGTCCCCCCGTGTGGTTCTGGGATTTTTGCTCACCGTTCTTGTGATCATTTTGACCCCACGGGGTGAGATCTTGCGTGGAGCCCCAGATCGAGGGAGATTATCAGTGGTCTTGTATGTCTTCCATTTCCTAATAATTGCTCCCACAGTTGATTTCTTCAAACCAAGCTTACCTATTGCAGATGCAGTCTTCCCAGCCTGGTGCAGGTCTACAATTTTGTTTCTGGTGTCCTTTGACAGCTCTTTGGTCTTGGCCATAGTGGAGTGTGACTGTTTGAGGTTGTGGACAGGTGTCTTTTATACTGATAACAAGTTCAAACAGGTGCCATTAATACAGGTAACGAGTGGAGGACAGAGGAGCCTCTTAAAGAAGAAGTTACAGGTCTGTGAGAGCCAGAAATCTTGCTTGTTTGTAGGTGACCAAATACTTATTTTCCACCATAATTTGCAAATAAATTCATTAAAAATCCTACAATGTGATTTTCTGGAGAGAAAAAATCTCAATTTGTCTGTCATAGTTGACGTGTACCTATGATGAAAATTACAGGCCTCTCTCATCTTTTTAAGTGGGAGAACTTGCACAATTGGTGGCTGACTAAATACTTTTTTTCCCCACTGTAAGTGTCACGAGAATTTCTATCTCTAATTCAACCTAAGCTTGAATCATTACCAGGGGTTGTAAGGCCCTGGTTTTAATCATAAATGATTCAAGGTCCACAACCAGCAAGAATTATCTGTATTTTTATTCATGGAGAGCTCTGGCGCCCAAAACCCATACAGTGGGGAGAACAAGTATTTGATACACTGCCGATTCTGCAGGTTTTCCTACTTACAAAGCATGTAGAGGACTGTAATTTTTATCATAGGTACACTTCAACTGTGAGAGACGGAATCTAAAACAAAAATCCAGAAAATCACATTGTATGATTTTTAAGTAATTAATCTGCATTTTATTGCATGACGTAAGTATTTGATCACCTACCAACCAGTAAGAATTCCGGCTCTCACAGACCTGTTCGTTTTTCTTTAAGAAGCCCTCCTGTTCTCCACTCATTACCTGTATTAACTGCACCTGTTTGAACTCGTTACCTGTATAAAAGACACCTGTCCACACACTCAATCAAACAGACTCCAACCTCTCCACAATGGCCAAGACCAGAGAGCTGTGTAAGGACATCAGAGATAAAATTGTAGACCTGCACAAGGCTGGGATGGGCTACAGGACAATAGGCAAGCAGCTTGGTGAGAAGGCAACAACTGTTGGCGCAATTATTAGAAAATGGAAGAAGTTCAAGATGACGGTCAATCACCCTCGGTCTGGGGCTCCATGCAAGATCTCACCTCGTGGGGCAATGATCATGAGGAAGGTGAGGGATCAGCCCAGAACTACACGGCAGGACCTGGTCAATGACCTGAAGAGAGCTGGGACCACAGTCTCAAAGAAAACCATTAGTAACACACTACGCCGTCATGGATTAAAATCCTGCAGCGCATGCAAGGTCCCCCTGCTCAAGCCAGCGCATGTCCAGGCCCGTCTGAAGTTTGCCAATGACCATCTGGATGATCCAGAGGAGGAATGGGAGAAGGTCATGTGGTCTGATGAGACAAAAATATAGCTTTTTGGTCTAAACTCCACTCGCCGTGTTTGGAGGAAGAAGAACGATGAGTACAACCCCAAGAACACCATCCCAACCATGAAGCATGGAAGTGGAAACAACATTCTTTGGGGATGCTTTTCTGCAAAGGGGACAGGACGACTGCACCGTATTGAGGGGAGGATGGATGGGACCATGTATCGCGAGATCTTGACCAACAACCTCCTTCCCTCAGTAAGAGCATTGAAAATGGGTCGTGGCTGGGTCTTCCAGCGTGACAACGACCCGAAACACACAGCCAGGGCAACTAAGGAGTGGCTCCGTAAGAAGCATCTCAAGGTCCTTGAGTGGCCTAGCCAGTCTCCAGACCTGAACCCAATAGAAAATCTTTGGAGGGAGCTGAAAGTCCGTGTTGCCCAGCGACAGCCCCGAAACCTGAAGGATCTGGAGAAGGTCTGTATGGAGGAGTGGGCCAAAATCCCTGCTGCAGTGTGTGCAAACCTGGTCAAGACCTACAGGAAACGTATGATCTCTGTAATTGCAAACAAAGGTTTCTGTACCAAATATTAAGTTCTGCTTTTCTGATGTATCAAATACTTATGTCATGCAATAAAACGCAAATTAATTACTTAAAACTCATACAATGTGATTTTCTGGATTTTTGTTTTAGATTCTGTCTCTCACAGTTGAAGTGTACCTATGATAAATATTACAGACCTCTACATGCTTTGTAAGTAGGAAATAAATACTGTTTTATACCCCTTGACACACAAAGGCACTTTGCTCCGCCCACCTTTAGGAGGCTTTCTTAAACAGTTTCCGCCTTCTCCTTCACCCTGGAATGTTTAGTCCCGCCCCCCTCTGTTAGTGGGTTGACACTACATTATAATTCTAACACCGTTTACACATTTATACTGTATTTGGGGTGAAATCCTTTAGTCATTATTCTTAAAATACAAATTAATCTATCATTAAGTTAAAAAATATGTTGCTTTTTCTCAATACAGTTTATACATGTTATACTGTTATGCCAATGCAGTAGTACAGTGTTAGGGAACCCTGTTCCAACTAGGCACCACACCTGATCAACTGAGCTAATTCATCAGTTTAGTGATTGCCTATATTCAACCCACCTGGTCTTCCATTGTTACATGACGTGCCTGTAACCCTCCAGGCCCAGGCTTGTCTACCCCTGCAGTAGTATATGTACAGATATTTTTGTAAAAGGGGCAATACTAAAACACATTCTGAGAGTTTATGGAGTTGGTTACTTTTGTAATTATTGTAATGCACTTGACTTGCTTTGGAAGTCGCAGGTGGTCTAGGAAATCTGCTATTTTGATTTGTCTCATAATGATGATATGCTCTGTGAGCAAAAAAAAGTGAATTTCCAAAAATCTAATTTTATCAAGCACTGGCATACAATATACTGTGCTGAATCAATTAACTTACCAAGGAACTAACACCTGCTCTTTCATCATTTTATTAAATACACATTAGGAATATATTGAGTTGCACCCCCTTTTGCCCTCAGAACAGACTCAATTGGTCGGGGCATGGACTCTACAAGGTGTCGAAAGCGTTCCACAGGGATGCTGGCCCATGTTGATCTAATGCTTCCCACAGTTGTGTCAAGTTGGCTGGATGTCCTTTGGGTGGTGGACCATCTTGATACACATGGGAAACTGATGAGTGTGAAAAACCCAGCAGCGTTGCAGTTCTTGACACACTCAAACTGGTGCGCCTGGCACCTACTACCATACCCCGTTCAAAGGCACTTAAATCTTTTGTCTTGCCCACCCTCTGAATGGCACACATACACAATCGATGTCTCAAGGCTTAAAAATCCTTCTTTAACCTGTCTCCTCCCCTTCCTCTACACTGATTGCAGTGGATTTAACAAGTGACATCAATAAGGGATCATAGATTTCACCTGGTCAGTCTATGTCATGGAAAGAGCAGGTGTTCCTAATGTTTTGTACAGTCCGTGTATATCAGAGCTCGTCCTTGAAGTTCTGCGTTGCATGCGAGTAGTCATTAGCTCACTTTTCAAGCAACTTTATCAACAAACGTTAATAACATGACACCTAATTTAGTTAGGAAACGTCTGGGTTAATAACAGGCAATGGGCATAATCTCATTAGCCTAACACTGATGACAGAGTCAAATATACTTTGGGGATCATGTTGTATTTAATCTGCCGGAATGATTACTTATACAAATTAACTCTAGTAATTATTGCTACGAGACATTCCTTTGTCCAACACCATGTTTGCATTGCTCACCAGAAAGCAGCAGGCTTTGCAGTAGCTGAGTAGCTTTATTCAACCAAATGCAGATCCGAGTATGTACAGCTGGTACAACAGGTCTGTTGAACAGCAACAGTTGGTACGTTTTGGGGCACTCAGTAGCCACCAGGTTTCCTATCCAGAGGAGGCAGATAGTAGGTCTTGAAAGCAGCGCAGTGGGACTCATCCCTTGGCTGTTGGGAAAAGAGACACAAACGGGTTATTAACAGAAATATGAACAACACACGGACGCCATTCTATTGAGTTCTCAGGCTGTACATCAAGGGTCTCGGAGTAGGAGTGCTGATCTAGGACGAGTGTTGCTTTTTAGATCATAATGAATAAGATGACATGGACTGGGAGGATCTGATCCTAGATCAACACTCCAATTCTGAGATGCTTGATACACACAGCTTCAGATGTTCTTTATGATGTGTGCAACAAAGTCTGTACAGGACTTTTTGTCAAAGGGAGTAGCCGTAGGGATGTCCTGACATGCAATACAGTGTGTTTACCTTAGCCAACCGGGAGTGGCACTTTTTTGATGTGATGGCAGGGAGGGACCCACGGTGAGTGATGGTGAGAGCTGGCACTGTGCTAACAGGGTAGGTGATCTGGGGTGCAGGCACTACCACATTGAGCTTTGGTAATTCCACCTGTGGGGCGTTGCGTCTGATCAGAGGCTCGGCAACATGCTTTGTGTTGTGCTGCCAAACAGACAAATATTTATATCTTGGGAGACTAGCCCCATCATAGTAGCGCAAAGTACATCCAAATTACGGAATATTTTGTCCATTTCCCAGTATGTAGCATATTCAAGACATTTTATCCTACCTTTTTGTAATGTGGTTGATTACCTCATAAAATGTGATGTAGGATCAACTTTTTTAGGAGATGTGTCTGTCTCTTACCTGCCTCCTGCCCTGTCTGGCCAAGCGCCGCAGGTGATCCACAGAGTTGGGGGTCCCACTGCTCTCTCCTCCCTCTACAGTAACAATGGCCCTGCGCAGACTATCAGCTCTCCTCTCCGCCAGCCTGAGACCAAGGACGCAAGAGGACAGGAGGAGGGAAGCTGGCATTTACCATATGAACAATTAAATACTTTATCTTTCACACTACACACACTACAATTATAAGGCACAGTATGTCTGTGTGTGTTTGTTCTACAGTAGTGTGTGCCTACCGTAGCTCTCTAAAATAGACGTGCTGTAGCGCAGCTCTTGCGCCAATGCGCTCCTCTGGGTCGTAGGCCAGCATCTGGTAGAGCAACGACAGACTGGGCGCTGAACAGTTTGGGATGAGCGGAGATATTCCACTGCCTTTCCGCAGAGGGAAGTCAAAACGCATCGCCCTAGACCTGTCAAACATAAATGCACAACACTGTCACTGAGGACAATGGTTTCCACTGAACATACTGTAAGTCATTGGTCTTCATTACATGATAAGCGTATCTAACCAACGTACTGAGGGAATTTTTGAAGGAGACTGCTGTCAGGTGTACCCAAAACATCATGGATCTTGGTCACCTGATCCAACTCATTGGTTCCCGGAAACAGAGGGCTGAGACTGAAATACACAAACATGATCGTCTGTGATGTCATCAAGGCTATTTACACGACAGCAGGTGTTCACGAATGTCTGCGGCTTCGGCCGTAGAGGAACACAACACTAAGGCTATAACCAACTTCTCATACTAGAAAGGACATAAGCAGTTCTGTGTCTAATTTGATGATCGATGAAAGGTACCTGATGATCTCGTAGAAAACACATCCTACACTCCACATGTCCATCTTGTGTGAGTAATAGCCGTCTGTGAGGAGGCACTCTGGGGCTCTGTACCAGCGGGTGGAGATGTACTCTGTGTGGGGGGGCTTGGAGTGCAAACTCCTGCACGAGCCAAAGTCTCCTAGTTTGAGCACGTCGTGCTATGGAAGCAACCAACCAAGTCATGGACAACATATGGTAAATAATGTAACAGTAACAGTTCTTATTTACAAATCAGCAGGCAAGGTTTTCAGCATCATCTGGTTTTTTTTTACTTACTTTGATTAGAATATTCTCTGGCTTAACGTCCCGGTGAAAGATCTCGTTGCTGTACCAAGATAACAATACAGCACAACTGTTTACTTTTAGGGGAAGCAAAAAAACGTACCCTTAACCCTCCTCTGTGCCAGTGAAAGGTCTGTAGGAAATGTAACTGAAATGTATCTATACATGGACAAGATCCTCTCCATATTTTCATTCTTACCTATGCATGTGATCGATTGACTTGCAAAGTTGGTACATGTAGTGTTTGATTTTACTTTCTGGCAAAGGTTGTTGCCTACCTGCAAGTGAGACAAGTTAGGAATGCACAAGATAACTGAATGAGGAATAGTATTTGATATGCGGTATTTACAGTTGTGGTAGATGTTTCATGTCATTCAGAGTAGCAGTTTCACTGTGCGTCTGACCTCGTATGAACTCGTATATGTTCATCTCCATCAGCTCACATACCAAGGACAGGGTCCCTGACTCTTTGTCACTGTAACACATTGAATGAATCAGACAAAATTATCATGTTATTATTCGGTTGAGGATTCACACAAACAATTAAAAAGACAGGGACAAACATTGTACTCACAATATCAATTCATGCAGCTGAATGATGTTTGGGTGAGGGTTCAGTCTTTTCATGGCCTGGACTTCTCGCAGGTTGTTGGCCTGTTCCAGGCTGAGCAACAAACAAAAAAGATGTAGCGAAACCTGTTATTAACTGTGTACCAACAGACTGATAACCACCAACACATGATCAATTAACTTTATCTTTATATTGTAGAGAACATGTCATGCCTTCTTTTCAAAGACGATTCACAAAATTGACAGGTTAATTTGTTAAGAGTAGTTAGCTATATAAATCAAATTTTTCAAATCAAATTTTATTGGTCACATACACATATTTAGCAGATGTTATTGCGGGTGTAGTGAAATGCTTGTGGTTATAGGTAAAAAGTTAATGTACAGGCTTTTAAAAAATCAGAGCAAAAAAGCAACATTGTCCCTAGCCTAAGTCAAGCTCACTAGGTCAGAGTCAGGGTATGTTGACAGTGACTCCCAGTTGGATAGGCAGGGGTGTCATGCTGCTTGCTGAAGTTTCAAGGCAAGGGTCCATACACACAGAGGATGTAGAGCACCTCAAGGCAAACAGCTGGCAGAACCATTATAAGGCAGCACACCTGATAGTTAGTTACCTGCTGAGTGACTGCTTCATCGTTTTACACGCATAATATTTCCCATCTTTCAGGCTTTGAGCCTTCACCACTTCTGAAAATGTCCCTTCTCCAATTTTGTTGATTATCTTGTAATCTGCATAACAAAACAGAGTATAGACATGTAGCTAACGTTACTCTTGTTATAATGAAGAAAAAACCATGCAGCTCTAGCTAGCAGCTATCTAGCTTTATCATTCTATGAGAATAGATCAAGCTGCCTGGAACTGAATTTGACATGCCATGATATTTAGCTAACGCTAGCTAGTAACAGTACAGGCAAGCAAACGATCAACGTACTATCCATTCTTCAAAGTGTTCACTGCATAGAAGTAGATTATCCATACTAGTCCTATATTTAAATAACACATTGCGATAATTTCATGGCACAGTCTTGTTGTGACAAGATTGCTATTTGACTGATTTAGCTAGCTATCTCCTCCAAGATTGAAAGGCTGGAGAGAAAAAAAACGCCTTGCTGCAATAGCTAGCCATGTTAGCTGGGCCGTCACCGTGGTAACCAGGCACGCATCACCCTCAACTCTGACGTAAAATGTGGATGATTTGAAAGCAGAAATGTGTCTCGTTACAGTTATAGCTCAATGGTTACGCCTCGATCACACCGACATTACACCATTTTACGCAGCATCATCTGAATATGTGTGCAACAAAAGTTCAACATTCACCTACTGCTACCATCTCTGTCAAACCGTCTACGCATATTATGTTCGATAAATCCAACGTTTGCACCACCCAGAACGGACTGCAACTGCCTCTGCAACGCAATGCTGCAAGACGTTCCATTAGAAATGAATGTACTATTTATTTATTTATTTAACCTTTATTTAACTAGGCAAGTCAGTTAAGAACAAATTCTTATTTACAATGACCGCCTACCCCGGGCCAATTGTGCGCCGACCTATTGGACTCCCAATCACGGCCAGACTGTGATACAGCCTGGAATCGAACCAGGGTCTGTAGTGACGCCTCTAGCACTGAGATGCAGTGCCTTAGACCACTTCTGGTGTACCAAAATGCAATGACACTATCGGTGTGATCAAGGCGTTACAGTGGCTGGCTGGTTGGCTATCTATACAGAACAAAACTATAAACGCAACTTGCAACAATTTAAACGATTTTACTGAGTTAAAGTTCATATAATGAAATCACTCAATTGAAATGAATTAATTAGGCCCTAATCTATGGATTTCACATGACTGGGCAGGGGCGCAGGCATGGGTGGGCCTGGGAGGGCATAGGCCCACCCACTGGAGAGCCAGGCCTAGCCAATCAGATTTTTTTTTCCCCACATAAGGGATTTATTACAGACAGAAATACTCCTCAATTTCATCAGCTGGTCTCAGACGATCCCGCAGGTGAAGAAGCCGGATGAGGAAGTCCTGGGCTGACATAGTTACACGTGGTCTGCGGGTGTGAGGCCGGTTGGACGTACTGCCAAGTTCTCTAAAATGATGTTGGAGGTGGCTTATGGTATAGCAACAAACATTAAATTCTCTGGCAACATCTCTGGTGGACATTGCTGCGGTAGGCATGCCAATTGCACGCTCCCTCAAAACTTGAGACATCTGTGGCATTGTGTGACAAAACTTCACATTTTAGTGGCCTTTTGTCCCTAGCACAAGGTGCACCTGTGTAATGATCATGCTGTTTAATCAGCTCCTTGATATGCCACAACTGTCCGGTGGATGAATTATCTTGGCAAAGGAAAAATGCTCACTAACAGGGATGTAAACAAATTTGTGGACAAAATTTGGGAGAGATAATCTTTGTGTAAATGGACAATTTCTGGGCTCTTTTATTTCAGCTCATGAAACATGGGACCAACACTTTACATGTTGTGTTTATATTTTTGTTCAGTGTATATATATACATATATACAGTGAGGGAAAAAAGTGTTTGATCCCCTGCTGATTTTGTACGTTTGCCCACTGACAAAGAAATGATCAGTCTATAATTTTAATGGTAGGTTTATTTGAACAGTGAGAGACAGAATAACAACAAAAAATCCAGAAAACGCATGTCAAAAATGTTATAAATTGATTTGTATTTTAATGAGGGAAATAAGTATTTGAACCCCTCTCAATCAGAAAGATTTCTGGCTCCCAGGTGTCTTTTATACAGGTAACAAACTGAGATTAGGAGCACACTCTTAAAGGGAGTGCTCCCAATCTCAGTTTGTTACCTGTATAAAAGACACCTGTCCACAGAAGCAATCAATCAATCAGATTCCAAACTCTCCACCATCGCCAAGACCAAAGAGCTCTCCAAGGATGTCAGGGACAAGATTGTAGACCTACACAAGGCTGGAATGGGCTACAAGACCATCGCCAAGCAGCTCAAAAGTAACAGTCAGTATCTGGTGTGGGCCACCAGCTGCATTAAGTACTGCGGTGCATCTCCTCATGAACTGCACTAGATTTGCCAGTTCTTTCTGTGAGATGTTACCCCACTCTTCCACCAAGGCACCTGCAAGTTCCCGGACATTTCTGGGGGGGAATGGCCCTAGCCCTCACCCTCCGATCCAACAGGTCCCAGACGTGTTCAATGGGATTGAGATCCGGACACTTCGCTGGCCATGGCAGAACACTGACATTCCAGTCTTGCAGGAAATCACGCACAGAACGAGCAGTATGGCTAGTGGCATTTTCATGCTGGAGGGTCATGTCAGGATGAGCCTGCAGGAAGGGTACCACATGAGGGAGGAGGATGTCTTCCCTGTAACGCACAGCGTTAAGATTGCCTGCAATTACAACAAGCTCAGTCTGATGATGCTGTGACACACCGCCCCAGACCATGACAGACCCTCCACCTCCAAATCGATCCCGCTCCAGAGTACAGGCCTTGGTGTAACGCTCATTCCTTCGACAATAAACGTGAATCCGACCATCACCCCTGGTGAGACAAAACCGCGACTCGTCAGTGAAGAGCACTTTTTGCCAGTCCTGTCTGGTCCAGCGACGGTGGGTTTGTGCCCATAGGCGACGTTGTTGGCGGTGATATCTGGTGAGGACCTGCCTTACAACAGGCCTACAAGCCCTCAGTCCAGCCTCTCTCAGCCTATTGCAGACAGTCTGAGCATTGATGGACGGATTGTGCCTTCCTGGTGTAACTCGGGCAGTTGTTGCCATCCTGTACCTGTCCCGCAGGTGTGATGTTCGAATGTACCGATCCTGTGCAGGTGTTGTTACACGTGGTCTGCCACTGCGAGGACGATGAGCTGTCCGTCCTGTCTCTCTGTAGCGCTGTCTTAGGCGTCTCACAGTACTGACATTGCAATTTATTGCCCTGGCCACATCTGCAGTCCTCATGCCTCCTTGCAGCATGCCTAAGGCAAGTTCACGCAGATGAGCAGGGACCCTGGGCATCTTTCTTTAGGTGTTTTTCAGTCAGTAGAAAGGCCTCTTTAGTGTCCAAAGTTTTCATAACTGTGACCTTAATTGCCTACCGTCTGTAAGCTGTTAGTGTCTTAACGACTGTTCCACAGGTGCATGTTCATTAATTGTTTATGGTTCATTGAACAAGCAAGGGAAACAGTGTTTAAACCCTTTACAATGAAGATCTGTGAAGTTATTTGGATTTTTACAAATTATCTTTGAAAGACAGGGTCCTGAAAAAGGGACGTTTCTTTTTTTGCTGAGTTTATATAGTCAATTATACAATTTGCCTCAGTCTTATTCTGGCAGTCTGGAATATTTAAGCAAGCTCCTTGGCCATATGAATGACTGCTTAGTCACTTAGCACAAAACACCAACCATCCACGAGTGTGAAAAGCGAGCTCTGGTTTTCACATCCTTTTATCGCTCATTTCAGGATATGGATTTATCTAGAAACATCCATGCCGAAGTTAAAGTATCAGCACCTACTCTGCTGGCAGCCAAGTAGAAATGTCTCTATAGAATGAATTGGAAATTGGATTTCTTCACATCTGGACAGTATCATGATATAAAGGAAAACTAGAGCCAACGAGTCAACCCATCCCTTAATAGGACTATGCGGACTTCATTGATGCCTTCAATTGACCCATAATGTGCAAATGTATATATGGATGACAGGAAAAGCTTGTGCGCTGAAGCATTCATTTCCCTCAGTTGTTTCACGGATTTATACAATAATCATTCTTTGTTCAATATAACGTGTGTATGCAAAAGGACAGAATCGGATTTGGCATATTTGGCTGGTTTATTTTCTTGATTCAAAATTAAACCATTTTTTTTTTTTTTTAACAATATATTTTATAATAAAAATGTCAAGGGAAACTTGTGCAGATCAGACAAGAATAATACCAAACGAGTAACTTTCTGATAATGAAATTCAGTGCAATATGGCTCCAATGTCAATGTAACTAGTATTACCTGATTAAAACAGACAAAATGCTACACGTGAGCCTCTTCTGACTAACATGGTCAAAGGTATGACACCTCTCCAGCAGGACTGAACATGGTACTTTTATTTTAAAAAAATATACATTTTTTTTTTTAAACACTGGCACGACAAATCCACACATATATGCAATACAATACAATATATACACATCAGAAAAGTAAGCACTCAGAATTAGGATAATGAACGTTGCCATGTTTGCTGATTGACTGGCCTAAGGGATTGCCAACACTAGTCCCTACAAAAGCCTCTATATTTCTCTAAATGATTTACATCAATTTACTTTTGTTTTTCCGACCCACTCCTCATGACACTTGGTGACAAGATCAAGGTGAGCTGTCCTCTTCATTCAGCTAGCAGCAAGGCCATGGCAGTCAACCATCTCACACACACCGTCTCACACACACTCAACCCTAGCACACCAAATAACATGGTGGTATATGGCTCTTATGAGCCCAGGGCGTTGATGCCTCCCATCCGCTGTTTGAGAGTGTGTAGCAGATGTATAGGCAGGCAGTCCCAGGACCCAGACAGCAACTCTCTGTGCTGCAGCGCTGCTTCCATACAGAACCTAGGACAATAACTTAACACTTTGCATGGGAAGGCAAGTTTTAGGTTGACCACAAGATGTGCTGTATCAGAGTTGAGTTGTTCATTAGGCAGAAGAAAACTGACTGAAACGGGGAGTGACTACCTGGACTTTGGGTTGTGTTCATTAGGGCACGCAACAGAAAACAGTATTTCTGTGTATGGGCCATGGTGACTGGGTTCTGTTTCTACTCACCGAACAAGTGACTTGGGTTGAACCGTGAAGACCAGCAACTCTTTGCAGTGAGCCTGTTGAAAAGGCAATCGAAGAACATATATACATGTATTCAAACCATAGTAAACCTGTTAATCAATCGGTTTGTTGTTCTAATTTCAAGTGACACCAAGAAAGGTCTAGTAGTTTATGACTGAGTGGTGTGTTCTAACGGCACTCACCGCTCGCTGATGGGACAGCAGGTTGTTGGCACAGCCGCCAAACACAAACACCTCCCCGTCAGGACCGGAACAGGCCGTGTGCCAGAGCCTGACACACAGTCAGAGAAAAATCACCATTGACTCACAACACAAACAATGTACACAGTGAGACAAGCAGTGTCTCTTCCTAACCACTTATTTGGTAATATTGTCATGAAGATGAATTGGTTTATCAGTATGGAGATATTACCTGGGGCTCTCTGTGTGATTGTACTGGTTTATCAGTATGGAGATATTACCTGGGGCGCTCTGTGTGATTGTACTGGTTTATCTCTATGGAGATATTACCTGGGGCGCTCTGTGTGATTGTACTGGTTTATCTCTATGGAGATATTACCTGGGGCGCTCTGTGTGATTGTACTGGTTTATCTGTATGGAGATATTACCTGGGGCTCTCTGTGTGATTGTACTGGTTTATCTCTATGGAGATATTACCTGGGGCTCTCTGTGTGATTGTACTGGTTTATCAGTATGGAGATATTACCTGGGGCTCTCTGTGTGATTGTACTGCGCTATCATTTGCGAACAGTACAGCAGCATCCCTGTAGATATCACAACTAGATGAAAGGGAAATCATTGTGGGCGAGCCGTGGGACTTTAAGAATGAGTATCTTCACTCACTGAGCGTCTCTCGGTACGTTGTGAAGCCTCCGAACAGGAACATGTGGTCAGGTGACACAGGGGTTAAGGAGTGCCATGAGCGTCCCACAGGACCCTGCTGAGGAATACTCCTGAAGAGGGGCAAGGAGAGATGTGACCGGGGGAGGTGGTGGGGAGATGGGACCAGGGGAGATGGGGACCGGGAGAGGGGAGCGAGGGGAGATGGGACCGGGGGAGGTGGGAGGGGAGATGGGACCAGGGGAGATGGGACCGGGGGAGGGGAGATGGGACCGGGGGGAATTGGAGGGGACCGGGGAGGGAATTGGAGGGGAGCGGGGGGAGGTGGGACCGGGGGAGGTGGAGGGGAGATGGGACCAGGGGAGATGGGACCGGGGGAGGGGAGCGAGGGGAGATGGGACCGGGGGAATTGGAGGGGAGCGAGTGGAGATGGGACCGGGGGAGGTGGAGGGGAGCGAGGGGAGATGGAGGGGAGCGAGGGGAGGTGGGACCAGGGGAGGTGGAGGGGAGCGAGGGGAGATGGGACCGGGGGAGGTGGAGGGGAGCGAGGGGAGGTGGGACCGGGGGAGGTGGAGGGGAGCGAGGGGAGATGGAGGGGAGCGAGAGGAGGTGGGACCAGGGGAGGTGGAGGGGGTTAAGAATGATTGTTAGTCCCATCACGGTGAACACACACAGGGACATCCATGGGTAAGAGCACAACATCCTCCCATAAAAAAAATGGATGTGTATAATGCTATAACATGCATGAAGACATTTTGGATAAGTTAGCATAGTGTACATTTCATGCCACTCCCAGGAGTCCATGTCGATGTAGTACATGTCGTTCAGGCGGTAATCCTGTTGCGAAAGAGACAAGCCTTACTCATATGGAAGAAGAGCATCAAACATTTAGAATACAATATCCGTTATAATCTATGATGTAATAAGGTATAAATCATATAAATGAACATGGTTAAGCCCTAAATCTCTGTCTACAGGCCAGTGATATTGTTTAACATTAGACAGCATGACCGTAAACTCAGCAGGAACTTGAGTAAGCTCTATTTTCAAAGAACATTCCTACTTACTCTGTAACGCCCCCCAAACACGTAGCCTCGGTTGCCCACCTTGGCACAGGCATGCGCTGCCCGGGGTGAGGGGGTGTTGCCCTTTCGCCAGGAGAGAGGGAGGGAAAGGAGAGGTGAGAATGGCGCTCCCACTGAAACGGCTGTAAAAAATGGCTGGATTTATGGGAATGGCGTTACCTTGGTGACTGGCTGGCTCCAGGTGGACGTCTCCAGGTCCAGGACGTGAATGTGGTTGTTCCAGCCCCGCACCGGATTATCTCCCTGTTACAACACACAGTGAAGGGGCCGTGTTCATTAGTCCATGCAACAGAAAACTTTTTGCTATGGAACACAAAAATGTGCAATTCTTATTGGACAAGTCCAGGTTGTCCCGTCCCGTTTCAGTCCATTTTCTTCCGTTTGGTGCCTAATGAACACGACCAAGTACTTACCCTTATTGACGACTCCCTTTGCTGCAGACAAATACACTAAACAGACCATTGTCTTCATACTGCCGTTAAAAGCAGCTGAAGAGTTGTGGAATGAATTGACCATACCATGAATGAAGTTTCATCGTATTCAAATGTCCCTCGGTGAGCTCCTTGTGCCACGTAGCCGTAGCCCCCGAAGAATACTAGTCTGTCAACAAAGACACCGAGCAGTTGATTGAGAAACGTTCATCAAAATAAAACATGTATCTTTCTTTAAAGGCAATAAGTATTGGAGCAACTAAGACCTAGACCTATAATCTAACACACTGCCTGCCAATGAGCCACCTCACCTGTTCTATAATCTAACACACTGCCTGCCAATGAGCCACCTCACCTGTTCTATAATCTAACACACTGCCTGCCAATGAGCCACCTCACCTGTTCTATAATCTAACACACTGCCTGCCAATGAGCCACCTCACCTGTTCTATAATCTAACACACTGCCTGCCAATGGGCCACCTCACCTGTTCTATAATCTAACACACTGCCTGCCAATGAGCCACCTCACCTGTTCTATAATCTAACACACTGCCTGCCAATGGGCCACCTCACCTGTTCTATAATCTAACACACTGCCTGCCAATGGGCCACCTCACCTGTTCTATAATCTAACACACCTGCCATGCCAATTAATCTACACACTGCCTGCAATGGGCCACCTCACCTGTTCTATAATCTAACACACTGCCTGCCAATGGGCCACCTCACCTGTTCTATAATCTAACACACTGCCTGCCAATGGCCACCTCACCTGTTCTATAATCTAACACACTGCCTGCCAATGAGCCACCTCACCTGTTCTATAATCTAACACACTGCCTGCCAATGGGCCACCTCACCTGTTCTATAATCTAACACACTGCCTGCCAATGGGCCACCTCACCTGTTCTATAATCTAACACACTGCCTGCCAATGGGCCACCTCACCTGTTCTATAATCTAACACACTGCCTGCCAATGGGCCACCTCACCTGTTCTATAATCTAACACACTGCCTGCCAATGAGCCACCTCACCTGTTCTATAATCTAACACACTGCCTGCCAATGAGCCACCTCACCTGTTCTATAATCTAACACACTGCCTGCCAATGGGCCACCTCACCTGTTCTATAATCTAACACACTGCCTGCCAATGGGCCACCTCACCTGTTCTATAATCTAACACACTGCCTGCCAATGGGCCACCTCACCTGTTCTATAATCTAACACACTGCCTGCCAATGAGCCACCTCACCTGTTCTATAATCTAACACACTGCCTGCCAATGGGCCACCTCACCTGTTCTATAATCTAACACACTGCCTGCCAATGGGCCACCTCACCTGTTCTATAATCTAACACACTGCCTGCCAATGGGCCACCTCACCTGTTCTATAATCTAACACACTGCCTGCCAATGAGCCACCTCACCTGTTCTATAATCTAACACACTGCCTGCCAATGGGCCACCTCACCTGTTCTATAATCTAACTCACTGCCTGCCAATGAGCCACCTCACCTGTTCTATAATCTAACACACTGCCTGCCAATGGGCCACCTCACCTGTTCTATAATCTAACACACTGCCTGCCAATGGGCCACCTCACCTGTTCTATAATCTAACACACTGCCTGCCAATGGGCCACCTCACCGTTCTATAATCTAACACACTGCCTGCCAATGGGCCACCTCACCTGTTCTATAATCTAACACACGCCTGCCAATGGGCCACCTCACCTGTTCTATAATCTGACGCACTGCCTGCTCAAATGGGCCACTCACCTGTTCTATAATCTAACACACTGCCTGCCAATGAGCCACCTCACCTGTTCTATAATCTAACACACTGCCCTGCCAATGAGCCACTCACCTGTTCATATCTAACACACTGCCTGCCAATGGGCCACCTCACCTGTTCTATAATCTAACACACTGCCTGCCAATGGCCACCTCACCTGTTCTATAATCTAACACACTGCCTGCCATGAGCCACCTCACCTGTTCTATAATCTAACACACTGCCTGCCAATGGGGCCACCTCACCTGTTCTATAATCTAACACACTGCCCTGCCAATGAGCCACCTCACCGTGTTCTATAATCTAACACACTGCCTGCCAATGAGCCACCTCACCTGTTCTATAATCTAACACACTGCCTGCCAATGGGCCACCTCACCTGTTCTATATCTAACACACTGCCTGCCAATGGGCCAACCTCACCGTTACTTATCTAACACACTGACTGCCAATGGGCACCTCACTGTTCTATAAGCTAACACACTGCCTGCCAATGGGCAACCTCACATGTTCTATAATCTTAACACACTTGCATGCCAATGGCCACCTCACCTGTTCTATAAGCTAACCACACTGCCTGCAAATGGCCACCTCACCTGTCTATATCTAACACACTGCCTGGCCAAGGGCACCTCACCTTTCTATAATCTAACACACTGCCTCTGCCAATGGCCACCTCACCCCGGTTCTATACAATCTAACACACTTGCCTGCAATTGGGCCACCTCACCGTTCTATAAATCATAACACACGCCTGCCAATGAGCACACCTCACCTGTCCTATAATTCTAACACACTGCCTGCCCAATGGGCCACCTAACCTGTTTCTATAATCATAACTTCACTGCTGCCAATGAATGAGCCACCTCACCATGTTCTATAACTCTATACACACTGCCTGCCAATGGGCCACCTCACCTGTTCTATAATCTAACACACTGCCTGCCAATGGGCCACCTCACCTGTTCTTGTGGACCCAGCAGCCTAGTTTGTCCTTGCAGGATGGGGCCAGGCCCTTGAGATCCTTCATCTCCTCCCAGCAGAGGACCGGTGTTTGGAGAGGGAGCCGGAAGACCTGAAGGCCACAGAGCAGAACAAGGACAACGTTGTGATGGTACGAAGTCAAAAAAAAAGGTAGAATGTCATAAGTTTCGTAACAGACATTAACATTTAAATGTTAAGTCTGTTGGCAAACGGGCTTCTGAGGTGAGACGGGGATAAAAAAGGAAATCCTGCCGTGTTGAATTAGCGTCTATGATGCTTAAAGTGGGAGCAGAGATTTGAACCGAAAAACTCTCAAATAATCACTGCTTACCTGCAAAATAGTTTTTAGCGTGCAGCACAAAATATATTTTTGTAAACACTGTTTCTAGAAAGGGAGGGGCTGGACACTGCTTAGGTACCAAGATTCTACAAGACATAACAGCGTGCACGCACATGCACACACGGTATATTCTCACCCGGTTAGTGTTCCCCCTGGTATGGTGGCCTCCAAACAGATAGAGGACGCCATCCACACACACTCCACAGCTGCCAGACATGGAGGCATGCAGGTTACCCTCAGTCATCTGCTTCTTCCTGCAAATACAGACGGTTGATATAAGGGTTCTGGCAATAAGTAGGGTATTATATAGGGAGCCATATCATTTGAGACACACGCTAGATACTAACAAAAGGACGTTTAAAATCATTATTACCATCGTTCTGTCTCCATGTTGTAGATCCAGATTTCATTCCTTGGCAAGTATAAGTCCAAGAAGCTAGCGGTCTGGGAATTCTAATGACAAGACAAACAAGAGGGAAGTCAATGGAATTAAATCAGTTGTAAACATGTTGGCTGGAGTTTGGCTGTGTTATCTCTGGCAAATGGTGTCATAGGTCAAAGTCGACGCCAAATCTCCCAGTAAAACCTATAATTGATTGAAGACTCATTGATTGAAATGGTATAGTTCCAAATTCAATGATTTAGATACACTATAACATATCATCTAAACAAAAGGTCTATTCAGAATGCCTCTCATACTTCCTTACCTTATATCCTCCCCAAACATACATGCAGTGTCCATCCACCGCTGCTATGTGACCACTGCGCTCAGCTGGTTGGTCCAACTCAAAGGGCTCGGCTTCTGTGTCCAGAACAACTACATCCTCATCATCGAGTTCATCTGCCTCGTCCACCACCCAGTCAAATTCTCCTTCCTCTTCATCCCTCTCCGACTCTTCATCTTCCTCCTCAACGGGCAAGAGGTCAGCAATGTCCTCCTCTATTTCTGCCATGACCACCTGGATGGGAGAAGAGGGCTACATAGTCCGTTTTGCATACTCAGGGATTTAGAGTAGGGGAGTATGAGGGGTATTGGAACAATACAGACATTCACTATAGTTAAGAAGTCCCATCCCAACATGCAGCTATAGGATATAGCTATTAGCTTAGCTACCAATGGGACTGTGTTACGAACAGGGTTATTGCGACTAAAAAGACAATACGTTTTACAATACGAATTCTACGAGAGTTACAAATAATTCAGATTGTAAAATGTATTCTCCTTTTAGTCAAAGATATAGCTGTTACAGGGTAGGACTAGAATTGCTGTTGCAAGCTAACTCATATCAACAGCTGGCAACTGCTTTAGTACCACCATGGCTGATGCACTGACTGTTGGTTGGTTTACATGGGCACACAAGTCATGATGTTGGCTTGCTTGCCATCATGTAGACAATATAAATGCGTAGCTCGTGCAAAAAGACTAGTTTGCGGTAAGCATAATTTTAAGTCTATACCGACTGTACGTGACACCAAACGCTACCTAGCCAACGTTATCTAACTTATCTTAGCTGTGTCTGCAAGCTAGATAACGTTAACGTACTAGAGTTCGCCCTAATCAACCAATTTAACTGCGTTTTAATGCCTACTAAACTTTGAAAAAATGAATTATACAACCGTGCAACAAAAAAAATCACTTACGTAGTCTGCTTTAAATGGTCCACGTCTGCTTTGGCCTTCAGTGTGAACCGCTGTTTTTGTTCAGTGATTATTATGCGACATTTGGGTGAGGTCGTCCATTTCAAGAAGATGCCTGACCGGAATTGACCAATAACGTCTTATTTCCGCCATCTTTGTGAGGTCAAATATGATAATTTGATTTCGCATTTACATTTTAGTCATTTAGCAGACGCTCTTATCCAGAGCGACTTACAGTTAGTGAGTGCATACATTTTCTATGCAAGTACAGAAGAGTAACAAAAATATGATTTGCTTTATTGTCCAATATTCACCAGTCAAGTAAAAAAAACACAAAGATGACAATTCAATGACAGTAAACCTTTATAAAATACAAAGGGATTTAGCAAAAGTATTTTTAGACATATTTTACAAAAACATTTTACACAACCATAACAGCCATAACAGCCAATCCCCCAGTCCAGAATCATCCTAATGGTCTTTAGAGGCTTTGAAGTTTGCTGTGAGGAAAAATAAGGAATATTTAGATCAGCAAAGAGAAATGAAGACCGACATAGAAACCAAATTGATTCTCAATATACTATAGTTACCATATTGCCAGTAAATTAATTATTATCACCAAGTTAAATAGGTGTAAAGCCTGCATAAACACAGAGCAAATAACATGTCTCACCTGTCCTCAACGGTCCTGTTGGATGGGTAATATACCTTAAAAGTGAAGCCACTTTTTGGGAAGGAGCCCTGCAAGAACAGAATGACGATACAATACATTTAAAAAAAAACTTTCTAAATTAGGAATATAAGAGCTCATCATAATAGTTTAAAACCCAAGTCCAACATTTCATACAGTCTCATAATAAAACAAAATGGTGGAAATCTAGGAATAAGCGTAAAGTACCGGGTTGATGCAGAGGCAGTCTGTGTTGGAGATGTTGAAAGGGTCATATTTGTCCGCAAAGATGATGACATCAGGCACGGGGTAAACCCGTAAAGCGTAGTCATAGGCCCAGAACACTGGACTGACATACAACGGCAGTGGTGTCAGGTGGCCCTGAGACAAGATGGTCTTCACAAACTGGAGACAGAGAATGTATGGGGTGATTGTCAAGACATTTTCATGTCGTTATCATTCATGAAGAATACATTAAATTACCGGACAAGTATTCACACAGTGTCTCAGAGTAGGAGTTCTGATCTAGGATCAATTTAGCCTTTTAGTTCATAATTTCTAGGATCAGTTTAGCCTTTCTATGAACGGGGGGGGGGGGGGGGGCTGATCCTGGATCCTACTCTGAGGCTCTTTGTGAATATAGGCCAAGGTAACTAGATACGTTTATATAATGTAGGTAATTGTACTAGTAGAGGTTGTGTGTGTCATAACTGAGCAGCTGAGACTCACATGGTTTGGAATGTCGAGATTGCTGCTAGGCAGTCGGACACAATTCCTGCACATCTTGTTCACCAGGTCTTCTCTGATGACAACAATCTCCTGGCTGAAGTACTGGATTCTGACACAGGAAAATTAGATTCACAGGTTGTGAGATGTTAAAAGATGACATTTACAAAATGCCACTGCAAACAGGCAAAACGAAGACCACAAGCCATCACAAAACCTGTGAAATGTAACTGTCAAAGAATGGTCAATTGTTATCACAGGAGGTTGGTGGTACCTTAAATGGTGGTGGATGGGCTCGTGGTAATGGCTGGAGCAGAATAGTGGAATGGTATCAAATACATCAAACACATGGTTTTCATGTGTTTGATGCCATTCCACTCACTCCGTTCCAGCCATTATTATGAGCTGTCCTCCTCAGCAGCCTCCGCTGATTGTTATAATGAGCAAATTTAGCAAAATGTATTTGAGAACAATGTTACATATTAGCCATTAAGTGCTCATTTCTTCATAGGAACTTAAACGGCTAGTTGGGGATTTTGGCAATGAAGCCCTTTATCTACTTCCCCAGAGTCAGATGGACTGGATACTATTTTTATGTCTCTTTGACCTTATACATGTGGAGATGGGAGAACCTTCCAGAAGGACAACCATCTCTGCAGCACCAATGAGGCCTTTCTGCTAGAGTTTTTATTTAACCTTTATTTAACTAGGCAAGTCAGTTAAGAACAAATTCTTATTTACAATGACGGCCTACCCCGGCCAAACCCGGACGACGCTGGGCCAATTGTGCGCCGCTGGGCCAATTGTGCGCCGCCCTATGGGACTCCCAATTACGGCCGGTTGTGATACAGCCTGGAATCGAACCAGGGGGTCTGTAGTGACGCCTCTAGCACTAAGATGTAGTGTTTAGACCGCTGCGCCACTCGGGAGCCCGGAGTGGCCAGACGGAAGCCACTCCTCAGTGGGGCGGCGCACAATTGGCCCAGCGTCATCCAGGGTATGGGAGGGAATGGCCGGCAGGGATGTAGCTCAGTTGGTAGAGCATGGCGTTTGCAACACCAGGGTTGTGGGTTCGATTCCCACGGGGGGCCAGTATGAAAAAATAAAAAAATAATAACGTATGCACTCACTAACTGTAAGTCGCTCTGGATAAGAGCGTCTGCTAAATGACTAAAATGTAAAAGGCACATGACAGCCTGCTTAGAGTTTGCCAAAAGGCACCTAAAGGACTCTGGTCTGATGAAACCAAGATTTAACTATTTGGCCTGAATGCCAAGCGTCACGTCTGGAGGAAACCTGGCACCATCCCTACGGTGAAGCATGGTGGTGGCAGCATCATGCTGTGGGGATGTTTTTCAGTGGCAGGGACTGGGAGACTAGTCAGGATCGAGGGAAAGATGAACGGAGCAAAGTACAGAGAGATCCTTGATGAAAACCTGCTCCAGAGCACTCAGGACCTCAGACAATGGTGAAGGTTCACCATCCAAGAAGATGCAATGTTGTAATCGTTGCCAAAGGTGCTTCAACAAAGTACTGAGTAAAGGGTCTGGATACTTATGTAAATGTGATATTTCCACTTAAATTTTGTAATACATTTGCAAAACATTTAAAAAACGTTTTTTTACTTTGTCATTATGGGGTATTGTGTGTAGATTGATGAGGGGGGGAATTATGTAATCCATTTTAGAATAAGGCTGTAACGTAAAAAAAAATGTGGAAAAAGTCAAGGGGTCTGAATACTTTCCAAATGCACTGTATGTATCCCTTTAATAAAGCTCAAGAGACAAATTCCTTGAAAGAGAATAAATCAACAACTGTTATATTTCAGTCGTCACCTGCATGGGTTCGTAGTGAACACAGAGAATGGCACCCTCTGTCTGAACTCCTCCGTGATGTGGTCTGCTAACGGAGGCCTGAGGACATAAGCATTTCTATAAAGTACAGTACACCAGAGGACAATAGTCAAATCATGAGCAATACAACAGAGGAATAACAGGTCTCCGTTTTTCAACTGTCACCTGGGTAGAATTGTGCTGGGACCTGGGTCTTCGGGACCGGGAACGAACACGAAGCGACTACTGCAGTTTTGAAAGGATACATTCAGTTAGACAAGTAAACAAACCACTGAGCAAAACAACAATTTCCAGTAGAAGACCAGACCCATAATGCAGCATGGTGAATATTTCCAAAACAGTTTGTAACCCTGGGATGCAAGTGATATAATGATGTAGTACTGTTGAAATGGTTTCCTGGAATATCATCCTTTCAGGTCAACCAAGTGGATTATCTCCCTCACACGTTACCTGTTGTGGATGCTGGGGTATTCACAGATTGCATCAGCAAGAACTTTCAACGACTCTGGGGGAAAAATGAAAATACTTCAATTGTGTGTACTAATGCTTCTGTCATAACCCATTTGCCAGGTCAGTATATCTTCACAAGCAGGGCAATAAAAAAAAAACAATTACCTTTGAGTGATTTGATTTGTGTTTTTCCATAGGGGGCAGAGGAGAAGTTTCCGCAGAAGATGAAGCAGGTGGGAGGCATGGCTGCGTATCCTACAATGGGACACATGAAAAGGTTGTTTCAGACCATACTATTAAGCAGTAGAGCTAGATATTGAGCACACTGATGGAGACTTCAAAATCTGTCAGAGATGGACATGACAAACACATGACAATAATCATCAATGTCAACATTAATCCTACGACTTGCATAAATGCTTGAATCAATCAATCAACCCAATTGTATTTATAAAGCCCTTTTTACATAAACAGTTGTCACAAAGTGCTTTACAGTAACCTGTTAAATAGCCCCCATATGAGCTCCTATTCTGTCAGTGAGAAGTTGTGGGACGAACCTGAGAACATGAGGTGGATCTTCTCCAGCACCTCCACGCTGTCCAGCCACACGTCGGAGACCACCACAAACATGGCGTCCTCGTTCTCCTCCTCCAGCTGCTTCAGCTTGGCCGAGGCCTTCACCGATGTGGTGGACGGGCCACCGAAGAAGTTCACGTTGCCGTAGTAGGCTCTGAAAACCAGAGTCCATTCTCATCCTCAGTTTTATTTGTTATATATATATATATACACACACACACACAGGGGAAAGGAAAATATATTTTAAAATGCCAACTGTAGAGTTAATAACAATACATTGGAATTTAAAAGAACTTGCTCCCTTCTCAGTAGGCCTATTGATCTTCAGAGGAGAAGGCATTATGTAGGCAATGTCCATTTATAAATCAATACAATACTGATAGGTCAGCAATTAGCAACACTCTAATCTACTGACCTTGTGGTGGATGATGGCTCGGTCGGCGGGAATCCAAATGCGTTGACATGGAAGACTGAGTCCTCATACCAGCCTGTGGGGGGAAAGAGGACCAGACTACTAACTCATTGCATAACATAATAAGGTAATAGTAAATCTCCTTCGATGTCCATTAATGTGGATGAAGAAGATCAATTATTTTACCTTCTGCCAGAACAAAGCAGGATTCTGTGTACAGTCCGCTGTGGAACTGGTGAGGACAAGGTTAAGGAAAACATGCACGATCTGAAATACAATAAACATTGACTATAATCCAGACTTGAATTGGCCCTGCTCCTTTATGTAACTGAACATTTGTATCATTCGCTGTCCATCACCATCCCCACCACAGTGAAAGGATATTGCCTTCGAGAGGTTCAGCTGTACTGTACCACTGGGGTCTTCCAGATAGAATTTCCCCTGAAAGAAAGTTTTTTTTGTTTTTACTATACATGAGGCAGGTATTACTACATATTTTTAGTTATATATATATATATAAACAATATTTTCCAATTAAAAGTCCTTAACATGAATTTAGCTGCTCACCTCTTTAAGCTGTGTGACCATCCCCAAGACAATGACATCTCCTAGCTTAGCCGTACTCCCTAAGAGAGCTTCAACAGTCTTGAGCTGAAAACACGAACAGATCAAGATCAGGACACTCAATGTTCAACATGAGAGGAGGAAGTCTGGAAAACGTCCTCTTAGCTTATATAAAATCGATTAAAACACATTTAAGTGTGTTTTAGGTTATAACAGAGTTATTACCTGAAATTTGTTTCTGCCTTCTTCTGCAGCGGCCCCTATTACAGGTGGGGTGAAGAGTTCATGCCGATGTGTACGCTACAGAAACAGAGTAACTGTCAATGTGGATCAGGGTACACATGTAATCTTCACTGATTTAACTTTAATTTATCAAGTGGATTGGGAACACATTCTCTTTACAACGACCTCACAGAGAGCAGCGTCTCAAGAAATACACTTTTTTTTAAAGTAACTGTCCAGTGGAAATGTTACTTTTCAAAGTTCATATTCTGTTAACCTATACCCAAATAATCTTGTTGACTCATCCTATACTCGTATGTGGCCAAAGCATAAATTGGAGAAAAAAGAAAAAAAACACTTAAAATACCCCACCTCAAACTATCTTAAACAGACTGTTTCAAAAATGCTTGCTATTTCCTCATAAAGGATGATGTCATCCTCCTGAGGAAGACAATAATAATAATAATAATAATAATAAGCCATTTAGCTGATGCTTTTATCCAAAGCGACTTACAGTCATGCGTGCATACATTTTTTTGTGTATGGGTGGTCCCGGGGATCGAACCCACTACCTTGGCGTTACAAGCGCCGTGCTCTACCAGCTGAGCTACAGAGGACCATGAGCTGGCCAACCAGCGGTCTGCTCTCGTGAACATTTTTAATAACCGGTATACGCCCACACCATTCCAACACAGGAAAGCTGCTTTTTAACATACTTAATTTTTAAAATGTAGAATGAAAACTTTTTCACTCATACTGTAATTACATTTAGGAAACCCTGGATAGCTGCTTTAAGGCCAAAATATACAAAGACCAGCAGACTAGAATGGATTCAGAGGGCAAAAAAAATGTAGCCTATTAACCTGCTGTAGGAGTGTGTAGCGTTCCCTGAAGAGCTCGGCCTTGTCCCTGGCTGAGCCACAGAGACTTGGGGCAGAGTGGGTGGTCATGTTGAGGCTGGGGGGGAGAACACAACAACAGTTTCACTGATCGATGTCTTCATATGGTGGATTCTGGTATAACATTTGGACCATGTAGACTAGATGGGGTCAACCTATAGTAGTGAATGAATGAATTAAATTGTATTTTCATGTCAAATCACCAGTTGGCAACCCATCCCTTATGGGAATAATAGACACACAAAAAAAAAACATTACAATAATTGACTGTGATCATTCTTCTTCCGGAGTTCTCTGCAGTGCGTATCGCACAAAGAGTGAAAAAATTAAAGATACAAATCTATACATAATAGTAAATAAGGTTATCCAAACAATAATTATATCCCTAGAGCAGTAAAATATATATATACATATCCACTGTATACATACATACATACATACATACAGATAAATAAATACAGGAAAACTAAACAGAAGGCATTTGAACCCAGTCTGACACCAAGAGAAGATTAATGTGGGAGGCAAGCCTATACACAATATATATACACACGTGCCATTTACCACATAGAAGCTAAATATCTTTATAATTTAATTATAGGTAGTCCTTTTTCTTATTCCAGGCTTTATCTAAATATTCCCCAAACGGAAATACACAATGGACAAAAAAACCTTTAAGTTTCTCCTCATCGCTCAGCCACATAATGTAGTAGTAGTATTATTACCTTACATGTTGGCAGTACTTGGCAGCTAAAAGCTGAATTATGTACACAGCACATACAAGTAATTAAACAAGTAAACAAACAGTAAAACATCAGGAAGTTAGGATTATACATTCATACTTACGGTACAAACTTCTTCCTCTCTGCGCTGTAGATATATCTTGGCACATCAAAAGCACCAATTATGTTGAAGACATTATCTCTGAAAATAATCAAATAGTTCACATGAATAAGTAAAATATATGAGGATTACTATCTAGAGAATGTGTATGAAATTGGTTATTGTGAGACTGACACCTTTCTCAACTTACATGGTTTCATCACATGACTGGCTGCAGTCCTGCACAGCAGTCTCCATCACAGCCAGCTCAATCATACTGGAGGACACTGTCCAGGAGAAGAGAGGAGTAGCTACATCATTTACATTATTCACAAGCATAGTCAACACAACAATTCAAAAACAACTGGACTGTATTGCGTTTTGTACATGATTTTAGTAGTTGGTTATGATCAAAGAAGACGTACATGGCTGCTTCTCCACAGCGTCCATGACCCTCTCGATGACATCCTCCAGTTCAAGCTCACTGACAGACTCCAACACCTCCACCAGGTACCTGCTGGCTTCACTGGAGGACAACAACAACATAACGTACACATCTGATGGGGTATACTACAAAGCAGGATCAAGGAGTTAGCCAGCTAACTTGCCTGAATATTCTGAAATAACTTTTTAGTTTTCAGAAAGATATGCTTTAAAATGGGCATGCTCTAATTGACTCAACCAAAAACACATATCTATGTTTAGCTAGCTTTCAAATCAACTGTTATTTCTGGTTGTTTATCAAAGTTAGCTGGCTAACTCATTGATCCTGCTTTGTAGGATACCCCTGACTGCCAGACATCAATCCCATCATTCCTATAAAAACATACACCATGTTCATTAGTTTCTATAGATGTAATGGCTTAAATATGCATAGAATGCTACTAAATTGTCTAGCTTGCTGTCCATGTAATGTACTGTAACTAAGCTAACCTTAGCCTCCTAGCTTCTTTCTTGGTGACACTGACACAAGAGACAGATTTAGCTACTAACTAGCAATGCAGCCATTACATTTATTGTAAACAAAATTTCATGTCGAGAACAACATGATTGACAAATGATAGCGTACGGTCGAAGCATAAGTCCCCGCATCTTGAATCCAGCAGATACTTTCGTCTTCACTCTGCGAACCTCCATGTTCAATCTTTCTTCAACAATCAACATTTGGCGCTAAATCTTAACTTCCGCCTATATGTTTCGTCACTTCCTTCAAAGCAAAGATTCTACACAACAAGCTTCACTGCTGCACGATTCTGCCAATATTTGCTGGTTGAAGTCAGCTGATGTTTTCAAAACATTGGGTATTCTCAAAGACACATGGATATAGCAGCCAGACATGTAAGTAGCTATTACTCAGATTATTACTTATCAATGCATTATCAATTTGCATGGTTATTAATGTATATTAGTCTTGTCATATTTATTTTTTTTTTTTTTTTTTTTTAACCTTTATTTAACCAGGTAAGTCAGTTGAGAACAAGTTCTCATATGTTTATTCATCATATCGCAATATTATTCTACAATTTTTACAACACATCATTTTATTGGTGTAGAAATAATACAGAATAGAACAACCATTAGTAGGTCAGGTTGAAGGATCGGCCAGAAGTGTCCAATAAGACAACCTGCCCTGAAGCTTATCAGGGCAAGAAAAACTTGTTTTCTCCAAGAAGCTGTTGGAAAACATCCTCTTGAGACGACGGGCTAGAGACCCTTGCACCCTCACTTCCTATAGCCTTGCTTCTTCGCTGTCAATGGCTGTGTTGACAAAAATGTGTTACTTGGATCTCTGAACAACACCTCTACATTTGTACAGATTTCTTCAACCAGAGACACTGAAAGTACTGCCACATGTGGCCTTTTATGGAGCGACCTTTCGTTATTTTTTCTCTCTCTTTTTAGCACCCATGGATTCTGCGATTGCAAAGCACAGTCCAGAGCTTGTAGCCGGTGAGCGAAGCGGTCATACGGCTGTAGTTGAGGGAAATTTCCTGTACGTGTGGGGAGGCTACGTGGTAAGCAAAAACTGTAAAACAGATGGAACAGTTTGAAGAAAGCCTACTAGCAAATATCTTTACAAACACTGTCAATGGAAAGGCTTGAATTTATGTTAAGCGTTTCAATATTTCACTAATATGTTGTAGGGATATGCAAAATTATTCAATGCAGTTATGCAATAAATGTTAATTTTTTTCCATACAGTATTGATGAATATGCAAAGCTAGAAATTAAGAATGTAAAGCAAGGTATTCCATCTTCCCATTCAGAAATCAAAAAATAGATTAACTTTTACGTTTGAATTGTTTTTTCTGCAATTTAAGAATGTATGTAAAGCAAGGTATTCCATCTTCCCATTCAAGAAATCTAAAAATATGATTAACTTTTACGTGTGAATTGTTTTCTGCAGTCAATTGCTGCTGCTGAAGTTTTCCTACCCAATGATGAAGTCTGGTTTTATGATTTAGAAAGAGGTGTATGGTAAGAATATAATGTAATTATAACTAATTGTATTTTTGTATATGGGAAGTATATAGATAAACACATTTCAAAGATTATGAATGAATAAATTGATGTAATAAAAAAGCTTGGAACCTTGGAAAACTACAGTCTAAACATCTTTTAAAAAATCTAGTCTACCCACGAAAAAAATTATATGCAACAATTTACTCAACGATTTCACTGAAACCAATATATAATTAGATGGCAGACTATGTAAACACTACAAGTGATCATTTTTAAGCTCTGCATCGCATGATCAGTGGTGTTAGGTCTACTGCATAGTTGCTAGAATGTTATTACATTGACACAGTGGAATATTAGTATTTCGAGAGTTAGGTAAACTTTTAGAATGTAGAATTGTGTTCAAATAAACATTTCAGGGTGCTAGACATTCAGGGTGCGGTTGTAAATTCACTCTAGAGTGTCAGTGTGCGCTCTGGGCGTTCGTAAATTCGTAGCGTTGTCAGATTGTCAGTTCATATATTCAGAGCGTTTCGCTCTAAGAGCGGGCACACTGGATGCTCTGGTCGAGAAGTAGGGTTGATCCCTTCTTATTATGGGTGCGTTTGTAAATTCACTCTGGCTATCTACTCCAATTTCAGAGCACTCTCGTCTATGAGTGCAGAATAACTGATTAATTTACGAAGGTGCAACACCCGTTGAATATGACCGGTGTCAGTAAACGTCGGCAAAAAAAAAAACGTTATTAAATTGTTGCCATAACACAGTTACAGTCACTAACCCTCTTGATAACATGAAAACACTAACCAGCTCTGCTAGGGCGAGTAAAATGGTCAAGAGTGTGGTGCTCTCTCATATGTGTCTGGAAGTAGCTAGCAAGCTAGCCAACGTTAGCTTGGGTGCTTTACTGCGGTCGTGAGGTCAGAACGCTCGGATCAACGCTACTCCTCGGCCAGAGCGTCCAGTATCTCAATTTACCAACGGACAATCTGACAACGCTCTGAATTTACGATTAAATTGACGAACTCACCCTTTACAACGGCAGTCAAGCACCCACGCCAACTGCCTAAAGAGTTGGCTAGCTTGTTACTTCCAGACACAAATGAGAAAACACCTCACTCTGAACATTTTACTCGCCCTAGCAGAGCTGGTAGAGCTGCTAGACTGTTGTCATGTTATCAAGAGGGTCCATGACTAACTCTGTGTTACCTGGCAAACATTTTATTCCGTTTTTAGTCGATGTTTACTTACACCTGTCATAACAACCGAGTTTAGGGCGTTCTTAAATTCCTCAATTATTCTGCGCTCTGGCACTTTTAAACCAGAGCACTCTGAAATCGGAGTAGGTTGCCAGGGTGAATTTATGAACGTACAATTACATATCATTGTTTAAATATTCCCCATGTAATTTTAATGGGGAACTAACATGGCTATTGTAGTGTAATGTAAATTCATCATAATTCTAATTGTAGACATTCAGGGTGCGGTTGTAAATTCACTCTAGAGTGTATAGTATTTAAAAAAATATTTGTCAGTTGTATAGTATTAAAAAAAATATTTGTCATGTATTGTTAATGGGTAGCTAACATGGCTGCCATAGAATGTTGAAGTGTCATGTAAATACATCATAATGCAGAAACCGCATTGGTTCAACTCGCTAAATACATCTGGTCAATTGTATGCTTTATGTGCAATGTGTGTTCTGGAATGAATTAGCTGCAGAACTGAAACCCTAATTTCCCTGTTCTGTTTGTTCTCCAATCTGAAGGGAAATGGGCAAGATGTCTGGAGAGGTCCCACCCCCAATGTCAGGCACCTGTGGCTGCTCTCTGAATGGAGACATGTACATATTTGGGGGATGTAATGACAACGGACAGACCAATCAGGTAAACTCATTCAACAGAAATAAAGGCTTGAGAGCATGTATTCACAAAGTGTCTCAGAGTAGGAGTACTGATGTAGGATTCATTTTTTCCTTTTAGATCATAATGAACAAGATTACATGGGCAGGGTGGACCTGATCCTAGATCAGAGATCCCACTCTGAGACACTTGATGAATACAAGCCCTGATGTACAGTACATTTGCAGGGATGTGTGAAAATCCTCAATAGTTTACAAAACCTTACATTGTTTTGTTCACATTTACATGCTGAAATGATCTGTGTTTGCAGCTTTACTGTGTCAATCTCCTGGATGGGAAATACAGCTGGAGGAAAGTGAACCATAAGAGTGGCTCCACTCCCTCACCCAGAGATAAGCTCTCTTGTTGGGTTTTCAATGGCAGGTAAACATTCTTTATGTAAATAGAAAGATCGGCAGGGTTCAGATTACACATTTACTATTGGGAGTGGTCTAAAGAAAAGAGTGTGCTGGCCCAACTAAAGTCTTTCCTACACTTATGGAGTTTCCCAGCTCCCCTGTAATATGAACCCCATGTGATTGGAAGATGTTTTGGTCATTCTGTAGTAATATGAACCCCATGTGATTGGAAGATGTTTTGGTTATTCTGTAGTAATATGAACCCTGTGTGATTGGAAGATGTTTTGGTCATTCTGTAGTAATATGAACCCCGTGTGATTGGAAGATGTTTTGGTCATTCTGTAGTAATATGAACCCTGTGTGATTGGAAGATGTTTTGGTCATTCTGTAGTAATATGAACCCCGTGTGATTGGAAGATGTTTTGGTCATTCTGTAGTAATATGAACCCCATGTGATTGGAAGATGTTTTGGTCATTCTGTAGTAATATGAACCCCATGTGATTGGAAGATGTTTTGGTCATTCTGTAGTAATATGAACCCCGTGTGATTGGAAGATGTTTTGGTCATTCTGTAGTAATATGAACCCCATGTGATTGGAAGATGTTTTTGTCATTCTGTAGTAATATGAACCCCGTGTGATTGGAAGATGTTTTGGTCATTCTGTAGTAATATGAACCCTGTGTGATTGGAAGATGTTTTGGTCATTCTGTAGTAATATGAACCCTGTGTGATTGGAAGATGTTTTGGTCATTCTGTAGTAATATGAACCCTGTGTGATTGGAAGATGTTTTGGTCATTCTGTAGTAATATGAACCCCATGTGATTGGAAGATGTTTTGGTCATTCTGTAGTAATATGAACCCTGTGTGATTGGAAGATGTTTTGGTCATTCTGTAGTAATATGAACCCTGTGTGATTGGAAGATGTTTTGTTCATTCTGTAGTAATATGAACCCTGTGTGATTGGAAGATGTTTTGGTCATTCTGTAGTAATATGAACCCTGTGTGATTGGAAGATGTTTTGGTCATTCTGTAGACTCATCTACTTTGCTGGATATGGTCATAAGCAACTTGATGACATCCGTAACAACAGAAGCTTCCTGATGGATGAGGCATCAACGTTAAGGGTAATTTTTCTTCTGGGTGCAATTATGTCCAAAGGTATACATTCATTTACTATTAACTTTCCTTATTGTATGGATTAGTAATATTGTGCTTTGTAGGTGGATGACATCTATTGGGGATGGAACAATGAAGTCCATATGTTTGACCCAACATCGGCCAGTTGGAGTGAACCACATACCAGTGTATTACGGACATTAAATTGTGTTTACATACAAAATAAAGCAATTCATTCAGTGGATATACAAAGACATGGTGTTGTCATAGCATATTATTAACAGTATAGCAGATAAGGCAAGACACTTAAAATATGATAGTTTCTTTGTGGATATCTAGCTACACTGTAAATGTTGTTTTTGTCTACAGGGTCGTGCCCCTGACCCCAGAGCTGCCCATGCCAGTGCAACACTTGGCCACAAAGGATACGTATGTGGGGGCAGAATAAGGGTGAGATGATTCATCCCAACTCCTCTCCATGGTTGCATTGACACAGACACAGACACCCTAAAGTGATACAACGATTCATGAGATTGTGTCTCCTACTGGACATACAAGTTTAATGAAACATAGGACATTTTACTCTTTTTTTTTTTTTTTTGCGCTGGTTTGGAATAAGATCTTCTGTTTTTCTTTTCACTTTTAGGAATCCAGGACAAGTGACATTCATTGTCTAGATCTAGAATCATGGACATGGTCTGAAATGTAGGTATTTACAGTTCACTCTTTCAAATGCTCAACTTAAAATGGTTACTGTCCGAAACTATACTGTTATCACATCATGCTTGATTATTTTTTTTTTTAATCTGTTCTTTCAAAATGGCTTTTCCAGAGTACCAGCATCCACTGTGCCAATGGGAAGGTCGTGGCACACCCTCACTGCAGTATCTGATAGCGCTTTGTTTCTATTTGGAGGACTGGGTATAGACTGCGAACCAATGAGTAAGTCATTTACCCGTGCAGGTTCCCAATCCTACCTCTGTACCTTATGTTCCATGGAAACGTGGCATTATTTGGTTTTCTAAAAAAAAATTGTTTTATCTCCAGGTGATGGCTGGGCATTTGATGTTGAGACAAAGAAATGGAGAGCGCTTGAGCATCCATACATGAACAAACCAAGGTAGTGTATGTTTAATGACAGTTAAATGACTTAAATTATATCAGAAAGTATTTCATTTTCCAATCTGAGGAATGTACCTAAAATGTGCAAATGATAAAACGGTTAACACATTGTCTGACTCAGAGTGAATTATAGGATCTCTATGTAATTCTATGATATGGGCCTCATTTCCCAGAGCTTTCGTAGCGTTAGTGTTTCCTAGAGCCTTCGTTAGTAACGTGGCCCTTAAAAACCTTTGCACATCAAGTGATCCAGACCACTCGTAGAGCAGCCAAAGTGCATCGTTAGAAGATCTCTGCTAAACATCAAGATGTTTAGGCTGTCTGACTGTGACTGCCGAGAACTTCAGAACGAAGTTGACTACAAATAGGAAAGTTCCCAAAGTATTTGCAATTGTTACAAACAAGTGAAGGATACAATTATGTTTCAAATGTAAACCAAGATGACTGCATTAAAATATACTTAGGCTACATGGGCCTATAAAGGCTATTTCAATCATATTGAAATCAATTTAATGTTCAATCAATTTAGTTATATTTTGCGACTTAGCTACTGTCTGTAAAATTGTTTTGCCTAAATGTGTTTCATGATGTGCGCAATGACGTGGCCAATCTGTGATTTAGTGCATTATTATTGGGTTAGCATAATAAGACTCCTCAATAGCCTATTTGCAGCCATAGGTGGTAGGCTAATATCTCTCTAGCAGCGGATCTGTTGTCAGTATTGTGGAGTAGTTATAATGTTAAGGTAAGATTTGAATGGAGAAAACGGATCCTGTCAGGATCTGGTCTAACGGCGCACTTTACGAACGTTCTCTCTACGTGCTTGTTTGGGAAACACTTCAAAAGTTGGCTCGTAAATAACGATGCACCTGGGCCTATTTAAAAAAAAAATTGGGGGGGGGGGTAGATTGTAACTTCCATCAATGTAATTGTCTGCATCACTTCCAATCCCCCATGTTTTTTATATATATACTCCCCTTTATTACTTTTCAACCCCGCCATCCTTTCCCTACTTGGGGTAAATTAGTGAACAACAATGCCCAGGCCTCTACTTCCGGTCTATACTTACTATCTACACCTTATGGACACAGTCAATTTTACAATAATTATATTTTATTTGTTTTTGCTCCTGAACTTCTTCTACTCTCAACCTCTCCGATCATTTTCATGATGTCCATTCGGTTTGCCATAAGATATGCCATATCTTTCTAACTGTGCTCTTTCCCAAAATCTCCCAACATACAACCTATATACTTATTATGGACACAGTATGCTTACATTATTAGTTATCTTGTTATTATTTGTTGTTATTTGTTATTAGTCCCATCCTTCAACTCCATTCAATACCTCCCATCTATCTCTTAACACCATCCATATAGGATTTCTATTTGCCATATATATTTCAACCGTACTGTGATGTTTTACAAAAGTTCTGAACCTTTCTATTCTCATTGCTTCTACAGATTGTGAATTAAAAATAAACATTTTTGCTAAAAGTATTATTATATTATTGATCGATTGACTATGACTTTTCAGATCACCCAGTAATGCTATCTGCAAGGTTAGCTCCAGGTAAATATTGCAATCCTTTAGCCATTCCTGGACCTGTGTCCAAAAACAAACTACAAATGGACAGAACCAAAACAAAAATAACTCTTCCCACCTATTTTGCAATCTATATGGGACGGCTGTCAATCCTTTGGTCCTTAAGTGAAACTGATATACTTTTTTATTTATCACAGTTTTCCTTAACCAATTATGTTCTTTAATGCAAGGCCGACAGACAAGTTCCTTACTTTCTCCCCCTTCCACTTTCCTCTTCCACTTTTGCGGTAAGGCTGCAATTATTTCGTTGTAATTTTGGGTAGAACAGACATTTCCATATGTTTTTGTTAGCTGCATGTGCGACATAACTCCACCAGTCCTACCGATGATATCATTTACGAAGATTATACCTTTTTTAAACATTCTGTCAAAAAATAAAGTTTTTTTGTCAATTAGTATATTTCAATTTAACCACAATATTTGTTGCATTATTTGTTCTGTCGTTTCTGGAGGATTAAATTGAAATTGCAACCAACTTTCTATGGCTTGTTTTAGAAATAGTGATATTTGGGAGATGATTTCCTTTTCAAATAACTGAAAATGAGTGGTTGTAATCTGAATAAAGGGAAAAAGGCCATTCTTGAACATTGGGTGAGACAATCTTAGTAATTTGCTTGAGCTTGGCCTAGTTTCCCAATAGCGATGTAACCTAGGCTTAAGAGTGTTAACAATGCAGCTTTCCTACAACGGTCGAAGATGTAACATGCGTTTCCCAAAACACCTCGCAGAGAGTGCGCGTCGTTGAGCCATGTGTCGATGCTGATAGGATGGAAAGAAAGCCAGCGCTGCTCTCTGGTCAGCTTTCCCCATTCAACTTTGACCTAAACATTGGAATTATTCCACAGTACGGACGACGGATCAGCTCCGTCCCATGGCTGCAAATATTGAGGTGGCTTATTCTAATGCTTACCCTATTAAATACATTAATTCAAGATTTGACAGATCATTGAGCGCATGTTAGGCTACACATCATTAAATATATTTAAGCAAAAAGTAGACAGTAGCCAAATACATCCCAATTGAATGAACATGAAATTGATTAAAATATTATTTAAATATAGAGTGCCTTCAGAAAGTATTCATACCCCTTGACTTATTCCACATTTTGTTGTGTTACAGACTGAATTCAAAATTGATTAAATATATTTTCCTCATCCATCTACACACAATAACCCATAATGACAAAGTGAAAACATGTTTTTAGAAAATGTTGCAACATATACAGTGAGGGAAAAAAGTATTTGATCCCCTGCTGATTTTGTATGTTGCCCACTGACAAAGAAATGATCAGTCTATAATTTTAATGGTAGGTTTATTTGAACAGTGAGAGACAGAATAACAACAAAAAATCCAGAAAAACGCATGTCAAAAATGTTATAAATTGATTTGCATTTTAATGAGGGAAATAAGTATTTAAATATAATATAATATAAATAGTATTTGACCCCCTCTCAATCAGAAAAATGTCTGGCTCCCAGGTGTCTTTTATACAGGTAACGAGCTGAGATTAGGAGCACACTCTTAAAGGGTAGGTAGGGGTAAAGTGACTATGCATTGATAATAAACAGCGAGTAGCAGCACTGTAAAAACAAAAGGGGGGGTTCAATGCAAATAGTCCGGGTGGCCATTTGATTAATTGTTCAGCAGTCTTATGGCTTGGGGGTAGAAGCTGTTAAGGAGCCTTTTGGACCTAGACTTGGCGCTCCGGTACCACTTGCCGTGCGGTAGCAGAGAGAACAGTCTATGACTTAGGTGACTGGAGTCTTTGACAGTTTTTGGCCTTGCAATGGACCATTGAAAAAAAAACATTTGTAAAGGTTTATATGTCTTTGAGCATCTTACTTGAGAAATAAGCTGCCAAAAGGGTTATCATTGAATGAATTGTAGATCCGTGGCTGGCTCAAGAGCTAAAGAAGAGTTATAAACCTTCACATTTATGCAACTACTGAGGTGCAATCCATGGCCTTAGTAATGAAAGATATTATTTTGGATCACTTGTTCCCATCCAATTTTTATCTAAATTTGCAAAACAGTTTTACCCACTGTCCCTCTTCCATTGTTTGGATTTTTTGGCGAATCATTTTTGTAATGTATTTGGAGAAATTCAATATAGGGGAAGGCTTTTGTTCTACTCAAAGTCCTATGATAATTTTAACACCTGAACAAGGTTTCTTCAACAATTGTCAATTAGGACTGTGCAATTAGTTTTTTGAACAATCATTTGGTCAAATTTGTTAATAAGTGAATGTGTCAGGGTTATTAAATTAATTCTTGTTTAACCCATAGGCTTCTTGTAAACTATGTTAGGTGTTAATCTTTTAAAGTATGGTAGGGTATATAACTAGGGAAAAATAAGCATTCTTAAATTGGTGACAATGTACTATTTCTTAGCTCACGGCCTACTTTCCGGAAGCATGTAAACCCTCGCTTTTAGTGTTAATTAGCGCTTTCTACAGCTATTTTGAACCTGTATTTTTTCAAGAACATCTTGGTAAGATTGAATAGTTGACTTATGTCCTGCTGATTGGTGCAAGGCACACCGACTCTGTTCACTTCTTCCCGCATTCTAATTGACCTAAATGAATTATTCCGTAAGGAAAGGTAATTTCCCATGGCTGCAATTTGAGGGCCTATTTAATTAACCCTATTTTAAATATTCAAATAGATTCATGAAGTATTGATGGTTTAGTAAATGCATTAATCAATTTGAGCAAAAAGTAGACGAGCCAATAACCCAATGATGTAACATAAATGGATAAAAAGGGAAATAAAATTTCTAGGAAGGTCATACCTGACCCTTTCATTTCAAATTTTGTGTTACAACTGAATCAAATTGATACAATATTCATAGCATCTACAATATACCATATTACAGATGAAACATTTCTTGAACAAGTTGAATATTACGGAGGGAAAAGAATATCCCCTGCTATGTGTATTACCACCAAAGAAATGATCATCATAATTTTAATGGTGTTTATTGAACTGATAACATATAACAAAAAATCCAAAAAGACATAAAAATGTTATAATTGATTTGCATTTAATAGGAAATTAGTTTGACCCTTCAATAAAAGATGCTGTTGTGCAATACAAATACAAATTTGATTGGACATGATTGCAAAGTGGGACAAGGATGTAACTACAACCGTGGAAAAAGGGGTTAAAATAAAATAAAGTTACATTGCAATGGAAACCAGGCCTGACCTTAAAGTCTCAGTTTATTACTTTCGCACCTCATGGTTGTGGCACCACAAGCATGCCAAGGGAAGGACTCTGATGTCATTGTTTTTGGGGGTAGTTGCGACTACATCCTCCTTGTAGACACAGTAAGTATTACGGAAGCCACTTTAGAATAATTGTAATTGTATGGAAACCACACAGGGAACTTATCAAATCATTCAATGGTGAAGGTGCATAAAGATGACAGCCCCCATATACATTTAAAAAACATTTTTAGTCATTTAGCAGACGCTCTTATCCAGAGTGACTTACAGTTAGTGAGTGCGTAAATTTTTTCATTCTGGTCCCCCGTGGGAAACGAACCACAACCCTGGCATTTCAAGCGCCATGCTCTACCAACTGAGCTAAAACGGGACTACGTATACTTACCACAAATGCCTCGTTTGCTCAGTTCGCCGTTACTCTTTTTTTGTATCGGCATTAGCGCAGTATACATGATCCCAATTCTAGCTCCAAGACAGCTGCAATTTGAAAAAAAAAAACGAGTAGATTAGATAGTAGATTTTGCTGATTTATAGGCACAGTAGTTTAGGAACTCTGTGGATAGTGCTAAAACAATGATGTAATACACTATATATACAAAAGTATGTGGACACTCCTTCAAATTTGTGGATTCGGCTATTTCAGCCACACCCGTTGCTGACAGGTGTATAAAATTGAGCACACCACCATGCAATCTCCATAGACAAACATGGCCTTACTGAAGAGCTCAGTGACATAGAACTTGGCACCGTCATAGGATGCCACCTTTCCAACAAGTCAGTTCAATTTCTGCCCTGCTAGAGCTGCCCCGGTCAACTGTAAGTGCTGTTATTGTGAAGTGGAAACATCTAGGAGCAACAACGGCTCAGCGGCAAAGTGGTAGGCCACACAAGCTCACAGAACGGGACCACCGAGTGCTGAAGCGCGTAGCACTTCAAAATCGTCTGTCCTCGGTTGCAACACCTCACTACCAAGTTCCAAACTGCCTCTGGAAGCAACGTCAGCACAATAACTGTTCGTCGGGAGCTTCATGAAATGGGTTTCCATGGCCGAGCAGCCGACATTTGACCTGTGTTTTATGTTCTGTCCTACTGTTTTGGAATATTTTATTCTGTACAGGCTTACTTCTTTCATGTCAATTAGGTTAGTATTGTGAGTAACTACAATGTTGTTGATCCATCCTAAATTCTCATATCACACCCATTAACCTCTGTAACTGTTTTAAAGTCACCATTGGTAAACAGTACTCCCCACTTGGTAAACAGTTCGACCACATCATTAAAAAACACTGGTACATCTTGAGCACTGATCCATAACTAGAAAATATGTTTAAAGAACCCCTGCGGGTAGTCTTCAGACGCGCCCCAACATCAGTCAAATGGTGGTGAGGTCCGATCTTCCACCAGTGCCACGCAGTACCTTTCTAGACAATGTTCCTGACGGTAACTATAGATGTGGCGGATGTACCCAGTGTAACTTCACGAACAAATGTACAATGTTCAATCACCCTATTACGGGCAAGGCCATTAAGATTAAGGGCATCATTACATGTTCCACATAAAATTTGATATACCTGATCCAGTGTATTTGTGGCCTATGCTATGTAGGAAAAACAAAACGAGCTCTGAAAACAAGGAGTAATATCAGGACCCTTGACCAGAGAAACCCTGTGGCTGCGCATTTCATGGTGGCTCGTCACAACATTAGCTCTTTGAGATACATTGGCATCGAACATGTTAAGACTCCCAGGAGGGGTGGAGATACTGATAATCTATTATTGAGAAGAGAATTGTATTGGATTCACCGTTTGTGTACCATGTCTCCTAGAGGTCTGAACCAAGAGTTTGATATCAGACCATTTCTTACATGAATATGTCACTTTACTTTGATTTGTCTTGCCTTCCAGGTCACCCACTTGGTCATTTTGTAAATATATATTATTTTCTGGAACCACTACATGTACCCATCTCACTGTTATTAAATTATTAGAGATTATTAGACACAGATGTTTTTTGCACCCACCATGCGTCATGTCCGCAATGGTCATGTGAGGTAAAATTTGTATATTTTGGGACGTGAGAACTCAGTTTGTTTGACCTGACGAAGATCAGTTTTGGATCGAAACGTTGTCAATAAAGCGGTGAATTGGGCGCTTTCTTGTTCTATAAAAGTCACCATTGGCCTCATGGTGAAATCCCTGAACGGTTTCCTTCCTCTCCGGCAACTGAGTTAGGAAGGCTGCCTGTATCTTTGTAGTGACTGTGTATTCATACACCATCCAAAGTTAAATTAATAACTTCACCATGATCAGAGGGATATTCAATGTCTGCTTTTTTTTTTTTTTTACCCATAGGTGCTCTTCTTTGCGAGGCATTGTAAAACCTCCCTGGTCTTTGTGGTTGAATCTGTGTTTGAAATGTACTGCTTGACTGAGGGACCTTACAGATATTTGTATGTGTGGGGTACAGAGATTAGTTAATCATTTAAAAAATAATGTGATTATTACCTCGACTAGCCGGTGCACCCGCACATCGACTCTGCACCGGTACCCACCTGTATATAGCCTCCCTACTGTTATTTTATTTTACTGCTGCTCTTTAGTTATTTGCTTTTATTTTTTTTGCTTAACACTTTTTTTTCTTTTTTTTTTAACTTTGCATTGTTGGTTAAGGACTTGTAAATAAGCATTTCACTGTAATGTCTACACCTGTTGTATTCGGTGCATGTGGCAAATACAATTTGATTTGATTTGAGTTGCAGCGATAGGACAAGACTGTAACTACAAACTGGGGAGAAAAAGGGGTAAAATAAAAATAAAGTTACATTGCAACTGGGAAACCAGGCCCTGACCTTTAAAAGTCTCCATTTTATTTACTTTCCACCCTCAGGTTGTGGCACACAGCATGCCAAGGGAAGGACTCTGATGTCATTGTTTTTGGTGGTAGTTGCGACTACATCCTCCTTGTAGACACAGTAAGTATTACGGAAGCCACTTTAGAATAATTGTAATTGTATGGAAACCACACAGGGAACTTATCAAATCATTCAATGGTGAAGGTGCATAAAGATGACAGCCCTCATATACATTTTTTAAAACATTTTTAGTCATTTAGCAGACGCTCTTATCCAGAGTGACTTACAGTTAGTGAGTGCGTACATTTTTTCATTCTGGTCCCCCGTGGGAAACGAACCCACAACCCTGGCATTGCAAGCGCCATGCTCTACCAACTGAGCTACACGGGACTACGTATACTTACCACAAATGCCTCGTTTGCTCAGTTCGCCGTTACTCTTTTTTTGTATCGGCATTAGCGCAGTATACATGATCCCAATTCTAGCTCCAAGACAGCTGCAATTTGAAGAAAAAAAACGAGTAGATTAGATAGTAGATTTTGCTGATTTATAGGCACAGTAGTTTAGGAACTCTGTGGATAGTGCTAAAAACAATGATGTAATACACTATATATACAAAAGTATGTGGACACTCCTTCAAATTTGTGGATTTGGCTATTTCAGCCACACCCGTTGCTGACAGGTGTATAAAATTGAGCACACCACCATGCAATCTCCATAGACAAACATGGCCTTACTGAAGAGCTCAGTGACTTAGAACTTGGCACCGTCATAGGATGCCACCTTTCCAACAAGTCAGTTCAATTTCTGCCCTGCTAGAGCTGCCCCGGTCAACTGTAAGTGCTGTTATTGTGAAGTGGAAACATCTAGGAGCAACAACGGCTCAGCGGCAAAGTGGTAGGCCACACAAGCTCACAGAACGGGACCACCGAGTGCTGAAGCGCGTAGCACTTCAAAATCGTCTGTCCTCGGTTGCAACACTCACTACCAAGTTCCAAACTGCCTCTGGAAGCAACGTCAGCACAATAACTGTTCGTCGGGAGCTTCATGAAATGGGTTTCCATGGCCGAGCAGCCGCACACAAGCCTAAGAGCACCATGCGTAATGCCAAGCGTCGGCTGGAGTGATGTAAAGCTCGCCGACATTGGACTCTGGAGCAGTGGAAATGCGTTCTCTGGAGTGATTAATCACGTTTCACCATCTGGCAGTCCGCCGGACAAATCTGGGTTTCGTGGATGCCAGGAGAACGTTACCTGCACCAATGCATAGTGCCAACTGTAAAGTTTGGTGGAGGAGGAATAATGATCTGGGGCTGTTTTTCATGGTTTGGGCGAGGCCCCTTAGTTCCAGTGAAGGGAAATGTTTACGCTACAGCATACAATGACATTCTAGACGATTCTGTGCTTCCAACTTTGTGGCAACAGTTTGGGGAAGGCCCTTTCTTGTTTCAGCATGACAATGCCCCCGTGCTCAAAGCGAGGTCCATACAGAAATTGTTTGTTGATCGGTGTGGAAGGACTTGACTGGCCTGCACAGAGCCCTGACCTCAACCCCATCGAACTCCTTTGGGATGAATTGGAACGCCGGCTGCGAGCCAGGCCTAATCGCCCAACATCAGTGCCCAACCTCACTAATGCTCTTGTGGCTGAAGAAGCAAGTCCCCGCAGTAATGTTCCAACATCTAGTGGAAAGCCTTCCCAGAAGAACAGAGGCTGTTATAGCAGCAAAGGGGGGACCAACTCCATTTTAATGTTCGATGAGCAGGTGTCCACAAACCTTTGGTCATGTAGTGTATCTGAATTCCTCCATCTTTATGCACCTTCGTCATTGGGATGATTTTACCATTTGTGACAGGAAGGAGATTGCTTGGTAGTATGTTAAAGCATATATTATTCAAATTCATGAACAGAAAGTGTCTATACAGCACTCATTTATGATGAATTATGGAACATATTTATTATGAATTATGGAACACGTTTACAATGAGCTGTCGTGGTGTGGTTTATAAAACTACAATTAACTATTTTTGTCACCTTTCTTCAGGGTCACTGCAATGATGCACTTGTTTTCCAGATCCAGCCCTACCCCCTCTTTCGGTAACTATTCAATTATGATCATTCAATAAGGAAGAATCTCTCAGCTAAAAAGACACTTTGATATTTGGGAAATCATGTTGACTGTGAAAAAAAACATTCTATATATAGAATGGTCCCCATACAAGTAGTTAATGAAATCAATTTTTTTGCTATAACATAGTGAAAGATTAATATAGTATGCTACATCTTCCAAATGCATGCCCTCTTAGTCGATACTTTCACTGTCCCTTAATACATTTAATCTTTTTGCACAGGATATGTGAGGATTACATAGCCAAGAATGTGAAGAACTGCAAGCTGCTTCAAAAACAGCTTCCATGTATGCCCCCAAAACTTCAGTCAGCTGTACAGAGGAGAATGTCATTTTTTTGAACATCTAGGAAAATATAGCATTGTCATATGTAAATATTAATTAGAGGGAAATGTTCAATAGTAGACTACAGTAAATTGATAATGCAGAGTTCATACTCCATGTTCTACATATTACTGTTGATAAGGCCTTCAGGGTATGTGGGGAGATTCGTCTTTCAAAAGATTGTAGTTTATTATCATTATGTATCCATATATTTTTTATGTTTTACAGTTGATTTTATATAAATGACTGAATGGGTGTGTCTTCTGCCTGCAACAAAGGCATTTTAATAAACAAGACTGTTGTAATGTTTGATATCATAATTTTTACAACTACAAATTTGCTTTGGCCACCATTTTATAATAACAAAATGGTTACAACAACATTATAAAATACTTTTGAAGACAGTCATAAAAATGTGAATTCACTAAAGTTGTGTTATGGCCTTGGAATGACTATTACACAAACGCCAGGCGATTGGACGAGCCTTCTCCAGTGCCTGGCTGCTGCACTGCCTTGTTGCCATGGTTTCGTCAACAGACAAGACACTTGGCGGCTTGGTCCTCCGTGAACACCACAACTCGTTGGTAACCTAGTCTACAAACAACTCAAAAGTCCTGAGAACCTTTACTATCGGCAGGTTGCGAATGGTTTGCTGTAAAATATCGGTTGATATTTCTTCTAACACCTTAAAATTACTGTAGTAAAGTTGACCTCCGTGTTGTTTTGTGCTGGGATAGCAAGCTAGCTACGAGACTGAAAATACTTTGTGGCTACTAGCGTTACAGTAGCTAGCTTCTCGCACAAATATGGAGTTCGGTTCCAAGCTCAAGGACATGAATATGACGCCGGATGAAATAGGCCGCTTTACCAAGGCTTTTCAAAATGAGGAATTCAGAAAGATGCTGCACGAATACGCAGAAGACATATCAAAGCCGGAGAACAAGAAGAAATATGAGGAAGAAATCAAGTTGTTAGAGCAAGAGAGGGGCATGGACATTCAATTTGTCCACCCCGAACCTTACAGAGTCCTGAAGACGAGTGTGGACGGTAAACATAAGTGCTTCATCAATGTCTGCAGCAATGACATGATTCGTAAACCTGAGTTTAGAAGGGTAGACGAGGCTGGCAGAGTAGGACAGCATTGGTCACTACCCCACAGCTTGACACCTGGAACGCAAGACAGTGATGCAAAGGGTAATAAGTATACGATCTATGATGTTGTGTTTCATCCAGACACTATTCACATGGCTGGAAAAAACCCGAGATTTATGGAAATGGTTGACAACACTGCTGTTGAGGCTGTCGAGAATGGTGGCAAAGTGAAGCTAGACAAGAACAATGTGAGAGTTTTGAAAATCAAATACAAAGGGACACCACATGCTGCCGTCATGCGCAAGCCCTTACCTGGTCAACCCGCCAAGGGAAAACCTTCACCACTTGACCATCATCTCTCGTTCCCCTACCCCGACGAAAAACAACCAGACACCGCAACAAATCAAAAGGAGAGCCATAAACAAAGACAACAAAACGCCAATTCACCCAAGGAGCCAACGAAACCACATTACACTCTAAAATACAGATCATTCATTGATTTGCAAGACTTCAGGTGTTCCAGAGATTCGGCTCAGAGCCCACGCCCTAAAGAGATTGTTATCACTATTGATTTGCCTTTGCTTAGATCTGCTGGGGATGCTGATCTGGATGTGACTGAAAGACTTGTTAGATTGGAATCCAAGAAACCAGCTTACAGACTAGAGGTGCCGATGGCATATCCAGTGGATGAAAACAAGGGAGAGGCAAAGTTCAACAAGCAAAATAAACAACTGGTTGTTACTTTACCTGTTCTACCTATGAAGGAGCCACCAGTCGCTGAAATGTCTGGCCAGCAGCTTGTCAGTGATGATGGTGAAGAGGATTTTGAGAATAGTTGTGAAAGCGCAGCGCAATCGGAAGACACAACACGTGGCAAAGATACCCCCGATCACAGCGGACGTGGCAAAGAAGATACCCCCAACCACAGTGGTTGCAATGAAGGAGACAGCTCAGAAAAAGTTCACAGTGAAAATGCTACATCACTCAGGTTTGAAAATCAACTCATCTCAGTCCTGGAAGACAATAAAGAGTTTTCTGAACAGTCCGGTGACATTGAGGAGGACAAGCAACACAAACTGAGAAGTGGTGAATCACACCGAGCTTCAGAGCCCACTGAGTTTGACGGCAAGACTGGGTACAATGATCAGAATGAGGGACAGTCAGATGATAAGCGTTTACATGATGAGGTGAGCCAATCATCTTTAGGTTAACGTTCATTCAGTAGAAGAAACCTTAACTATTATAGTGTTTGTCTAGCAAAAAACGGACCCTGTTGTTGAACTGATAGGCTTCTCTTCATCAGTGCTGTTACTAACCAACATTCACTGTGACAATTTTCTTTTAGGTGAAAACAGAACCCTCATCCCTGATTGAGAGAATAGATGACCCGTCTAACACTGCAGCAATGGTCATCCCATTCAATCTTGACAACAATGACCAGGCCAAAGACTGCTCATCCCCCAAGATAGAAGAGATAGTTGAAAGTCAAGCTCCAACTAAGGATAAACAGAAGACTGTGCGATTCAGTGAGCATGTGGAGGTGGCTCAGTCTCAGGATGAAGAGGACGACGACCTGCCTGCTGAGCAGACCTTTCAAGACTGTGATAGGAGACAACAGCAAGCTGTGCTGACAGAAACCAATGAGGATGGACAAGAGGTGGTCATTAGTGATCATACTACATCTGCTGGTTTCGTTTTTCAAAACTCCTTCATCTATGACCTGGACTGAGTCTCATGTCAAGGAACTTGCTCCGTCACAAAAGATACTATATGAAGTCTGTAAATACATGTTCTGTTGCTGATTCAAAATTAGTTGAGGTCTTGCTCGAAAACCTAAAATCCTTTCATCCAATTGGGGACAATAGGATCAAGTATTTTAAATGTTTATCTGAATGAGTGACTCAGTAAGACTCCCATGTCTTCAGTATCCATTTCAGAGTTCTCATTTTGAAACTGTCCATCATTGTTATTAATATACTTCTTTCTACAAAGGGGGAAAGGTTACATCTAGTATGTTTAGTTTTAGACGTACCAGTTGCTATTAGGCCTACATGTTGAGGGTGTGGAGAAGCTCACCTTTTGAGCAACGCTTCAACAACTGTAAAATGCTGTACTCAGACCATGCCACAAGGTTCAAATCAGCTTGAAATATCAAAGATGCATTGGTCACACCACAATAAATACTAACATTTTAAAGAATTGTTTTACCGTTATAATTTTCTTGTACATTATTTGTGTATTACTACACGATGGAAACCAATGACAAATATAATTTTTTACCTCCAGAAACTAATTGAGACAATGATAGATAAGGATAGTTACTTTCATTTATTTAATTTCCTTTCAAACTTGTACAAATAAATCAACATTTTTGGATTCCACAAACTTATAAAATGTTTTATTTACACAAACACACATTGTTTAAACAGACATATACTAAATACTTGTCATTTTAGGTTTCTCAATCTGTAACACTGATTGGGAAACACTTGGTAGACAAAATGTCTGAACTTCAGCATATGTCCAATCAGTGGTCACATAAGCAGTTCTGAGATGCGTGTCGGGTCCAAAGAGTTCATACTTCCCTTTACATTACAGTCTACACTGGCTGGTCACCACAGCCTTCAGAATTATACCAAAAGCATTAACCACGTTTCCATCCAACCATTTCATGCGGATGAATTATTTGACGCATGAAAAAAGTTACGACTGGGCTGATGGAAACAGGAAATGCCAGTACAATTTTATAAATGCCGACAGACAATTTGTTTGTTCGACATGGTGGGATCTTTTTGCGTCTGTAAAATTAAATTAGCGAGAAATGACGTTGGAAACGCCATTATGCGCAAATATTCATACAATAACCATCATATCTAAGTAAACCTGGGAGTCACGCGATGATATTTTGTGTGGTCCTCCCACTACAACAAGGGAAACCATGTCGTTTATTAGGCTACAGATGAACTAACTGATGAACTTAACAGGGTGGTGAAAGTGCACGGTGATGAGCTTGATGCTCCTTTCCAATAAATATCGAGGGTCTTATTCTGGTGACATGATGATCGATGCTTGGCTGCCGTTTGACAAATAATATCGCTCTTATCCACAATCATCTCATAATGTAGGTAGGCTACACGCACTGTATCTGCGAGCTGTTGGCTAGATCGCATGTGCCAAGACCAGCATGGGAACATTTTGCTATATAACGCAACAGTTTTTATGACAAAACCATCAGTAGAGTTTAAAATGTGATTGAAACCCATTTAACTTGTATTTTTTTCTTTCGGTACATGGGAATTTAACAGTATAAAGTTATATTTATGTGCACTACGTCATCACATAGCATTTATCAGCAAAAAGTCAATTTGATGGAAACATCTCTGGTGGGAAAATATGCATATTGTATTTATGCAGATTTCAGAATATTAGCGCGAAAATCTGTCGCAAATTGGATGGAAACCTAGCTACCGATTGCCATGGAACAGTTGAGGGACTTAATCATCTCAGGCCTCGCTGAAGGCATTGGTCTAGGAACTCAGAGTAACATGATAGGGAACAAAAGTGATGCTGTACCGGGGCATCTGTTCCTCCCATGTCATCCACCAATACCACAGTGTGAGAGACCAGATGCAGATTCATGCTAACTGCTGTTTTGATGTAGTAGTTCACACAGGAACGGCCACAATCACAGGTCTTGGCAACCTCCAGGTCTTGGCAAAGGTGGGCAGGGATGAGATGAGGCCCGTAAGGGATTCTAGGTGGTGTAAACAAAAAACATAATTTAGTCTCAAATATCGCACAACACCTTACATGATACTACACGTTTAGACTTCAAAACAAGGTAAAAGCATGTAATGGGGTGAAATGTTGAAAGGAATAATTAAACTAACCTGAGGTTGGCCACAGCCCTGGCAGCCATCTCCTGCAGTGTCAGGGGGAAGGTGAGCTGTATGGTGTGGTCCAAGGGGTTGGGATGGGCGAACGGATTATCGAACAGGTCCAGGTTCTCCAGAGTTAACTTTCGGAAGTCCCCTGGCAGCAGGGCCAGCTGGTTGTGGGCAGCTGACAGAAAGCGCAGCTTGGAGAGACGGCTGATGCGAAAGGGCAGCCACACTAGCCTATTGTCGTCCAGCTTGAGGTTGATCAGCTCTCGCAGCTGGCAGAACTGAGGCGGCAGGGCCTGCAGGCGGTTGTGACTCAGGTCGAGGTGTTGAAGTGTGCGCTGGAGGCTGGACAGGCAGAGGGCTTCACTAAAGGTCTCCAAGTGGTTGTTGTGGAGAATAAGCTCAGCCAGACAGCCCAGCTCGCCGATAGTGGCAGGAAGTGTTTTTATGTTGTTATTACTGAGGTCCAGTCTGCGCAGCGCCTTGAGGGAGAGCATTCGCATGTCCACCCGTGAGAGCTTGCAGTAAGACACCTGGAGCTGCTCTAATGAGTAGGGGAAATTGGAGGTCAGTGGATAGTCCTTCTTGGATACAATAGTGAGCTTCTTCTTGGGCTTCTCCACATCCCTGGCTCGGACGGGCGTCAGGGTAGAGAGGGGCAGGCTGTCCGTGTCGTTTCCTCTGTGAGCCAACCGAGCAGCCGAGAGGAAGTTCTTCAAGCTGTTAGCGTCAGCCTGAAAGCCAAAGAACACCGATGTCACTTGTGGTTAACAGTCAATACAACAGCTCTATTAGTACCTGTTCTCAAACAATTTGAGCATCACATGAGAAGGACTGCATTATTTATACAAGTAAATCCCTCCATATCAAACAAGTTGACATTTCCTATCTAGCCTTCAGATTGAGAAACATTAATTGTGGCGGGAAAGTGTGAGGCCTATAATAGGACATTTAAAATGCATAACGTCAACTAAGAACCCAAGGTTTTTATCATATTGTATTAGGCCTACATTTGTTCCCATGACACAGATCTCTTTGGTCTTAAGTTGTGCTAGCACAAGATGAAACATTTAACTACAAAAAGATTACAATACACATGAGATGTTATTAACATAAGTCACACAAAGGATTGCCTGATCCCTCTCACAATGCTAGCCTGGTTCCATTTCTGTATCACCATAGCCGTACGCACCACAGCTTGGCTGTGTGTGTGATGGGTTGAAAATGTGTTACAAGATCTAGGGGAAAGGTCAACACTGAACTAACACAGCTTAGAGCCATGGTCACCCATTCGAAACAACAGTCTCTCATTTGCAGCACATGCTCCCAACATTCAGACAAGTCTGGCTGATGCATAAATATCAGATCAAGACATTTATACACTGAGTGTACAAAGCATTAGGAACACCTGCTCTTTCCATGACAGGTGAATCCAGGTGAAAGCTATGATCCCTTATTGATGTCACTTGTTAAATCCACTTCAAATCAGTGTACAGTCGTGGTCAAAGATTTTGAGAATGACACAAGTATTGGTCGTCATCATGCCGGAAAAGGCATTGGTCGTCACCAAACCGTTCTTGGATGGTTGGGAGAAGTTGCTCTCGGAGGATGTGTTGGTACCATTCTTTATTCATGGCTGTGTTCTTAGGCAAAATTGTGAGTGAGCCCACTCTCTTGGCTGAGAAGCAACCCCACACATGAATGGTCTCAGGATGCTTTACTGTTGGCATGACACAGGACTGATGGTAGCGCTCACCTTGTCTTCTCCGGACAAGGTGTTTTCCGGGTTTGCCCCAAACAATCGGAAAGGGGATTAATCAGAGAAAATGACTTTACCCCAGTCCTCAGCAGTCCAATCCCTGTACCTTTTGCAGAATATTAGTCTGTCCCTGATCTTTTTCCTGGAGAGAAGTGGCTTCTTTGCTACCCTTCTTGACACCAGGCCATCCTCCAAAAGTCTTCGCCTCACTGTGCGTGCAGATGCACTCACACCTGCCTGCTGCCATTCCTGAGCAAGCTCTGCACTGGTGGTGCCCCGATCCCGCAGCTGAATCAACTTTAGGGGACGGTCCTGGCGCTTGCTGGACTTTCTTCGGTGCCCTGACGCCTTCTTCACAACAATTGAACCTCTCTCCTTGAAGTTCTTGATGATCCGATAAATGGTTGATTTAGGTGCAATCTTACTAGCAGCAATATCCTTGCCTGTGAAGGCCTTTTTGTGCAAAGCAATGATGACGGCACGTGTTTCCTTGCAGGTAACCATGGTTAACAGAGGAAGAACAAGGATTTCAAGCACCACCCTCCTTTTAAAGCTTCCAGTCTGTTATTCTAACTCAATCAGCATGACAGAGTGATCTCCAGCCTTGTCCTCGTCAACACTCTCACCTGAGTTAACGAGAGAATCACTGACATGATGGCAGCTGGTCCTTTTGTGGCAGGGCTGAAATGCAGTGGAAATGTTTTTTGGAGATTAAGTTCATTTTCATGGCAAAGAGGGACTTTGCAATTAATTGCAATTCATCTGATCACTCTTCATGACATTCTGGAGTATATGCAAATTGCCATCATCAAAACTGAGGCAGCAGACTGTGAAAATTAGTATTTGTGTCATTCTCAAAACATTTGACCACGACTGTAGATGAAGAGGAGGAGACAGGTTAAAGAAGGATTTTTAAGCCTTATTGAGACATGGATTGTGTGTCAAGAACTGCAACGCTGCTGGGTTTTTTACACTCAACAGTTTCCTGTGTGTATCAAGAATGGTCCACCACCCAAAGGACATCCAGCCAACTTGACCCAACTGTGGGAAGCATTGGCGTCAACATGGGCCAGCATCCCTGTGGAACGCTTTCGACACCTTGTTGAGTCCATGCCCTGACGAATTGAGGCTGTTCTGAGGGCAAAAGGTGGTGCAACTCAATATTACAAAGGTGTTCCTAATGTTTTGTACACTCAGTGTATTACACAATTATTACGTTATGAATTGGAGATGATTGAAAATCCTATTTAGGGCTGGGAGGATACAGCAATTAAATGTATGCACTCATTAACTGTAAGTCGCTCTGGATAAGAGCGTCTGCTAAATGACTAAAATGTAAAAATTTAAATGAATGTTCTATATGTTGGGTAATGTTAACTGTTCAATATGCATGCCCTAAAATGAGTTATTTCAGTGTAAGGGCTCTACTTTTCCAGCAGAAATGTAAGTAGTATGTGAACGTGAAGGCCAAATTATAGTTTTTATCCCTTTTTCATTGGAGATCAGATTCCTCCATACAGAAATGTCTAGATCCATACCTTGCTCAAGCAGATGTCAACAGCGGGCTCTTTCAGTCTCACAGTGGCTTTGCCTTCCTCAACAAACCTAGTGAAGAATGTTTCAATGTTTTCTTTTAGCTGTAGAGGAAATTGGTACACACATTAGAAATGGCATATTATTATAAGACGTGGAACAAAAAACTAAGTGATGGTGGATTCATCACCTAGCATGATGGTGGATTAATCACCCAGCATTTCTGGTGACTCATTAATGCAAGACCACACACTATATTAATGTCCATATTAAAGGGAAAATCCACTCAAAAACTATATTTGCAACTTTTTCTCATTAGGTCACTGTTAGTACAGATTTTGCATCATTATGTGGCCGGTGACACTTTGGTTCTTGAAAGTCTAATATCTTGAAAACTTGACTGCTAAAATACAAAACATTTTAAGACTGTATAAACTAGTGATGGCGGGAAAACAAAGATACAGTTACATATCAGGATATTATTTTTGACAATATATCATATCGTTTTGACAATATCCCAATATCATTTTTGCGCTAGTTGGCTGTACCTGCAACAAAATTCCAGTATTCGTCCTTCATAGCTTGTTCTCCATCTTCTTTTTAAATAAAAGCCTATTAGTTTTCAGCACTTTTATTTCCATGACTGATCAAAACTCATTATCATGGCTCTCTCTTGTCCCTCTGCAGCAGACATATGGTGAGCAATGTGTTTGGAACATCGAATCGCAATACATATCGTATGGCCAACTAAGTATTGTGAGAATATCGTATCGTGAGGTCCCTGGCAACTCCCTGCCGTAGTATCAACAGTGGACAAATGAAAAAAATACCCTAAATAGTTTAACACAAATGAACAAGCTTTTTCCCCCCCAAGTTATCTCAGAAAATGGATTTCAATCAAATGCAAGTCATCCATTCTACAATGAAGTAATCATACATTTGGAAAGTAGCTATATCAACCAACAAGGTCAAGAAGTTGGGTGATTCTTCCTGTGTACTTGGGGTATACCTGTAAAACATAGACTACATAGTTAGACAACTGGTAGTTAAATAAACAAATAGCTAGATACTAACCTTATATTTTGAGCCTGTCCTATCCTTTGCTGTACAGATCATTAGATAGATGTTGTGGCGTTGTGTGGTCTTGTCCACATGTCTCCCAATAGACAGCACAGCCCTTGCTCCTTTCCCTTTGTTTTTCATCCCATACGTGGGAAGCATCCGGTTCACGACTTCGACATCGCACTGAAGCTTCATTGCTCGAGATGTATAAATAAATGCGTGACCTGTGTTAGTTCTGTAAATATATCCCAATGAATGTGTTCAAAAAAATTTGCCAAACCAAACGGGCAGTTTGACCCCATGCATGAGTTTGGTTTAACACAACCTGCTGGCATAAAAAAAGGTAGCCCTTGGCCTTGTCAATCCACTACCTGCATAGGAAGATATGTAAATCTTAGATACAAACTAGCTATAAAAACGCCCAAGTCAATACATGGACATCTGTTATCTGCTAGCACTGGGTGAAGTCAGCAAAACAACGAACCCTAGCTAGATAGCGACGTTAACGTCACTAGCTAGCTACATCGTTAGCTGGCTAGGTTAGTTGCTAAAAAGGTACAACAGCATAATATGCACTTACGTTGGCAAACTGCAAGTTATGACACCAGAACTAACGAAATGGTTAAATCGCTTTACCGGACCGTTATGGAATACAAGCGTTTACAAAAACAAAAAACAACCATGCAAGTCATCTCTCTAGCATGCAAGCTAAATAGCCAACATGGACTCTAAGAATAACAAGGACATTTCGCTACCAAAGATTTTCTAACGCCGTCAATTTCGCGCGCGCGAGAGAAGAGAAGTGCTAAACGTACATGCGCAGAAACGTTTTTTTTTTAGAACATGTTCTTTGGTCGTGGCTGGAAGGGTCCAGCATTTGTAAAATGAACGTCAAAAGTTTATTTATTTTTATCTTTGCATTTTTTTTATTTTTTATTTTAGTTAACCCTAACCCTTTTCTTAACCGTAACCTAATTATCCTGCTACGTTAATTCCCCTAACCTGCTACGTTAATTCTCCTAACCTGCTGCGTAAATTCACCTAACCTGCTACGAAGTCAAATCTGACGTTAATTTTACAAAAGCTGGATTCCTTCTAGCCTTGACCATTTTTTTCTTAGCACCAACCTCCGGTTCTCATCATTCTGTGAAATTACTAAATACAAGTAATGATCGGTATAAATGCCATTCAATTGGTTGAATGGCGCTTCTTTCGGTTGATTAACACTGTAGGGGTAGGATCATAGACAAGGGTATGAGCCTATAGTATAGTATTTAAGAAAATAGGCTATTGAAGCCCCAAATGGAACCAGGTCAGACAATAATTGTGTATGATCTTCTGTATGGAACAATAACACCATAATTGCTTTCAATAGCTAGATTTCCCTCCGATTGTCGACAGATCTAATGTGAATATTCTCAAATCCGCATTTTCCCACCAGAGGTGTGTTTCTTTCAAACTGACTAGGGTGTTAGGGGGGTAAATAAACATTGCTTTTAGAGCTAAACTGAGCATACCAAATGATACAGACTATCAGAAGCACAGCGCACTTTGTTTAATGTCTTTAGGCATTTTCCATTGCTGAGATATTACTATTTGTGTGTCCGAATTCTGGGTCAAAAGGTCGCAGGAGATAATGGACAGGTCAATGGCAAAGCCTTTTCCAAAAATGGCACCAAAATCAATCAAATTTCAGCAGATGTCACAAAGTGCTATACAGAAACCTAGCCTAAAACCCCAAACAGCAACTAATGCAGATATAGAAGCACAGTAGCTAGGAAAAATTACCTAGAAAGGCTGGAACCTAGGAAGAAACCTAGAGCAGAACCAGGCTCTAAGGGGTGGCCAGTCCTCTTCTGGCTGTGCCGGGTGGAGATTATAAGAGTACATGGCCATTAAGGCCAGACTGTTCTTATAAATAATAAATAAATAATTGGTCATTTAGCAGACGCTCTTATCCAGAGCGACTTACAGGAGCAATTAGGGTTAAGTGCCTTGCTCAAGGGCACATCGACAGATTTTTCACCTAGTCGGCTCGGGGATTAGAACCAGCGACCTTTCGGTTACTGGCACAACGCTCTTAACCACTAAGCTACCTGCCGCCCTACTCAAGATGTTCAAATAGATGACCAGCAGGGTCAAATAATAATCACAGTGGTTGTTGAGCGTGCAACAGGTCAGTACCTCAGGAGTAAATGTCAGTTGGCTTTTCATAGCCGAGCATTCAGAGGTCGAGACAGCAGGTGCGGTAGAGAGAGAGAGAGTCGAAAACAGCAGGTCCGGGACAAGGTAGCACATCCGGTGAACAGGTCAGGGTTCCATAGCCGCAGGCAGAACAGTTGGAACTGGAGCAGCAGCACGACCAGGTGGACTGGGGACAGCCAGGAGTCATCAGGCCAGGTAGTCCTGAGGCATGGTCCTAGGGCTCAGGTCCTCACACAGGACAATAGATAAGACAGGATAATTACACCAGATATAACAGACTGACCCTAGCCCCCCCCGGCACATAGACTATTGCAGCATAGATACTGGAGGCTGAGAGGGGGGGGGACGGGGGGGGGACACTGTGGCCCCGTCCGACGATACCCCCGGACAGGGCCAATCAGGCAGGATATAACCCCACCCACTTTGCCAAAGCACAGCCCTCACACCAATAGAGGGATATCAACAGACCACCAACCTACTACCCTGAGAAGGCTGAGTATAGCCCACAAAGACCTCCTCCACCGCACGAGCCCGACACAGGTGGACTCAGATTAACAAACAGAAACTCAAATATCAAGATAGGAATGTCCTATCAACATGACGTTTTCTGGGGTTATACAATACTATGAGCATGTTAGAATATAATTAAATAAATATAATTAAATACATATGCAAATGCTCTGTTAATGTGTGCACATATTTCAAGTTATTTATTTTGACCTACTAATGCGATTAGTCACACACATGCTACTGAACTAACCAGTGGTAATACTTTTAGGATTTTAATGTGCTTGAAACAGCTGAACACATGTAATTCGACTCAACATACTCTTCATATTTTTCTTCTGCCCACCCCTGCTCTAAACCCTTTGAGCTAGAGACACCAAATTAACTTTACAAGCTGTTTCAGACTACATTACATGAGACAATATTTTTGATACTATTTCCACTTTTTAAACCACAGCAATATACAATATGCATACAATTCAATGCATTCCAATGGCCATACACTTTCAACTGGGAAATGTCCATTCGCAACTCCTCCAACACCTTCTATGCTAGACTCACCAAACCTTTACCCTTCCCACAGTGTGTGTGTGTGTGTGTACAGTCGTGGTCAAACGTTTTGAGAATGACACAAGTATTGTTCTTCACAAAGTTTGCTGCTTCAGTGTTTTTAGATATTTTTGTCAGATGTTACTATGGTATACTGAAGTATAATTACAAGCATTCCATAAGTGTCAAAGGCTTTTATTGACAATTACATTAAGTTTATGCAAAGAGTCAATATTTCCAGTGTTGACCCTTCTTTTTCAAGACCTCTGCAATCTGCCCTGGCATGCTGTCAATTAACTTCTGGGCCACATCCTGACTGATGGCAGCCCATTCTTGCATAATCAATGCTTGGAGTTTGTCAGAATTTGTGGGTTTTTGTTTGTCCACCCGCCTCTTGAGGATTGACCACAAGTTCTCAATGGGATTAAGGTCTGGGGAGTTTCCTGGCCATGGACCCAAAATGTAGATGTTTTGTTCCCCGAGCCACTTAGTTATCACTTTTGCCTTATGACAAGGTGCTCCATCATGCTGGAAAAGGCATTGGTCGTCACCAAACTGTTCTTGGATGGTTGGGAGAAGTTGCTCTCGGAGGATGTGTTGGTACCATTCTTTATTCATGGCTGTGTTCTTAAACAAAATTGTGAGTGAGCACACTCCCTTGGCTGAGAAGCAACCCCACACATGAATGGTCTCAGGATGCTTTACTGTTGGCATGACACAGGACTGATGGTAGTGCTCACCTTGTCTTCTCCGGACAAGCTTTTTCCCGGATGCCCCAAACAATCGGAAAGGGGATTCATCAGAGAAAATGACTTTACCCCAGTCCTCAGCAGTCCAATCCCTGTACCTTTTGCAGAATATCAGTCTGTCCCTGATGTTTTTCCTGGAGAGAAGTGGCTTCCTCGCTGCCCTTCTTGACACCAGGCCATCCTCCAAAAGTTTTCGCCTCACTGTGCGTGCAGATGCACTCACACCTGCCTGCTGCCATTCCTGAGCAAGCTCTGCACTTGCTGGACTTTCTTGGGCGCCCTGACGCCTTCTTCACAACAATTGAACCTCTCTCCTTTTTGATGATCCGATAAATGGTTGATTTAGGTGCAATCTTACTAGCAGCAATATCCTTGCCTGTGAAGCCCTTTTTGTGCAAAGCAATGATGACGGCACGTGTTTCCTTGCAGGTAACCATGGTTAACAGAGGAAGAACAAGGATTTCAAGCACCACCCTCCTTTTAAAGCTTCCAGTCTGTTATTCTAACTCAATCAGCATGACAGAGTGATCTCCAGCCTTGTCCTCGTCAACACTCTCACCTGTGTTTACGAGAGAATCACTGACATGATGTCAGCTGGTCCTTTTGTGGCAGGGCTGAAATGCAGTGGAAATGTTTTTTTGGGGATTCAGTTCATTTTCATGGCAAAGAGGGACGTTTGCAAGTAATTGCAATTCATCTGATCACTCTTCATAACATTCTGGAGTATATGCAAATTGCCATCATAAAAACTGAGGCAGCAGACTTTGTGAAAATTATATTTGTGTCATTCTCAAAACTTTTGACCACGACTGTATACTGCTAGTGATAGCTGAGTGCATTCATCAGCCAGTAGTCTTCTCCTTCCCTCCCATCTCTTCTCCCCCATCTTTTTATCTCTCCTCATCCCTCCCTGCCTACTTCACCCTCTCTCCTTCCCTCCTTTTTCTCTCTCCTGTGTGTGTGAGAGAGAGAGACAGGCACCAAGTAATGTTTCTCTCTCCCCCTCAACTACAGACTTGCTAAAGACAGCTTGGCACCTCCGTGGTTAATCTCTGGTCGTATCCGCAATTCTAAATGCAGTCTCAATGTCTGCATATCAAATTATTCCTAAGAACCTGAGGTTTAAATGTATTAAAGTTTATTTTACTTTCACCAAATCCAGAGAGAGAGAGACAGAGAACGCAGTGAGAGAGAGCATCTCTGCCGTCACCATGCAGAACGCCCCACTCTCTTCCTCAGAGAGACATGCTCACAAACGGTTTATCAGACATTGACATTTACAAACACACGTTATTCACAACATACAGTGCCTTGCAAAAGTATTCATCCCCCTAGGCGTTTTTCCTATTTTGTTGCATTACAACCTGTAATTTAAATTTGTTTTTATTTGGATTTCATGCAATGGACATAAACAAAATAGTTCAAATTGGTGAAGTGAAATGAAAAAAATAACTTGTTTCAAAAAATTCAAAAAATAAATAACGGAAAAGTGGTGCGTGCATATGTATTCACCCCCTTTGCTATGAAGCCCCTAAATAAGATCTGGTGCAACTAATTACCTTTAGAAGTCACATAATTAGTTAAATAAAGTCCACCTGTGTGTAATCTAAGTGTCACATGATCTGTCACATGATCTCAGTATATATACACCTGTTCTGAAAGGCCCCAGAGTCTGCAACACCACTAAGCAAGGGGCACCACTAAGCAAGTGGCACCATGAAGACCAAGGAGCTCTCCAAACAGGTCAGGGACA